AAACAAAAAACTCGTTTGTAAATTTTTCCGTTCCGGTCGATTAGATAAATTAGTATTAATAGCGATATTCTTACCTAACAGGCCTGGAATATATTCTTATTTTATTCGGCGTACATAAATCGAGTTAATAAAGCAAATGCGATGGGTTTTTTTTTTCGTATAACATCCTGGTGGACTTTTTTGTAACGGTCCTCTTTGATTGCTGGCGCGGAATATCGGAAATTAATTGCATTTTTGTATTTATACCGTACGCTCCGTGACAGCCTTAAGGCTATATACGAAAATCCATCCTAATTCCACTTAAAAATGTATCATATCATCACATAGCATGAACCTAGTAACAGTAATTTGATTTGTGATAGTCCAATTTACTGTATGTCGAAGGATTTGATGTCGCTTAATGTACTCAAAAGCGCTCAAAAACATTTAAAACTCTCTAAAACCATTTAGAACGCTCTCCTGTAAAATTCTCGACTCGCCTGTTGCGGTTTCGCTCTAACGCATTGTTTACTCGTCGAATAACAAAGAGAGTAAGAAATAAAAAAGAGGGCATTTAATCGGAGTACATCATGAAGGCGACGCCACATTTAATTTAAACATCGTAACCAGGCATTCTTTAACTCGGCCTAACCTTTGTGATCCCCACAATTGGTTCTATTTAGCCTCGTTATGGTTGCATTGGTGTAAGTCTATTATACATAATTCGGTAATGTCGAAAAAAGGTGCTAGTTTTAGCCTTTAAACGCTGCCACTTATCGAGATATAAATAGCCCGCAATAGGCCAGCTGCAGCGTTAATTAACTGTTAGTTTCCTATCTTTTTGTACTATATATATACACGGTGATACAAAATTACTCGCCATTTTTTTGCACATTCGATGTCGAAGTTTCGAATCGTTTCGAACGAGTTTCAAGATAACGTTCTAAAAGGTTCTGAACAGTGCGAAAATTTTGTAAAAAGTTCTAATAAAAGATTCTGAGCTGTTCTAATAGTCGTTAAAAACGAGTTTTTGGACTGTTCTAAAAGGTTCTAAACAGTTCTAAATGATTGCTAGCAATTCTAAAGAGTTCTGAAATGTTACAATGGCCTATCGAATTGTCCTAAATAGATTTCGAACAATTCTAAAAGCCTCTGAACTATTCTAATGGCCTATCGAATTGCCCTGAAGAGTTTTTGAACTGTTGTAAATGGTTATGAACAATTCTAAAAGATTGCGAACAATTCTAAAGGGTTCAGATTTGTTCTAATGACCTATCGAATTGTCCTGAATATAGTTTCCGAACTGTTCAAAAAGGTTGTGAACAATTCTAACGTAATCTGAACAGTAATAAAGTATTCTGAACAGTTCCGAAGGATTTCGGTCAGTTCTGAAGGGTTCCGAACTGTTCTAATGGTATTCCGAATGGTCCCGGACGAGTTTTGAACGGTTCCGTTCAATTTCGAGACAACAAACAAGCAGTATATAGCGATAAAGGCACGTTCTATCGTAAAATTTCAGAAGATACCGAAACGTACATCAAATGCCAATGTACTGGGTGTTATGCGAGGCACGTGATCCTCGAACACGCATAACCAGAAGGATCCTTATCGAATATTGCATGTACATAACACACAATTCGAACGCGTAGGCAATATTTAAAAAGAATATGTACATATATATATGATCGTGATTAAGAATCGAGAATCGAGAATCGATTCATCGATCGATCTCCGATGCATTTCGCTATCTTTTGTGTATAGAAGGAAATCGATGAGTATCTTAGACGAAATTGTTACCTAACGTACAACGGAGAGGAACAAATAATTCAACGGTTCGGAGTATAGGGAAGTTTTGCGTTGAAATTTTTTTCCAAATAACCGAGCAGATTAAATCGGATACGATATTTACTGAAGCGTGGATAAATCAAGAAATCGCCGACGATGATCTGAAACGGTCGATTCGCGGATACGGAAGACAACGAGAACGGGAGCGGCGCGGCAATAAATTTATTCAAATTGCAAGTAATATACCATTATAGTAAACTTTAATTACTCGTATGTACAGGGTGTGTACGATTAGTTTTATTTGTTATAGCCAAAATGAGGCAATTAAAACTCGCCAGGTGATTAAGAAACCCGATTAGAACTTACAGAATCGTTCAAAAACCATTGAAGGAAATTAGAAACCACTTGAGAACAATTCGAAATATAATTAGCGCAACTTGAAATCGCATCGGAACAGATCCGAACCTTTCAGAATCGTTCGAAACTGTTCAGAACAGTTCAAAAAGTCATCAGGGCAATTTGAAACCACTTGAGAACAATTCGAAATATAATTAGCGCAACTTGAAATCGCATCGGAACAGATCCGAACCTTTCAGAATCGTTCGAAACTGTTCGGAACAGTTCACAAAGGCATCAAGGCAATTTGAAACCGCTCGAGTATAACTTAGAACCCTTTAGAACAGTTAAAAACTCATCAGGACATTTCGAAACGCCATTAAAACAGCTTGGTAACCTTCAGACTAGTTCGGAACCGCATCAGAACAGTCCGGGGACAGTTCCAAGCGGATTTTTACGGTTCCGAACCACCCGTTTGAAAAATCCGGCGGTACGCGCGGATATATATAGGATGGCCTCTCGGCCGGCGGTACTGGTAAAGTGGTACTGGTACTGGTACTGGTCGAAAGTGTACGGGAACCGATACAGCTATGACCCGAACGTAAGTAAGCGAGCGACCTTGAGCGGTACTTCCGGAAAGCGGCCGCACCTCTTTGATGCGACGTTCGAAGTGGTACCGGAGCCGGTTCCATTTCGGTACCCATATTCTTATTTTTTTTTTGTTCGTTTCTCTCGCGTTTTGTGTTTCGCGCCGGATGAATAGCTGGCGCGTTTTTCAGGAGCTATAAAGACGCACGAAAATATTCGTATTGTAATTCAATAATCGGAATGCTTAGTGGGGTCCTTGAAATATCCTGTATAACAACAAAAAAACCAGTAAATTGTTGCATTTCGAAAGGAGCTTCAGATTTTCCCGAATCGACCGCGAATTAATCGAATTAATTAGTTCAAAGTGGAATTTCCTCGATTCTCGCTAACCGATAAACGCATGCAAAAACCCAACGGGGGTCGAAACTCTACCGGGGCGATGCGAAAAATCGTCCTAAATCTCCTCGAATTAATCCGGGCATTACGAAAACACGTTAAATGACGTAAAAACGCGCCGGGATAATATTAGATCTCGACCGAAACCCGCCCACGGACGTGAATATTCGTATCGAAATAGTTTCAGACGGGCGTGTATATTCGAAACCGCCGAATAAATATAATAAGGCGAAAAAATAAAAATAAAAATTGAAAAAAAAAATGACCGCTGCTTGGCAAGCCGGAGTGTCGTTGGAATGTGGTCGGCTGCCAATGGCTCTCGAGGAAGGAAGGAAAGACGGGGGGGAATCACCGCAAAGATTCTTACAATGTTGCCGGATTACGTTAAAAAACGATGCATTTACCTCCTGATTTTTAATGAGCTCGATATTTACGAGAGAACGGTTCAAAACTGCACCAGCTCAGTTCGAAAATGTTCCGAAATCCATTTCTGCATCAAAACAGTTCCAACTAGAATCTAGAAAAGCGCAACTATAACGAAACACTTTTATAATTTCCCCAGAACCGTTTCAGAACTATCCAAAACACCATCAAATCAGTTCTAAATAGCGCATCAGTATCAGCACCACAAGAACCATTCGATACCCCTTTGAGAACTGTCCGAAACTCCACCAGGTCGATTCCAACCGCACCAAAACAGTTCTAAATAGCGCTTCAACCAATCGAAACAGTTCGAAAAGCACCACAAGAAACCCTATTAACTGTCCAAAACTCTACCAAGACAGTTCTAAACAGCCATACAACTCAATCAGAACAGTTCGAAAACTTGTACCAACAGCACAAGAAACCATTCGAAACCCCTTTGAGAACTGTCCAAAACTCCACCAGGTCTGTTCGAATCGTATAAAAACAGTTCTAAATAGCACGAAACAGTTCGAAAGCTCGTATTATCAGTACAGGAACCATTCGAAATCCCTTCGAGAACTGCCCAAGACTCCACCAGGTCTGTTCGAATCGTACAGTTCCAAACAGCACGAAATAGTTGGAAAGCTCCTATTATAAGTACAGGAACCATTCGAAACCCCTTCGAAAACGGGCCGAGCCTGCCCGGCGGGTACCATCGGAATGCGGTTCCGCGGAAGGAAGGAAAGACGGGGGAGCATCGCCGTTGCCGGAGCGACCCGAAAACAAAAAAAAAAAGAAGAGAAAAAAGGCAACGCCGGCCGGATCGGATCGGATCAGTCGCTGACCTTGCTGAGCGGCCTCTCCGGACTACCACGCATCTCGCAACCGGATGTGCCGGCCACCGAACCGTCTACAAAAAACCTCTTTCTCTCGATGGAACCCGAACCGACGAGGAGATGAATCTCTTCGAGCTACGAAGCATCGTTTTCGATGCACCATTCGAAGTCGATTTTCTCAATTCGATCGACTGTTCTTCGAACGAGACTCGATGTAATGGTAAATAAAACGGTACCGCCGGCGCGATCGTTCCACGTCCCAGCGGCAAAGTCCGTTGTTCCTTGTAATACAACGCGAACTACCGGTGGAGAATTTTAACGCGACGAAGTCGATTGTTATGGGCATTCGTTTAGTATGAATAATTTATTGGCGTAATAAACGTCCGCGATACGGATTCGATGGTACCCGGAGGAACGAATCGCATCGTAAATTCACGAACGGCGATTGATTGACGAGGAGGAATTCGCAATTCGCCACAATGATAGGGTGTGCTCGATTGCGGGCGACACTAGCCATATTAATGGGAGATTAAATGGGTATATCACCTGAAGATACATAAATAAGGGACGTAATAGAATGATTCAGCGAACCGGCTATTACAGGCGATCCATCAGGAATGAATAAAACAACAGCTGAAAGTGTTGAAACAGATAAAAGCCTAATTGGGTATGAACCCAACCCCGCCTTGACCAGGTGTATGCGGGTGTTTAGCATTAAATGCTCTTCCTAAATAACTTCCTTCAGTTCGAATAAAAGTAGCGAAGGTAAAACAAGTTGGTATTACAAAAAAAAACGTTTCGAAATTGTCCGCTATGCATCATCCGAATTCGGAGGGAAGATGGGATTGCGTTGGCGCAGATGGAATCATTCGGGCCGAGGATAAAAGGCCGCTGAGGGAGAAGAATCCCTGCAAACACGTGCCGCACAAAGAAAGGGCCCCTCAAGTGGTGGCCAGACGGAACGCCAGGGAGCGAAGACGGGTCCAGGCCGTCAACATGGCTTTTGTCCGACTGAAAAAGGCCATTCCTTACCAAAATTCGAGGTAATTCGATACGATTTTTTTTTTCGAATCGCGCTGACGGGACCCCGGAGAGTCGAGTTACTTATTTTTCTATCGAAATCTATTCGAATTTCGCAAACCTATAAGTTCATATTGTAATTCACATGCATGCATATTGCAGAGGCAAGAGAATCAGCAAAGTGAAAACGCTGCAAAACGCCATCAGGTACATACAAGAGCTGGAGATAATCTTGAGAAACGATTACTTACCTGGGTACCATTACTTCACAACTATAAGTCCTGACTTCACTTCGTACTAATAATAACATTTTATATTTAATTATTCAATTCTAGTCGATGCGCATTCTAGTCCTTATTTATTAATAACATATTTTGTAATATGTTTGCTAATAAATGTATTTCGTAATGACAAATTAATAATATATCTGTCATTGATCTGTCAATGTCACTGATACAAACCGCTAACGTCAGAGTGAATTGAATATCGAAATAAAAAAAACAGCACAAATTAAATAATCGTGTAATCGAATTAGAAATTATCAAACAACCATATAAACTAATTGGTTCCCTACATTACAAACCTCTTTACCTAATAGAACTTTCACGTCCGATCCTTCCAGTTTAAATACCGAATTTTTAGGTAACTTCACTTTACCTTTAGTAGGTTGGTTAAACGCCGGCATTTTTCTCGCTCCTAAAACTGGATCCTCGTATCTCCACAATTCCACCGACTCTCCTTCTAAAAAATAAATAATTATGCAGGATGTTCCAAGAAAAATTTAAGCGAAAAGTTTAATCGAGTCACCCTGTGATATATATAAACATATCGACTTACTTTTCATAGCCTTGGTGTCCTTTTGGAGTTTCTGTACGATTTTATCGTAAGTATCGCCGTCGCAAATCGTAATAGTTTTGTTAAACAAACCGGTTTGGGGTATCGGATTGATAAATTCGATCTTTACGCCGGGCTTATTGGAAAACAATACGAAAGGCGAGCCGGGCGAGCATTCTTTCATCTTTTCCGTAGCGGTCGGATCGTCGGTGAACTTGATAGTAACCTCTTCCACCTATAAAATTTATTTTTCGATAATTCGTTTAATTTGATTGATTCCACTTACGTTCAACGTGTTCGCTAAATAGATTTTATTCGTTTCCAACACTTCTGCTTCGTCGAAATCCAACGTCAAAGCGAGCGCCTTCGCTCCGATTTTCTCCATATTCTCCCTGGTCGCTTGAACGAAAGGCATCACTCTCTTCATGTACTTCTTCAAATCGCCCATCTTACCGAACTCGCCCGAAAGCGTTTTGTTATCGGGCAGTCTGCCGTTATTCGCCTATACAAACGACACAATAATTTCTACATTTCTAAACCACAAATCCACTAACTTCATAATGCTTTTTCATCGTGGTGAGTACGGCGTTTTGCCACGACGGGAACGTTTTCGCCACCCAAATTTCCATCACGTCGGGCTTCTCCACCGGCGCCGGATTGGGATTGCTTTTGGTCCTCACGCCTTGCAGATATGTTTTCAAATGGATCCTGAAAGAATGCGCCGTTTCCATCAAATACTCCGAAGCTTTCACCATCACTTCGTCTACCGCACCGGCCACCGGCCAGGGCCCGTTAATCACGCTGGATTTCTGAAAATTACAATCGAATCAACTCGCTTCTTAAGCTCGAGCGTATCATGTTACGTGTCCGAGGAGCTCCCAGACGTGTTCGGCCACGTGCGGACAAATGGGCGCTAGGATTTTAGTTTGCACTTCGATGAACCTCATGACCAAATCCACGTGCATGCCGTCCAAACTGATCTCCCTGTACTTATCCCTAGCCGCTTGGAACTCGTACAAACCAGTCCTCAGGGCCTCTTTGAACAACATCTTGCCATACAACTCGTCGGTTTCCTTCAATTTCGAATTGATCTCGCTTTGAAACACCAAATCGCTGAACGAATTGAACGCTCCCGATCTGGAAAATACTTTTACAATCGATACAAAAGCTACGAGTTTAGATGGAATACCTGAATGTCGATTTATTAGCCAGCACTTCCTTCACCCATTCGATGAATGTGTAGAGCCTCAAAATGCCCGCGTCCGCGGTGCTCTCCACGAAATTCGCGTCCTCGATGGTATCGCCGGAATCGGCCAAACACAATCGCATCCCGTCCGCGCTGAATTTATCGATGGCCTCCGACAACGTGAGGAAATTCCCGTCGGATTTCGACATCTTCGCCGAATTCAACATCAACAGCCCGTTGGCCCAGATGCTCTTCGGCCACTTCGACTCGTCCCGCTCCCATATGGCGCAGTGATTGAAGATGCAGAACGTCAGGTGGTTCTGGACGAGGTCTTTGCCTAACGACAAACGAGCCTAGTTAATATGATATGGGCTAGATGGCGCTAGAAAAGTACCTGACACTCTCAAATCGAATGGCATCCAGTATTCGAATTCGTTCTTCATTTTATCCAAAGTTTCTTTCTTAATGCCGCTGTTCGATGGATATTTGGCATCTTTGAAGAAGATGTAATCCCATACTTCGGGCGTCATTTGCTCGGGTTTGATGTTAAGTGCGTTCGGTTTCGTTCCTCTACAAACAAACAAATTAGTACAATACACAAAAACCAAGAAACTATCTTACTTAAAAGTACCGCCTTGTAGAAAATGAGCTACGGTATAATACGCCATGTAAATGGTGGAATCCGACAGAGACTCGATCAACCACTGGTCGTCCCAAGGCAATTTGGTGCCCAAACCGTAGGTTCTCGAACAGGCGTACTCGTGCAGCCAATTGATGCAGCCCATGAAGTTCTTCCTCACCTCGTCGGAGTAAACGTTCATCTTCTCCAACGCCTTCAGGGCGAGTTTCTTCCAATTCTCGTTGCCGTAATCGAGGAACCATTGATCGCAAAGCGCCACCACGCATTCGTCGCCCGAACGAGACATCACCTTCTTCTCGGGCTCGTAATAAATCACGGCTCGATTGTTATCGATCATGCTCTTTTGAATCGTCTTTTTCACGTCTTGTATCTTCTGGCCCTTGTGCTCGCCTGTAGCCATTATCTAAGAAACATATCGTAGAGTTAAAATTAGCCGTATGCATCGAACGTAAGAGACAAATATCTCACCCCTTCGTAGAAACCTTTGGTGTACAAGATCTCCTTGGCCTCGAGTAGTTTCTCCTTGTCGTTTTGGCTCTGGATTTTGAGCTGTTCGCAAATGACTTCGGCCGCGAGGTTGCCGTAACCGGGAATGTCCACGACGGGGACGGGATCGAAGGGCAACACCATATCGTCGGAGATGCCGTATTTCTCGCGCAGCGCCGGTTTTTTCTTCAGGTCCGTCAAAGCGGCGTAATCGTCAGGCGAATCCGATGGTACACAAGTAACTATACCGGTACCTTTGTCCTCTTTTATAGTCAACATGGGTAGGACGTAGATCTTCGGGTATACAGTCAATGCGCTGGCAACAGCGCAACCTAGTAGATCCTAAAACGAAATAGCGCGATTAACAACGAGTAAGTTCGTTATAGAGGACTCTATTACTTGTCCGGTCAATTCGGCGAGTACATCGAACTTCCCTTGGACTTTGGTGAACTCCTGGAAGGCCATGTTTCTGGCGGCGCGGCGCGTGCAAACGAACACCTCGTTAGTTTTGGTTTCGAAAGCGATGTACTTCATGTCGGGTCGCACCCAGCAATTCGTTTGGCCGTACATGGTTTCCGGTCGCAGTGTAGCGGCCACCAAGCATACCGTTTTGTTCTCGAAACGGGCGAGTTTCTTGGGGTAGGGCGCCAGCAGTTTCATCTTGACGAGAGTGTATTCTTGGGGGCCGACGCCTTCGCCCGAAGCGCGATCGTGGTCCATGCAGGGCTGGCCGTCGCGCTCGGAGAATATGGTGTTCCTTTTGCCGAACTTGATTTTGTTGCGTTCTTTCAACCGGATGAATTGCCATCGGACGAAGGAATCGTAGAACGGATTCGCGTCTGTCGTTATGAACGTCCTTCTCCAGTCGGTCTGGAAAAATCACACCATTCAAATGCATAAAAGTAAAGATAAAGGATTGTTTACGTGTATGCCGAATCTGTTTAGATCGTCTACGGCTCTCGGGGGAAAGAATTCGCACCAGTACAAAGCGTCAGCGAATTTCGGAATATCCTCATCGGAGATGCCGATGCTCTGCATGATCTGCCATTGGAACTTGGCAGTCCCGGCCTTCGCCACAGCTTTACTCTAAAACAACTTGATTATACTTCTTCGGATGTAGAAATTGAAACGAGTACCTTCTTCGATTTGCTCTTATCTTTTAAAATGTCAGTTTCGAGTTTTTCCACTGCGACCGCCGTTTCCTCTTGGTTGGCGGGGAATTTGGGTGGGTTTCCGAACGTTTCCATTTCTCGTTTCAGTTTGTCAGCGCACGCTTTGATGGGCATACCCGTGCAGTGGAAACCGAACGGAAATTGCACCTTAAAATTAATATATTCAATAACGATACCATCGTGTTTGTAACGAACGTACTCTTTTGCCTTTTAATCTGTTGTATCTCACAGCGAACTCGCATTTCGATAGACTGAAAGTGTGGCCTAAGTGCAGACGCCCGTTCATGTAGGGATAGGGGAAATTGCAGAAGAATTTCTCATCGTTCAGGTGTTTTTTATCGGTGGGAGCGTCTATTTCGAATACCTTCTGATCCCTCCAACGCTCTTGCACCTCCTTCTCGATTTTGAGCAAATACTCCACTTTAAACGTACCTTTTCTCTCGATGTTGGCCTAAAATTACAAATATTTCATCATCTTACGTTCGACATATGTTCGTGTAAATTCGTCGTTACCATTGCGGAGCCGGTAAATCTAACACTAATGAAGGTTTGTGGTTAAATTCCAGTCGAATTTCATTAAGTAAAATTCGAAATATTTTGAGTTTTTGATGAAAAACTCGCACAATTTTCACACGACTTTTTGAGGTTATATCGGCGAAATTTGATGACACTGACACTAATGACAAGTGACATATGTTTCTACTTTATTTTAAAAATCCGACTTTACTAAATGAGCTAGTCAGGTAATTTTGCTAACGCTAGTTTCAAAAATTTAGAATTTTTCTGTATAGCGTAAAATGTTATATGTTACATTTATTTCATAATAATTCGTATTAGGAGAACAGAATGTGCGAGGAGGTTTACTTATGACGCTTATTAATCGCGCTCCTGCTCGAAGCAATACATACAAAGGCAACCATTTAATCGAATTTCGGTAATTCTGGTTGCCTATCTATTGTATTAGTAAAGCGCGAGTAATAAGTATCAGGAGTAAACCTCTTCACACATTCTGCTCTCCTAATACAAATTCTTAAATTCGCGTTTTATCGTGAGATTTTCATACGTTCGACACAAACTACTCGAACTCCTAATATTTGTTTCTCCCGATCTTTTTGCTTTAATAGCTTCAGATTTTTACAAATTGCATTGAAAAAGTTTTGCGTTTTTTTTAAATATTCTATTTTCGTATCATTTTTGTAATAAAGAATTATTAATAATGCCCAAAATGTTAAATTATCTTTGAAAATGTGTTTTCAAGAACGACGAAACATTTAGAATATTTATTAACGCAACAGGATTCATCCAGGACCTTCCCTGGACGTATCTCTCTCGATATACAAAATATCTCCCGATATTAAACTTCCTTGCATATTCTCATTGCCTAATATCCGAAATTTATCAATGGAGATCGACGAAAACTTGTGCTCAAATCTCGAAATAAAACGTGAATTTGAAATTTCGTATTAGGAGAGCAGAATGTATGAAGAGGTTTACTCCTGATACTTATTACTCGCGCTTTACTAATACAATAGATAGGCAACCAGAATTACCGAAATTTGATTAAATGGTTGCCTTTGTATGTATTGCTTCGAGCAGGAGCGCGATTAATAAGCGTCATAAGTAAACCTCCTCGCACATTCTGTTCTCCTAATACGAAATTTTAAATTCACGTTTTAATTCGAGATTTGAGCACAAGTTTTCGTAGATCTCCATTGATTAATTTCGGATATTAGGCAAGGAGAATATGCAAGGAAGTCTAGTAACAGAAGATATTTATTATATGGAGAGAGGTACTTCTACGGAAAGTCCTGGATGAAATTTATCATTTTGGGCATTATTATTGTTTTATAGTAGAAATGATGAGAAAGTCAAATGCTAAAAGTTTTGTTGAGTTTATTGAAAAAAAAACGCAAAACTTTTGTCGAGTTTATTGAAAAAAAAAACGCAAAACTTTTGTCGAGTTTATTGAAAAAAAAAACGCAAAACTTTTCTCGAATTTATTGAAAAAAAAACGCAAAACTTTTGTCGAATTTATTGAAAAAAAAAACGCAAAACTTTTCTCGAGTTTATTGAAAAAAAACGCAAAACTTTTCTCGAATTTATTGAAAAAAAAAACGCAAAACTTTTGTCGAATTTATTGAAAAAAAAACGCAAAACTTTTCTCGAATTTATTGAAAAAAAACCGCAAAACTTTTCTCGAATTTATTGAAAAAAAAACGCAAAACTTTTCTCGAATTTATTGAAAAAAAAAACGCAAAACTTTTGTCGAGTTTATTGAAAAAAAAAACGCAACCTTTTTCAACGCAATTTGTAAAAATCGGAAGAATAGTTTTGTACATCGTTCGAAAAATTCTCGTAGAAATAATAGAAATAATTTAGTTAGGTACATCTTTATTCTCGTAACATTTTCATTACATTATCCAGTTAGTGCGTGAAGATATCCATACTGTACAGATTCGGAGTATTCGGCTCGAAACTGTACAGGGTGATGGGAAATAACAACAACAACAAAATACCGAGACACTTCTAATTACATGAAAAAATCAAGCGCAGTCTAGAAGCGCACTACCGTTTGATTCTCAAGCATTAGCAAAATAACATAATTTGTTTAAAAAAATCCAAGCACACTATCCTGAGGTTTCATGAATTCACTATAATTACACAAAAATAAGATGTACTTGCGTTTTATAAATCTTACCGAATTAAAAATGAATAATGCTAGGATTGCTATGAATAATATAAAACTTATCTTATTAATACTACGTTAAAATATACAATATAAAATAAATTAATAAGATATTAACAATAATCTACAGGTAAGTTCGTGAACGTACGCAGATACTTTCACTGTTAAAAGGACAAAGCGAAAATAAATTTATTATTTGCTAATTTTCGATTCGTCCTGTAAATATATTAAAGGATTTAATAAACATTTGGCATACGGTAAGTACCTTTATGGAATCATTTGAGCTGCCAAAGTATCTATGTAGTTTGGAAACTTTTCGAAAAAATTCCGATAAATAGTAGCAGGAACATTTCCCGTCCAATTTAATTGGCGGGGAAATCCACCTGCGACTGCAACTAATTCTAGAATATGAAATAAACACCACTGGCTGATTCGTGTTAATTATTTTCCCACAACATCTCTTGCTATCGAATCGATAAAAAAACTGAAATAATGTAATTAATAAAAATAAACAAAACTCATTGGAACCAAGCAAATAAAAGTTTACAATCCACTTTGAGTACCTATTCTGTAAATTATAAAATCACTATTACTTTTTAATCATATCGTTTTTTTATGTTCCCGAGTTAAATCGAAATAGATTACGTTTAACTTGCAAAATGGGTACCCTGTTATATTCTTTGCGAAAACCTCAAGCGGCGTTTCTGAGATCGGACTTTTATCATTTTATTTAAACGCTATCGGCATCGTACAAAAGTAATAAAAAAACCCAATGATAAATCGTTATTGTCGCGATCGAATCCCAGAAACACATCGTCGAATCGACTCGAATAAAGCGCCTCTTACATCGAACAAATCCCAACGAGAAGCAGCCCAGCCATTAACGCTCGCCCAGAGTCCGCTTTAAACCAACGCAAACAGAGTAAGTAAAGGAAATAATCGGCGTGTGTGAGTGTATTTGTGTGTGTCAGTACCTACGCTGTCAAGCACAAGTGGATAATATTCGTATTCGTACAAAAAAAAAACAAAACCGCGCAGTCAACACGCACAACCGCCGTCGGGGTCTTTGAGCTCGTTCGGCGTATCCTTCAACACCACCTCCTGCATATCCTCCGCCGGCTTGTTGTCCGTCGAATCCATCCCCGGCAGCGCCGCCGCCACCCTTCGAAACAGCTGCTTCACGTTGTAACCCGCCTTCGCGCTCGTCTCTATAAACATCACGTTCAACTCTTTCGCCTTGCGTTCGCCCTCCTCCGTGCTCACCTACAACAAAAAACAAGTTAGAATTCATATACAATAGAGAGTTGGTGCACTAAACGAGACCGGTAAAGCGTTCGAGGGATTCTAAGATAGTAGAGTAAGAGTAGATCCCTTTTACTCCACCTCTCGATGCTATACAGTAGAGATTTAGTGCACTAAACGAGTCCGGTAAAGCGTTCGAGGGATTCTAAAATAGTAGAGTAAGAGTAGATCCCTTTTACTCCACCTCTCGATGCTATACAGTAGAGATTTAGTGCACTAAACGAGTCCGGTAAAGCGTTCGAGGGATTCTAAGATAGTAGAGTAAGAGTAGATCCCTTTTACTCCACCTCTCGATGCTATACAGTAGAGATTTAGTGCACTAAACGAGTCCGGTAAAGCGTTCGAGGGATTCTAAGATAGTAGAGTAAGAGTAGATCCCTTTTACTCCACCTCTCGATGCTATACAGTAGAGATTTAGTGCACTAAACGAGCCCGGTAGAGCGTTCGAGGGATTCTAAGATAGTAGAGTAAGAGTAGAACTCTTTTACTCTACCTCTCGAACGGGTAGGAACGGTTTTAGATGTGTTATTGTTAATGGAGAGGTTGGCTCACTTGTCGTTTATCGCTGAGATCGGTCTTGTTGCCGACCAGCATGATGATGACGTCGCTGCCGCGCTCCGTTCGAACGTCATCGATCCACTTGGATGTTTGGTGGAAGGAATTGGCGTTGGTGATGTCGTAGACGACGACGGCGACGGTCGAGTCGCGTATGTAGGATGGTATGAGGGAGCGGAAGCGCTCCTGGCCGGCGGTGTCCCACAGCTGGAGGCGCACCGTCCGGTCCTCGAGGTACATGGTCTTGGAGAGGAAATCGATGCCGATGGTGGCCTGGTAGGTGTTGTCGAAGCTGTCGTACATGAAGCGGGTGATGAGAGAGGTCTTGCCGACGCTCTGTTCGCCCAGGAAGACGAGCTTGAATTTCCTGAGGGGGTTGCCGAAGTCGCCGGACGTGGACATTTTTTTTCTATCGATTGTTGATGTATTGAAACGATCAGAGTTTGCTGGAAGCGACAACAGTATTGTGTATTGGAATATTAATTAGGTCAGTGTATTTTTCTACAGAGATTTATACACTAGAATTTCATGTAAAAAAATAGTACGTAGGCGTTTTTATCGCTTATGCAAATTAAAATGTATTCAAAAAAAAAGGGCTTATCTCCTTTCTGTTGTTAAATCGTAAATGTATATTATGACGTGTTACTTTAAATAAATTACACACACGTTATTTTCGCTATTTATAATTATTTATTGCTGAATATTAACAAATTAGTAAAGGAGATTCGCGTACTTACATTTACAGGAAAATGAGAACCGTAAGGAAACTTGAACTTGCAATTTTTTTCACGCTTCACTTATATTGCATAATTCGCGGTAATAATCTATTTATTCAGCAGGTTAAATTTTGCAGCGTTTAAACCAATACTTTTAATTAACTTTACAATTAACAAACTACTAATAAATGCATTTCGTTGGCAAGAAATTTGTCAATCGATTGTCAATGTCAACGTCAAGTGTCATGACTCATAAATGTTACGCTGAACAGCTCGGTTGATTGAGGCATGAATAGAAAAAGAAGTTTCGAAACGTCACTTAAATAAGTACCGATAAGAGAAAGATGCCTATCTTTTTAAATTCTACTGATTATAATATACCGTTTCTTGTTTATAGTTCATTCAATATTTACAACGACATTTAACAATAATAGAGTACTAATATTACCCAATGCAAATGTTACAAATACCGATTCTACATAATAAATTATCCAAATTACAGCCCGCAAGTGATCCAATAAATCTTTTCCGCTAATTCCCAGCGATTGTTTATTTTTTCTCTTTATTGCTTGCAAAATCCGACAAAACTGGCAATTAACTTCAACTAGAAATACCTTGAACTAATTCAAATGCGATTCCATTAGGCGAAATGCAAAGCAAACTCGATCGAAAATTTCGGAATTTCTTCATCAATATTTCCACGTGTATCTTTTGTTACGACTTAAAGGTGTTGCGAAAAAAGCTTGAAGCACGCTTGATTAGTTTCTATTGTTTTATTAACAATGTTTAATCAAGCATGAATGAAAATTTGATGTATAGGCAACACTTTATACATGTATGAAGAAATCTTCAATCTGAAAAATAATCAAAGAATTAATGCTTTGCTCAGATGCGTTATAGATATTCTTGTGGATAAAATAATAAAAAATTATAAAGGATGTCCTTTTAATTTACCAATAAAACCAACTACTTACAGTCGTTAAGCAAGAGCTTGTATTTTTCTCATAAATAACGGGGGATTTCGTAATGTTGTTTTAAAATTACGAGATTAGTAAGATGAGAATCGTGAAGGCGTTTCAGAAACGTCTAATTAACATGTAATTATCCTATAACAAGAGCAATGTTAATTACTTTTTTTTTATTTGGAAAGTCTTGCCATTCTCTCTATGTAAATCCGATATTGAATGTTTAACTAACTCATTAATTTTTATATATTACGTTTAATGCGCTCACAATTTAATTAACGGAGAATTTGGAATAATTAACCCGGAATTTGCCGTACATTTTCTGGTCAATAATCGTTTTATTCGTTTATTATTCAATGCGAAGAGCAATTGACTGATGGTTTCACTCTTACGCAACGCGAAATACAATCCATTAAAAACTATAAAAATTGCGAAAAAAATTCGATAAATCCCTCGACCTAATTAACCCCGATAATTAACCTAAAATTATCTCGAGATTATCTTCGGTTTCGTGTAACGAGAAAACGAATGTTTAGCAATGGATTTTTGCCCCGTTTAGAATCGAAGATCGCCGTTGTTGATAAGACATTTCGCTCCTAAAACCTGCCATTAGACGAGCTCCAAGCCGGTAATTAGGCCGCAAATTAATATAAATAAATTACAAATGAAATATAAATAAATCTGATATAATTTCGATGGAATCGTGGTGTTAATAACGGTGTGATAATCTCGCAACACTTTAATTACTCGTTAATTTTAAAACGGTTCGATATAAAAAAGTTCTGTTAATTTCGTTTTGTAGAGAAAAGAATTCTCTACAAATTTCGCAGTATGCAAAATTTTCCTAAATCCGCAAGTTTTCGAGTTATTAATACTCAAAAAAACGAATTTTCGATGCTTCAAAATTTGACGTAATAACGCTATTATTACGTATTACGTAAAACCCTTAACGAACTCTCTAATAACAAGAGCTTTATACGTATTTTGCAAATCCAAACCAAATAAATAAGTGCGTACGCATGTAATATACTTTCTCATACCGAGTGTTTTGTTGCATTAATTCCCAATTACTTCTCGCAATTATTCAACCGATTGTTGCTCATTGCTCTCCGAATGTTCGCGAAAAAGTAAAGATTCATCTAATTCCATTGTAGGTAATGTATTGTTGTCACTTACAGGGTGATTCGAGGAAATTTGTTTCGTATAGGAGGATAATTTTAGTTCGCCCTGTATCGAATTTCCACGCCATTTAAATACTAATGGCAGAGATTATTTTTTTACCGATTTTTTCGAATTTATGCAGATAGTAAAACGCGTTTAAATTGCTTTCTAAAAGGAGTTGTGGATGGTAATTTGACGAATCGCCCTGTATAAATGAGCAGTATAATGAGGATGTTTTCGCTCAGATATTGGGTAACCGGTAGATATCAAATGTATCATTTGAAATTAACGAAGAACTGGGTCGCGTGAGTAATAATAAAATTTTAGGTAACTCTTTTGTTCATAATCTGCGGAATTAGATGAATGGTTTTTCTGAAGTAGATTCGAAAACTTTACTTTGTTGCGGTTGTTTGTAGAAAATGCGCCTGTCATTTTTCTATTGTAACTCGAAAATTCAATAGCTTCATTTTTGAGTTAATTGAAGATATTTCTACGCGAAGTATTCATTGGATTTATTGGTGAAACTTCAATACGAAATACAGGTCATTGCAATTTACCCAAATTTTCGAGATATTCTCGACAATTTTCTGATAAATTAAATGACTTTGTACAGGCCATAACTCAAATGTGTTGTGTTATAAGATTGTAATCTTGCTCATCTTTTACTACACATTTCACCATCGTACTTGCTATTAAAAAAAATAAACCACACACAACCTACTGTGATTACAAATTTCTTTTAATTTTTCAAGGATTTTTAATTTTCCTTCTCTCTTCTTAAAAGCCTCTGACATTACTAAGTGACTGATTCTTCTACACATAAAGTGTACTATTAAAAGTAAAAATAACTCGAAAACTATACAATTTATACAAATTTTCGATACTTCAAAAATCGTAGAGAATATATTTTCCTTCACAATAGAGTTTACAGGGTGATTCTAAGTTAAACTATTTAGGAGTTACAAAGGAAAATCGATCGCTGCGCAAGCTTAACTAAATCGCATCTAATATGATTTAGCGCGTACCGAAAAAGGTATTAGAAGTTCTTGCACGGCAATCTCGATAAAAATAAAAACCGCCGCAATCCAGTCGGCGTGGGAGGAAATTGGAGTAGAGTAAAAGTGTTTCAGCACTCTTGATTCTTGAGATATATTTACCCGTACACAATGGGATTACTAAAGAACATCTGCCTGTATATAAGCCGAAATTTATTCGGCAGTTTGTTAGTCGTTCGTTTGGATTTTAAGCCTACTTAGCGGTGTTTGTTTAATTTGATTCTTTTTTCAAATTTGCGTTTCGATCTACTTCGAAATTTTGGATTTGTAACGAGTGCGTGATTTTTCTTAGTGTACAATCGATTTGTTTGGGATTTTTAAACATGTTGTTTGAAGTAAGTTATACGTCAAGATTACTGTGGAACCAAGGATATTTCGATTTTTGGATTACATTTAAATTAAATTGATATCATTATAATTTTTTTAACAAAAATTAATAGTAGATAGATAAAAATATAAGTAATTATGAAAAAAACAAACACAAACAAAGTGAAACAAACAAAACAATTTTTGATCATTTAAAAAAACTACTTTCGAAATTGCCCCACTCACCCCTAACCACCCATTTCAAACCGTACTCATCGCGAAACTCCCCCAAACAGGTCAGAACATCCCTCCTGCTGGCCGCGTTTTGCGCAATCGCCAAAACCGAGCCCCCCAGCACCGACTACGGCACCCCCCTGGGGGCCCCCATCACCAATTACCAAGGGGCCGGCGCCCAATACAACCCTCAAAGCACCTACAACAACAACAACAACCACCTCAACTCCTACAACAACAACAACCACAACTCGTACAACAACTACAACAACAACAACGGAAACGGGGGCGATCACGGTGATCACGATCACCACGATCACGGCGACGGAGAGGTAAGTGGTACAATTTTTCGGAAAAATCCACCAACATCATTGCATATATATGCTACGTTCGCTTTAACGCAGCGATGACGTCACGACGCAGTTAACTTCTTTTGTATGTATATACTTTCAGCCGAAATCGTACGAGTTCGGGTACCAGGTGAAAGACGACTACACGGGCACCAATTACAACCGGCAGGAATCCAGCGACGGGAACCAGGTCAGGGGTGAATACAGGGTGGCCCTGCCCGACGGTCGTACCCAAATCGTGACGTACTGGGCCGACTGGAAGAGCGGGTTCCACGCCGACGTCAAGTACGAGGGCGAAGCTCACTATCCCGAGCAGTACAACAAAGGGTACCAAGGCGTTTCGAACCAATACGGCGCTCCGTCATCAGGGTACAACGGTAAGTACCCACTACGCCTGCTGGGATTACTGTAAACCATCAAATAGTGCCAACTGACAACCTCCTAATTGTCTGTCATCTGTCATCTGTCATCTGTCATCTGTCATCTGTCATCTGTCATCTGTCATCTGTCATCTGTCATCTGTCATCTGTCATCTGTCATCTGTCATCTGTCATCTGTCACGTTATTTTTTTTTCAAGGTTACAACGCCATTAATAATTTAGCGAGTAATAGTCAAGATGGCTACAATTACAACAACAACAACAATCATTTCGACTCGTCGTACAACAGCAACAACAACAAACCGAGCAACGCCTACGGAGCTCCATAGTTTAAATTAGCTTTCGACATTTGTTGTGTCATATGCACTGTATAAAATATATACAGGGTGTACCGTTAGATTCCTAGGTTTAAGTTGTACAGAAGAATTTTGTATATTTTTTTATGTATGATAGGACATTTTTTATACACTTTTTTATACGATGAAATTAATAAATTTATCATCAAATATTGAACAATTGTAATCATTAATACAGGTATTAATTTAAAATGCTCTCGGTACAAAACAATTCACGAAGGAAATTAATTTGCTGATGGCGTTTTCAGTAATCTATCGGTAATTTTTCCCATATTTAGTCATTGAATTGAAACTGATGATGTGCAAACTGGCCGTAATTGAATTTTTCGCAATCGAAATTGTTTCTGTGGGAGTTTCGCGAGCGATTTTTATCTTGACAATGCGATCGTTCGGTTCTCAAAGGAGCGTCCGTTGCAAAATTTTCCGCGAAGAAAAATCGGGGTCACTTAAAAAAACGATGTTTCTTTTTTGAAATATCGCTTACATGTACAAGTAAACAAGTTGTTATTCTTATCATGGAACTTCCACTGATTAGGCAACTAGGCAGCAGCTTAATTAGATCCCTAATTACTCGACATATATGAACTATTTTCTCAACCAATTAAGCCATAAAAACCTTTAATCGAGGAATACCTAAACTCATCAATAGCTTCGAAAATGTTTAGCGGAACTGTAGCTATTTTATTCACAACATTTACCTACGTATATTGTGAGTATTTCTTCTCCAATTTCTCCACATATTTCAAACAATTAAATATCCTTCTAGGCGGCTACAATACAGAAACTTACCACATCAATCCTCAAACCACCCGCATCGTTTACGAGCACAGCGACGAAGACTATTACGTGTTGAACGTGGGACTTCCTGAAGTACTCGTGGAACTCATCTTCGGCAACCACATCAAATGGCTTGGTGTAATGGGCCGGTGCAGGCTGAAGCACGCGCAGAGTTGCTCCTTCAAAACCTTCCCTTACGCTTATAAAGGTATATAAGATACGCACAAAACCTGTTAACAAATTCCACGCTGTATATTTTTCGCGTTTAAGATGCGTTCGATGATACTTTAGTGTCAAAATTTATTCAAAATTGACAATAATGACGTATCGAATGACAGAAGCACGGTCCTATATTTCTAAGGTCTTGAAACCACAGAATATACATAAACTACACAATAAAGCACAGTAAGAAAGGTTATATTCAAACTAAAAATAGATACAAAATATACCTTAATCAGCGATGATTTTGTTAACATTATGCCTCACCTACCTCCGGTTAATGTATTTCTCCATTTTCTCCTCGAAATGTCAAAAAATAATTTTTGAAGTTTTGACAGCTTGAACTGTCGTTTCACACAACCGCGATTTAAATGTAGCGCCACTCTGATTGGCTGAGATAATTTGGTCCTCCGATCGTTTGCAACGGTGTGGCTCAAAAGTGAAGCTCAAAAAGTCCTCAAATAACGGGACACATTCTCTAATGCATAAGAATAAGAGATTCCAAACCTTAGAAATATAGGGCCGTGCTAAATTTATTCAAAATTGACATTAATGACGTATCGAATGACAGAAGTTTAATAGAGGTGGAAATCGATATGTTTGTGTAGAGGTGCGGTAACGACTGTTACAAAATAACCGTTATTGTTCTCCCTATACTCGATTTTAGTCGAAATTAATGTTGTTACACTCATTTTCTAGGTATAAAAGTAATCAATAACAACGAATTGAGCTCGTACGTTCACGGTTTCGGTTTGAAGTACGGTTTTCCCGAATTCGATTCCCGACCGAACGACTACTTTGATGTGAACGAATTGGCCGAAACGATAATATCCACAGGAGCAACGTACGTTCCGTATGTAGGCGAAATACTGAGCAGTATCGTGGAGTATTTTTGGCCCAAAGAAGAAGTAGACGTATGGGATCAAATAGTCGATAAAGTAGCGCGATTAAACGCATTTTAAACGCCATATTGTACACGACAATTCCCGTAGGTATCCGATTTGATCGACGAGAAAATCCGATCGGCCGTCTACGATCTGCTCGCGGGCGATCTGTCGCATTACAAATCCAGAATCTCGCTGCTCGACTACGAAATCCAACACCCGAACATAACGAAATCCCTCAAGAACCACTACATAAACATCGCCGAGGATCTGATCGGTTTCGAGAAGAAATTCGTGTTCCAAAACTCCCCGGACGCGGTAAACACCAACTTCTTCATCCTACCTCTATACAGCAATGTAATCACCTTGAAGATGACCTTCTACTTGTACGGCATCAAAAACTGGCAGCTGCTCGGTTTGGACCCCGACGAGCACGTCAACCGCCTCAAGTACTACACCTACAAGCTCCTCTACGACCACGAGGGCGCCTTGAACCACGTGAACACCGTCGTGGAGAAGAAACTGGCCCGCGCCTACGCCTACACCTACCCCGAGCACATCTACGACACCTTCGCCAATCTCCGGCAATTCGCCGCCCTCAACGGCTTCGAGTTCCTGCCCGTGTGGAAGGCCATGGTGGCCCGTCCGCTGGCGGAGGCCCGGCCGGAGATCCCGGCGGTGGCCTTTTCCACGCAATTCGGCCGGAATACAGCCAAACAATCCGCCCAGATCCTCCAACCGGCGGTGCCCCTTCAACCGGACGTCATCAACGGCACCCTCAACGTGCCCAAGAAGATATTCATCTTCACGACGCCCCGGAACCGCATCGGAGGCTTGAAGATCATCTACGAGAACGGGGACGCGGTTTTCACGGGACCAACGCGGAAAGGTGCCCACGTGGTGGTCGATTTGCAAGGTACTTCTTCTTCGACTGTAGACCTCTATTTAGTACTAATTACAGCGTTGCAGGTAGCGATATAGAGTTCATAGGTGTTAGAGGAACGGGGCAAATCGAAGGTATGCAGTTCGGATTGAGCGACGGAAGAAAGGTGAGCGCCGGCGTCGCGACGGGCGCGTTCCGGAGGTTCCGAATGAAGAACCATCGAATCGTCGGTATATTGATGACCAATTCCTTGGTGCGAGTACCCAAAGAACAGGCTGCTAATATTGCTGTTAGTTACCAAGCCGTCTATACGCAATGAATTGTTTTTGTGAAATTTTACTTGCAATAATAATTTAATTGGACAGATCTGATTCATCCTGAAGCATTCTAAATTGTTTTTGGATGGTTCTAATTCTTCCCGAAGCGTTATAAATGGTTCTGAACAGTTGTAATTTATACTGAAGTGATCTAAATAATTCAGGAAATATCCTGAAATGTACTAAATTGCTCTAATTCATCCTGAAGCATTCTGAATGATTCTGGACAGTTCACATTTATTCTAAAGCGATCTAAATAGTCCTGGGCAGTTCTAAATCATCTTAAAGCGTTCTAAATAGTCCTGGGCAGTTCTAAATCATCTTAAAGCGTTCAAAATGCAACTAAACTTATTTCGTTCGTCAGAAGCGTTGGCGTTGCGCATTTTGCGCTATTTCTCGGTAATATAAAAATAATTACGAATCAATTGCGAGGTGAGTAGCGCGGGGAAAAGCATAAATCCGCCCGGATAAGAGATGAAATCGCGAGGAAAATTCATCTCGTGATCGATGACCCTTGGAGGATCGGTGCGTGGAGCCCAGAAGAGCCGGGGGTTTTCAAAATTGTCTATTTGAAAATGGTAATGCGAAAATGCGGGGCTGCATGCCCGCGAGTCGGAATAAAAGTAACACCCTATTTCAACTTTTTCGGAACAATATTCATGTAAATGAGGCGAGAAGTCATCCCGACATGTCTCCGGGAAATGTATACTTTTTTAATATCCCACGCTCAACGGTGGATTACTATTTTTTTTTGCATTGTAGGAATTTAAGATGCGTTCGATGATACATTAATGTCAATTTTATTGACGAATTTTATTGACATTAATGACATTTCGACTGACGGAAGTTTAATAGAGGTGGGATTGGGTGTTTCGCTGTAGAGGTGCAGTAACGATTGTTAAAAAATAACAGTTATTTTTCATAAATCGATCTGTTTCGGTATTTTTTTTTTCAGGGCGAGCGAGGACAAATAAATAAATCTTCCGGATATGTAAATTCGCGAATGAAAAAGACGGAACGAACGATACATGCGGTTTTAAGGATCATCCGAGTGCTTCATTTTTCGCTCGCCTGATGAAAAAATTATCAACGAGCGCCCGCGAGAAAAAGACCGGATTAAAAAACACGACCCGGAATTCTAATTCGGCCGTTTAATTAAAAAAAATATATTTACTTATTTTCGCGCGCCAAATAGAACTGGTTTAGTTTCATTAGGTGGAGGAAAAACGGGAAAAGTTATAAGAAAAAAAATGTAGTACTTTATTAACTAATTACGCCGATTTATTATTTGGTGTTTTTGAAACGTTCCATAAACTATCCCAAATGAATGAAACTCGTTATTAATGGAACCACTTAAATATTACACAAGTATTTTTTACCCTCTCTCGCTGAGAAATTTTTCGGAATACTAATAACTTGATGATTAAATCTTAAACTACTACAAACATTTCGTTTAGCCCCAATTTTAATTAGGTATATACTCAACAAGAACATTGCTAGGTATCAGAATTTATAGGAATAAACATATCTTTTACTCAAATATTACTCATTTTTTCCGGCTATTCTCTTAATTATAATCTCCCATTAACGCTGTTAGAGCGCTTTCAGGTATAGCTGTTAAATATTGACTCGATCACAAATGGAAATATGACGGGTATATCCGGCGGATTTCCACTTTGAAGCCGATCGAATCGGATAATCTCAGCGCTCATTCCTATCGCGTTTAATTGGAAAATTACACGCTAAGAAAAAGCTGCAACTTTTTCCGGAAAATTGTTTATTAACAACATTAATTTAGTAGTTCATGTATACCTGCAGCTCTTTGAAGTATACTATACCTAGTTTATTAATTTTTTCCCCCGAAGATGTCGAATGGAAAGTTGTGATTAAATTTTTCTCTCTACCGAAAACTTTGTACTGAATTTAATTTGTACCGAACGCAACTACAAAATCGAATGGAATCGATAGCCCTGAACTGTTTCAAATGGTACTAATTAATTTCTAAAATGGTTCTAAATGGTTCTGGAATGATTTTGAACAGTTCTAAATAGTTCCAAAACACTACAGAACTGTTTCGAATGGTAGTGGTCAGTTTGAAATTGCTTCAAAATGATTCTGGAATGATTTTGAACAGTTCTAAATAGTTCCAAAACACTACAGGAGTGTTTCGAATGGTAGTGGTCAGTTCTAAATTGGTTTAAAATGATTCTGGAATGATTTTGAACAGTTCCAAATAGTTCCAAAACACTACAGGACTGTTTCGAATGGTAGTGGTCAGTTTGAAATTGCTTCAAAATGATTCTGGAATGATTTTGAACAGTTCCAAATAGTTCTAAAACACTACAGGAGTGTTTCGAATGGTAGTTGTCAATTCTAAATTGGTTCAAAATGACTCTAACAGCTAAATTTTCCGGATCTTCCGGATTTCCCCATTCGACATGATCACTTATTTACATTAACCAGCCGACGTAAAACCGTTTATTATAAGAAATCGAACCATTTAAGCGACCGTAAACCGTCTCCTCCACTTATGCTTATTAAAACCAGCATTAAAAAGATTCGACCTTCGCGCGAGAGATGCAACAAATAGAAATGAGGATATAGAAGAGCCGAAGGAGAGGAATAAGGACGGGACTCGGGCCCCGTACCGGGATGGGGGCGAAGCCGGCGAACGGGCGCACAGTCACTCCTCCTTCGGTGGCGTTTCGAGCGCATGTGGAATCTTCGGATGGTTGGTGAGAGGAGTCGCTCTCGCGCCAAGCCAGTTGCAGGGACTCCAACCAGTTGCACCACTGTCAACGCGACTAAATAGAGGTGAGTTCGATGTGTACTTAGAGGCTCTGTGGGTCTTTGTCTTCGATTCGTTTCTATTGTAGATGCTAGAGCAAGGGTAGTTGATGGGATTTTCGGGTGATTTTTGGTGAATTTTTGGGGAATTTTGGGCTGTATTGGTAACGTTTTGAAGGGGATTTGTTTTTTGTTGATGGATTTTGTTGATGGGGTGAATTAAATGGGGAATTAAAACAAAATGGTAGGTAATAAGGTGGAGATTTTGGGAGTGTTGGTGGTTTTTTAGAAGGTTCTTTTTAAAATTGGATTTTAAGGATTTTTGGTATTTTCAAAATCTCCAAGAATTAAAAAATTAATTTTTTTTATGGATTTTTGTAATGAGTAGATTTTTTTGGTTCCTGATAATTTTTTACCCATTTTCCTAATACTTTCAACCGAAAAAAATAACTTTTTTTAGATGAATTCGTGAAATTAGCGCATATTTCATGACTATTAAAAATTTTTTTAAACCAATTTTCCCAATATTTTTCAACATTCCTCCTGTATAATCACCACTACACAAGACACTAAATCATCCAAACTACTAGAATTAATCCTTATGCAGCAAAATTCTCCAGCAGATTTTCCTAAGACAATCATCCCTCCTCCAATCATCCCACTTCTGATGATATTTAATTTCGAAAATCCGCCGTGATTTATGACTTTAATTGCGACGTAGAAATTTCTTATTTGACCGGACGAAAACAAAACCTTCGGGCCTAATCAAGATTTCCAGCGCTAATTAGATTGTAATATCTGCGCGATACTCTTTCGATAATTGAATTTTTAATTTCAACCGAGAAAACGGGACTTTTACATCTCCTGCAAATGGCCAATAAACCTGTCGCCATCATAAACATGTTATACACACTTACTTGTCGAAAACATAAATGCATTTCCCGCAAATTAAAACGACAATTGTATGTACGAATGAAATCTAAAACGAGTAAAAAGTTAAAAAGACAGCGTAATATTAAAATTAATACGCTGTCGTATTAACTATCTAATGGCCGCGTTTAAGCCGGAAAACTTGGCGCATTTCCGCTAATGGCCGCGCTAACGAACTTTCCCTCCTCCACACTGGCGTAATTTTCGCCCGTTGACTTTCAAAAGGGCCAATTCCCACTGTGCTCCGCGAATTTTTCCGTTTCCCAAGTTTCAAACAATCACTTCTCGTGCACTTACCTAAATTGCGCGGATCGCTCGCGGTCCGGAATTCGCCCCCCGAGCCGTTTCATTTGCATGGAAAAAGCCGCCGCGAAAAATCGAATCGCCCTGTATAGTCGATAAATTGCATACCGAAATTAAATGCGTTGAATGTTGAATTGATTCGAAAAAAATTCAAAAATTGACATTAATGACATTTCGACTGACAGGAGTTTAATAGAGGTAGGAACCGGTTTTTTGTATAGAGGTGCTGTAACGACTGTTACAAAATAACAGTTATTTTATACATATCTTTCTCCTTTACTGGATTCTACTCGATAATTTTCGGGCACTCATTTAATCACCGTGTATTTTTCGTTCATGGGAAATGGAAAAAGATTATCTCATAAGCGGATTTGCGCAATAAAATTTGGCCCCGAGATAACGTCAGTTTCGTAATTAATTTCGCGACGCAAATACGTATCAATATGTATCGTTGATTTTATAATAAATTTGAGTATAATTTGTACGGTTTGCTGCGCACCGTAGAGACGAGGCCAGGAATTTCCTTAATATCCTACACTGTACACTATGGTGAATTAATTCATTGTTGCCGGAGAACAATAAGGCATTGTTAAGATTTCTCCGATGAACGATTAATTATTGGGACATTCTGTATAAATAGGTAATATATAGGGCGTTTCTTTCATACAGCATGGGAGATTTGAAATGGATGTGATATGTGATACAGCGTGTCCCAAAAAAGTGTCAAAAAATTCGCGACTATACAGTGTGTCCCAATAAAAAAACAATACGCTGTACAAAAATGCTTCCATTTCGAGTAATCATAAAGGAGCAACAATTTTCCACCATTTCCACAGCTGAACTCAAACACCTACTAAGTCAAAGGCCACCAGAATTTCCCGAAAATTCCAATCATTACGAGCGAGTAATTGCGCAAATTTAGTTTGCATTAGAACTAAACGTAGGAGCGCCGCATAAACGCCTTTTAAACGGCCCTTTCGTTGGCCCTTAACGCTCCTTGTATTCCGCCACATAAACACCTTCGACGTGAACTGGAGAGTTCGAAATCGAATTAAGTATCCGGAACGGTTCGATCCCACGCACCCGCTGGGTATCCACGCACCACTCGAATCTGTTGCTTCGAAATATCGATTGTACGAGGGGCGTTCGGAAAGTCGCCGGCTCGAACGCTGTACGAGGGCCGGTCGATTTTTCGCGCCGAAAATCAGCATATTCGTCGGGTTAAATCCCGCAGGAGGAAAGCGGATTGATCGATCAATTATTTATCCGGTTTAAGTGGATCGCGTTCGGAAAAATATGAATCGTTGCGATGGAAATGAATCGAGCGGGAGGAGCGTTAAATTAAATTAAATTAAGATGTTGTATTCGTTTCTCGGACGCTCCAGGAATGTGCTCCGGCGAATTAGGTTGACGAAGGGTTTACTTAGGCCCGAAAAGGGTTCGGGATATTACGCAGGAATTTTTCGAATAATAAGATCGAAATTAACAACGTTAAAAGCGAGGGAATCACCCGGTAGAAAGTGTGCTGAAAAATCGAAAAATATGTACTCGGCGCTCCGGGGAATTCCCCGTTTTCGTTAAGGAAAAGTTTCTCCCTCGACCAAATCGAATAAGAGGCTGCACAGCAAAAGGCCAATTGAAGGTAAACACGCGGGTGAGAATAAATTCGATCAAAACCGGCCAATTTTAACCGATGTTTGCTATATTAAATAGGTTTCTAATCGAAAATTTCCATACACACGAAACTTACGTTACGCAACAAGTCTTATTAATTAATACTACTCAATTTAGAGGTGTTTCGATATCGGGAAAACGTGGAAATTAATTAATTAAACGCACAATGATCGAAAATTGCGCAGTTTTTGAGTGTAGACCTTACTGCTAGTGTATATGCCGTAGAAAACTCGTATTAAAAATGTTTTTAATGAGCTTCGACAGGGCTTAATACTTCAACCCTTCAGGAGCGATAAATGATAATGATACAACGTTGGAAGGGAAAGGGCGAATTCGGCTTTTGTGCGGGTTCTAATGGATCCCCGTCGATGATGGTGATTGAATAAAGGCATTTTTCGAAGCCTCATCGACGATCAATCGCTAATAACATTGTAGTTTAGATGAAACAAAACGGTTTAATTACCGCGAATGTAATTAGCGTAATTTATTTATCTGGCGTAATAAAATTTATGTTGTATTAGTTCGATTACGGGAGCGCGTTTTATATGTCAAATGCAAACTAAATACCGCAATTAAATCGGCTAATAATGGCAATGCAAATGAGATATTGGCCCGAATAATAAACTCATTTTGCGGAGTTGTAATTTCGTTCAAAAATAAATTCGTTAATTTACTTATTAATTGAATTACTCTCGCGCCCCCGTAGGGGACGTACGGGAATCTTTTTGATCGAAATAAATCGCCTATACTTTTTAGCTCGATTTGTAGCTAAACGGAAAGGCTTTCACGAACCGGAAGAGTTATTGTTTTTTGTAAAAAGATTCTATTTTCATTCGCGTAGACAATGCGGGAAAAACATTATTAAAAAGTAGGTAGGGAGAAAATCTCTCTTTTATCACGCCTTCGCACGTAACAAAAAACTTACATAATCAATTTGAAATGTATATAGCTTATACTCTACAAACTTTATTGTCCACCGAACAACAAATAACGATTTAAAAACGAAAATAAATGTAAAGTGCATCAATTTGACAGTAGGTGTCTTAATTTGACATTAAGTGCGTTCGTTTGAAAATAGGTGCGTTCGTTTGACAGTAGGTGCGTTCGTTTGACAGTAGGTGCGTTCGTTTGACAATGTTAACAACAATTTTAACAACTAAATAAAGAATAATTTAAGAAATATATCACAATGTTTGACGCGCAATACGCGAACAATAAACTATTTAATTTCGAATTAAACCCTGACAAAAGGCTCGTTCCAGCATGGCTCTTCGCCATGTGGTCATCTTCAATACGATAGTGGTCCTGTGGTGTCTGCAAGGGGACGCCCGCGCCACGGCGGACGCCGTCGACAAGAAGGACGCCTACCTGGTGCAGGACAAGGTCAGGCGGCTCTTCTTTCCCGCCATCGACGCCCGCAAGATATCGCAGCGGGCGGCCTTCCAGAACATCGACCTGCTGACGGCCAGGAGCTTCGGCAAGCGGGCCGAGTGCTATGGGGGCTCCTGCGAGAAGCGCGTGCCCCAATTCGGCGCCAGGTTGTACGGCAAACGGGACTTCGACTTCGGCCGGCTCAGATGGTGAGTACAACCGGTATTTCTGGATCAACTGGATATCCCCAATTTCTGTCCAAAAATAGACCAACCCAACAAACATTCCAACAGGTTTCCGAGTTAGCAAGCTCTTCTGAAGGTTCCGAACGTTCCAGAAATACTGTAGTTTGTCACGTTTTTTTGGTACTATTGGCCTTTTAAAACAAAGTTGTCTAGTCAATAATATCTTCTTAACGTCCTAATAGTTTCAAAGGTACTCTAGATTATGATGATTTAGGTATTATAGACATCTTTAAAGAGGGTTATCCAGTTATTAAGTTCTTCTGATTATTCCAAACGTTCCAGAATCACTCTAGTTTATAAAGAATTTAATACTATCGGCCTTTTAATGCGTGGTTATCCAGTCTTAATATCCTAATCTATCCAGAATTCTTCATCATATTTATTACGATTTGGGTGTTATTGGCCTCTTACCAAAGGACAGCCAGTCGTAAACTTTTCATTTAATTAATTTAATTATTATTTATCAGTACTTTGACTACTAGCTTACTAGTAGCTTGCACTTTGATGTTTGATTAAATTGGAATATTTCCAGTAGTTTGCTTGACGTAGTTCGATGCCTATATTGTCAACAATTTTATAAAAATGCGGAGGTAAAATTGCATTTCGTGTTTCCCGAACCGCGCATTTCGCATCCAAATATATTCCAGGAATAGAAAGTAAAATGGTTTATCCACATGGTAAAGCTCCTATATTTCAGGAAATACGTAGGAAAAGCATTTGATTTGCACGTTACGAATCAAATGAATATCAAAAATCATTTTCCCACAAGCAATTAGCGTGGGAAACGTTGAAATATGCAAGAACCGATTTTTTTCCTCCGGTATATATCGCATCAATTCATGCAATATTTGATGCGGTTTGGAATATTAATGCGCTTAAAAGCGATCGCCCGGACCCGACCCGGTTCAAAGAGCTTTTTTTGCGTAAATTACGGGACACCGGAGTTTCACACAATATGTGAAAAATAACGGTTATTTTGTAACAGTCGTTACTGCACCTCTATACCAAAAAATCGGATGCCCATCTCTATTAAACTTCTGTCATGCGACATGTCATTCCTGCCAATTTATGAATATGTACCATCGAACGCATCTTAAAGTCCCGTTTTTCGTTTTTTCGTAAATTCATTTAAAATTAGATATAGTCGAGTAAGATTAGATATAACGCAACGCATATGTAAGATTTACCGACTGAATTGCGTGCAATAAAAGCGTTGTTTCGTAATTACCGCGAGTCGTGGACGTTTCTTCGGGGCGAGTAGAAGCCGAGGGAAAAAAAAGGTATATAAAGAGTAAACGTAATAAAGCTCTTATCGCGCCGGTAATTGTGACTTTTGGGCGGATGGTCTTTCTCAGCGTGTTTCATATAGAAGAGATTTTTCTAATTACATCCGTCTGGTTAGTTGTGGCGGAGGAAACCAACCCGGACGAGAATGGCTCGTAAAATTAGAAAAAAAATCCGATACGAACCTAACACAATGCGTATATATTTTTATTCTTCTTCGATCGCCCCGGTTTTCGTGTACCTCCCGTGGGTATTTGGGTTTGCTGGAGTGGTTAATTTGTTAATTTGCGCGGATGTTTCCCCTAAAACAAACCCAGCGGAACACAAAAAGGCTCTTGTGCACGTACCTCTTATCGCAGACATTCTTTCCTTGTTATATTAAAGCTCGAAGGTAACTAATTTTTTTGTTTTTTTTTAGTATTTTGGCCGATTGCGCGGGAATGGAAAACTCCGGCAGATACAGAAGGCACTCGTCCGGCATCTTCCACGCGGATCATCCTTTATAGATAATAACAGTTATACATACATGTATATTTCATTGTGATTGTGCATCTGAATGTTGTACCCGATTAATGTATATTGATAATAACGCTATAGGATATTTTCATTTTCCGAATTTCGACGATGTTGAAACGGCAAAAAATCAAATGGCAAATAAATCGTGTGTTTGAATAAATCATCTGAAATGTTCCCTTTCGATTAATCAATTCGAATTAATGGACTTGGAAGTTTCTCGGGCGAATATTTTCCAAAAAAAATATTTTCGACTCGTATTAATGGAGTATAAACTACTTGCTAGATTACATTACGAAAAACAAGTTCATTATTGCTATCAAAAATAGCCCACAGAAAATTTATTAATATATTATCACGATTGTAAATCGTGTTAATACACAAAGAGTTGTTCTGATTTGTATATGGAGGAAATTTTTACCCAGGGATAATGTCCTATTTTAAATAAATTCAAAAAAAATACCAAACGATATAAACAAGTTGTATGTATTTATATCTCGAACATGCAAAGTTGTGTAATCAAAATAATGCAATTTTCAAATGCGCATTATAATCCAAAAACCACATGATTCACATTAAATTTTCCATGTCAAAGTTCCTATACTGAAAAAAACCCAGATTAAGCAGGACGCGCACTGAATCGACTGAGATCTTAGTACTTAAGGCCTCTCTTAAACCCTCTAAATTATTACTTTATGAAAGAAAAAGTAGCACTTAAGGCCCTTTTTAAAGCCGTCTAATTGTTGCCGGTGACGTAAGAGAATTTAGCCAATCACAGTGCTCGATTTTCACAAAATTGAAAAATTCTACAATCAGCCAATAAGCGCTCTCTAAGAGCAGCGACGTCACTACGGAAGCTATATTTTATAATAATTATCTCGATTGCTCCAATTAACCGACCCAAAAAACTACAAATCAAACAAAAATCACTATACATATTCTCATTCATGTGAATTTCCGATGCAATTTCACCGTCCGTAAAAGCAAAAACGTGTAAATAAACGATGTTTACAAAACACGAATGCCGATGGTAAACACGGTACGGGCACGTGATCGTCTGTACAACGACCAATAAGATTCGAAATATAAAAGACACGGGATTTATCGGCGATATTCCAGACGTAAAACGGTCGCGCTCGCTCAGTTATTTTCTATTATTCGTCGCAACTCGATCGAAGTGCACGTTTGCTAGTTAAATTTATCTTCGTGCTAAAGTTATTGTTGAAGGTAAGTACATAATGGTTCTTGATGATGTAACTTGTAATGTAGAAACGTTTAATTAAATGTTTTATTGCCGAAATATTGGGATTTTTATGAGTTAACGGGCTAAACGGGCCCGTTATGAAAGTAACCTTGTAAAGAGAGTAGAATATGTAGTAGGCCTTGTAGGCATAGCGGATTGGGTTTCGTGGCCTTCACCTGCCAAATTAAGCAGCTAAAAATATTATTTTCATTGCGATAGGTTAGCGATAAAATTTTTTGCGACTAATTAAAAATAATAATAACAGTAATAGGAAGCAGACGGTGGGTAAATAATCTATTTTTATTCTCTACTTTATAGCATATTGTTATTTATAGATTGTGAATTCGCGTCAACTTTCTCTATGTAAATTCCGCGAGTCTTGTAATAGAATGGCTATTTTTAATTTTCGTTCAAATTTAAATTCGTAAGTTTATTTTAATATATTTGAATTGATTAATTTTGTCCAAATATTCTTTTAAATTAACGATTTTTGTCGCAAAAATTTGATTTTGATATATTTGTCAAACTTACCTGTCAATGTCATTTATACGTCAAATTTGTCAATATTTTGTAAAAAGGCTAAAAAGGCTTCCAGAAAAGTTCCATACGCTCATCTCTTCCAAAAAATCGAATTATTCTACTAAATAAGTGGGAAGTTTTTAAATCGATCTATCAAACTTTTGATATTTATCGGGCATTAATACAAGTAAGTCATTTCAAGCTCGAATAAATCTACCGAATTAGTATAAATTGGTATTATTAGTATAATCTATTAGTATAATTTAACGAATTTCGTAACATCGTAACACAGCAATTCCAATTAAAATTATCTTCTAAACGTTTTATCATAAACAACTTGTTTGCAAAAAAAATTCCGCTCTAATGAACGATAATTTTTGCAAAGGTACAGATAATCTCCTTCCGCAAAGAAACGGCAAACAGTAAACCAATTAAATCGCCGATATCGAATTCTTAAACAAACTAAAATTATCAATAAATTCCATTTACGTCAACGATTAATTTATCGACACCCGATTAAATAATGCAAGTCTAATTTATCGGACCCCATCCGACGCTCGATTAAATCCAAATCTATCGTTCTAGAGGTTCCATTAAACATGTACACCCAAACGATACAAGAAGAGGCCAAACTGGACGCCATGCAAAGGCACTGGCTGCAACTCCGCCGAGGCCCCAGCTCTTCCACGGCCTTCTTCGAGGCTGCCAGCGGAACCGAGAACTTGTTTTCCTTGCCATTGCAAGTACGTATAATATTATATCTTTACCAAAAAAACAGGACCGGATTATCCCATAGTGACCTCATTTACTAACTTAAAAAAACCTTGGGGTTATTCTTCATCTAAATCCGGCCCTGACTAACAAATGACTAACAAATGTACTCATCTAATTCATTTTAATCGTGTCGATAGATTGTATTTAAGCGATTGCATTGTTTTTTTTTTCTCTCAGAATTCTCTGGTTGACGTTCAGAGGAGCGCGTGTTTGCCAGTTTTTAAAAATTTGAGCTGTGATTTGGACAGTGATTCTGAATTGTTAGACTTACAAGTAAGTGATCGGGCGACGAATTCGATTGCATTATCGAAGCGAAAACGTTATACCGTTAAGTAAAACGTTGGATTTATCTTCCAGGACTTGAAGCAACCGAAATGCGAGAAACCCGCGAGGGAGCCGTTGGTGTTAAACGCCTCCGTGTTGGGCGACATACCGGGCGTTTACACCGTATGCGCCTTGGAGCCCCATCAGCTCCCCGTGGCCGGCGTCTACATCGACAGGAGCATCGTTCCCGGTTTCAAATACCGCGTGAGACCTCTGCCGGCCGTCGGGGCGCCTTCGACGATCAACGGATGCCTGTTCGGCGGCCGGGCCTTGACCCTCAAGTCGATCGGAAGAGGCTACGCCAGACGGTTCACCTTCCACGACGACAAATCGTTGATCCGCGACGAGGATTGCTACTTTTGGAGCGACAACCGGCCGGAGGGCTACGCCTTCGAGCCGGAACTGCTCTCCGAAGGCGACGAGTTCACGATCTTCAATTCGAACGGCGAGCCCGAAGGCACCGTCGAAGTGCTTACGTTGGAGGTGAGACTCGCGATTTTACGTTAGAACTTACACCGTTTATTTTTTTCGATTAATATCGACATGTCAATGAATACCGTTATATGCATTTTGTCCGAATGAATGTTTGTATCAGACACGCACGCGTTGCCAGCGGAAGAGCTCGGGAAGCGGTCCGTTGACGGCCAACGAAAATAATGGTGCTTCGTAAGTCTTTGCAATAAAGCACGATGTTTTATAAAAGCGCGCCGGCGCGTACTTATGATGCTCGCTCTTTCAGGGTCCGCAAATCGAGATTTTTAGCTCGGTGTCGGGCGGCGGCGTGGCGAAAAAGGCCGACGTCCGGTTCACAGGTAAAGTCGAGTATTACGAGACCGGCGTGGCCAAGCCGATGCACCTCGACGGGACGGTCTCGGCGCGATTGGTCGCCGGCCAATCGAGCGCCCGGATCGTTAAAGTGACCGGCGTGAAGATAGGACGGCGGCGATTCTACCTGTTGCCGGGCGTGCAAAAGATCCATAGAAGGGTGACGGTGAGAGGCGGCGACATTAAGGACGTGCCCACCAAGTACACCATGACCGGGCTCGAATCGTACGAGCTTCCCGTTGTAGGTACGATCGTACGAATCCCATCACAATACAAGTTATAAGTTACACTCTTTATGTTTTTTTTAGGTACTTACGTGGACCCGAGAATAACGCCGGGATTTTGTTACAAAGTGCGGCCGAACGACAGGAAGGAGCGGCTGTTCAACGGCGAAGCGCTGAAATTGATGAGCATCGGTATGGGGTACGCTAAACGTTTGACGTTCGAACCGACGAGTTTGGTGAATCCCGACAATTACTTGTGGTCCGATAGCCATCCGGACGGTTTGGGTTTGGAGCCCAGGGCGGTGCACAAAGGTATGAAATTCGACGTTAAAGCCGGCGATATCGTACTGGGCGAGGCTGAAGTTTTCAGAGACGATCTACCGCAAATCGAAGAACAAACTGAAAAGGTACACATCTATAAATGCAGTCTGAATATTTCGCTACACGTACGCGTTGTTTCAGATTAAAACCGCTAACGGTACGGCGATTCAAAAGTACATTTACGTGGACGTGTTCTGTCACGTTCGATTGGCGAGGACCGGGGGCGCTTCGACTGAAAACGAGGAGTATCTGATGCGCGTGTCCGGATTGGCGGTGGTAAGAAAGGAGCCCAAAGAGCACGAAGCGAAGGTGATCCGAGTGGAACACGTCGGGTTGGATTCGCATCTGCTGCTCATCTTCGCCCAGACGCACACCGAACTGACATTGGTACCCAAGAGTTCTTAAAAATGGAAACTCTTAGAATTTTAAGGGAATGATTTAGTGATTGATTCCTTTTTTTTACATAAACTGATTGTTATATTATTTTAATTTAATTTACGGAAAATAATTTATGTTCTTTTTTGTTATAAGTAAATTTTTTTTATAAATATCGTTTGCTTAAAAATCCTACAAACGTCGTTCGATTTAAAAAAAATTACATATGATACTAAAAAAAGCGTACAAAACATATTGGCTCGTATTCAGCGCCCCACTTTGAACTAAACAAGTCCTTAGTTACTCCATAACAACCATGTAAAACTGTCAAAAGTGAAAGAATCTCCTTAGTTACTCCATAACAATGTAAATCTGTCAAATGAAAGAATAAGGAGATAAACTGTCAAGTTAGAGACGCTTCTTTAAAGTGAGCAGCTGAATACGGGCCATTAAATATTATCACATTGCTAAAAATTAACTAGTTTTATGTTTTAAAATCCAAGGGTGTTCTAAAACGCCTATCGAATCTAATCTCGAGTCCGGTTCGAGAACGATCAATTTCCTAATCAAGTCTTTGGCCTCGTTGGAAACGAAAGAGGGTACCGAGAACTGCCCCTTGCTTATTTTCTTGCAAATGCCGTGGGAATTCGAGCAATCGAAAGGCGTTTTACCAGTAAGGAACTCGTAACAAACCACTCCGAGGCTCCACAAATCGACTTTTTCATTATAAGTTTTACCTACAAAATAAAAGGAGTATTAAACTAGCATTTCGAAATCGATGAGTATAATTACCTAAAACTACTTCGGGCGATAAATAATCTAGAGTGCCGCATTGTGTAGATCTTCTCGAAGAAGGTCCGTGCACGGACCACCCGAAATCCGCCAATTTAATCTCCTCGTTCTGCCCGAGTAGCAAATTCCCCGGCTTGATGTCCCTGTGTATAACTTTCTTGGAGTGACAGTAATGAAGAGCGTCCGCTATTTGCGCCACATACACTCCCGCTACTCCCTCAGAGAACCTCTTATTCGGGCACTCGAGCAACTTCGAATACACGGAACCTATACAAACATATAATTAATAAAGGGAAAAATTTAATGGATTTGTTACCTTTCGGGGCGAATTCGAGTATCATGTAAATCCTGGACTCGTCGTGGAAGTACTCGTACAGCCTGAGTATGTTAGGGTGGATTAGATGGGCTTGGATGTCGATTTCTCTAATGACCTGCAGTTCGAGGTTCTTCTGTTTGATGTCTTTCTTGAGTAACACTTTAAGGGCGACGATGAACTTGGACTTTTTCTCGCGTGCCAAAAATACGTTGGCGAACGAGCCCCCGCCCAATCGCCTGCCGATGTCGAAACTGGCCAAAGACCACACTCGCTCACCCGCCCGATTTGTCCTCATCGATTTCGCATTTTCATTAGTTTCTGTAACGGCGCAACTGCCTCTAATCTCTACGTTATTATCACTGTTTGCGACTATTTCTTGTAACGGCACTCGTTTATTGTCTAGATTTGCTTCATTATCCATTTTATTCGCTCGCTGCAATGGTCATTTCTAACGTTTTTTTCACGCGCAGTCAAAATTCAAACTGTCCTCGTCTTTTTCGCTAAACGCTAATGTGGCCTTCACCTATTCAGTAAAACAAACACACATAACCTAACTTTACAAGTTAACTGTCAGTGTGACAGTGACATGTTTACCTTTAGATAATTTAAATTCATATTTTGTAAGTGTTTTATCAGTAAAATGATAGCATTTATCGAAATGTATGCTTAAAGGTTTCAGATATCTGCTAGATAAAAGGATACTGTGTGAATGCTAGTGCACAGTGTAAGATTTATTAGAACTATGGCAAAACGACAACTACTTCTGTTATCTTCCTCCCGAGTGCACGGATGTGAATATCTGGAATTTGCCGAGAATGATATATGTGAATTGTTACAAAAGTGAGTAGTTTGTACCATTACCACTAATTCTTAATAATTTCGTTCGAATATCAGGAGCAAGGTATCGAAGATTTTGTTTATTCCGTACGCTCTGAAGGACATGGACGATTATTTGCGTACTGTCGAGAAGCCGTTTAGAAAATGGGGTAGCTATTTACACCAAGCAACGCTAAATATACACTAAATAATGTACATTTAAGGTTATAAAGTGGAGAGTATCCACAATAGCAATCCGCTGGAAGCTGTTAATTCAGCCGAGGCCATTTTCGTGGGAGGAGGGAACACTTTTCGCCTGTTAAAAACCTTATACGATCTAAATCTAATCGACCCCATCAAGAAGCGGATCGAAGCCGGAATTCCTTACATCGGATCGAGCGCTGGTATTTAATTTTATTACCCGTACATCTTCTAATTGTAACCTTATATTCCCTCCGCAGGAACCAATGTAGCTACAATCGGTATCAACACAACAAACGACATGCCTATTGTTTACCCGCCTTCGTTTAAAGCTCTAAATTTAGTACCGTTTAATATAAATCCTCATTATATTGATGCATTCCCCGATTCTACGCATATGGGGGAAACTAGAGAGCAAAGAATCGAGCAGTATTTCGAAGAAGAAGAATGTTACCCGGTTTTGGGTTTGAGGGAAGGGTCTATGTTGTACGTACAAGGGAATACGGCTGTTTTAAAAGGAATTAGTGGTGCCAAATTATTTAAAAAGTAATATTATTAAAATTGTTATTTCTAATAAGTAATTATATATTTTTTAGGAATTGCGAACCCGAAGAATTCAAAGTTGATAGTGATTTAAGTTGTTTACTAAAGTAGTTTTTTTACGCATCATTTTAAAATAAAACTTAAGCCTTATTTACAAACTAAACACCAGGAAATTCGATACAAATATTTATTATTAAAAAGTAAAAATCAAACACAACTTACTCTTGCCACTATACGCTCCGATGCAAAAACCATCGAACTTCGAAAAAACTCCTAATTTAATTCCTTACTAGCGCTAGGAGTGCAACTTACAACTAATTGCGGATATCGCGAGCTCTCCTTCTCTCGTTGTACAGCCTATCTTCCATTCCATCGCTTTCTGTGACCAGCGCGCGCTCCAAAATCACCCTGCCTTCTTTGTATTTCTGATTATCTTCCGTAGCGAATTCGTACATCCAACCTAATTTTGTATCACAGGCTTTACAAGATACATCCCTCACCTATAATAATAATACAGCATAATTTGTTTGTTATGTTAATAATGAGAGTTTGAATTGTTTACCATATGACGTCCAGTTAACATGACCCTGTCTTGCACCTCGCTGTAGGTCAGATTGACTACTTTGTTGAACAAGAAGGCCCTGCCTGTGGCCCCCGTGAATCTGGTGCTGATCAATTCCGATCGATTCGTTAAATTCGTACCGCAATGGGCGCAAGAAAACAGTCGGTTTCCGCCCATATGCTCCAGAAATATGCGACCCATATCTACGATTTTTTCCAAAAAAAAAATTGATTTCGTGGAGGAAATGATTCGAGACTTACCTAGATCTGTGAACAATTATTCGATTGCGATCTGTGGAAAATGTTGTCTCACGCTGCTTTTATTGGGAAATTTAAGTAAAATATAGAATGAAAATCGCAAAAACAAAGGTAAATAATCTGTTATAATGTCAAAAATAGGTCCTGAATGTTGCGGTGAAGCAGTCACCTGTCAATTAATTTCTTCGTTTTTTGTAGTAATTGGCAGCACTGAAGAATAATGGCTGACGTTGAGTAAGTAAATTTTATTATTTCGTTTTATCCAAATTTCGTAATTATTTACCCCTGTTATTGTTTTACAGACCAATCCAAATAATATTATGTCACTAATTGATCTAGATAATCAGAATCCTAACGTTTACAAAAAGAGCGATGACAGGACAATCACCTTAGACGAACAGGATGACAACGTAGTAGACGAATTCGATCGCAGGGAAATATTCGGTAAGTTCCCCGTAATCCAGCGAACTATCCCCTTCATAAAACCCATTTTCCAGATTTAATTCGCAACATCAACGATCCGGAACATCCCCTTACGTTGGAGCAATTGCACGTAGTCGAAGAGCACCTCATTCAAATCAACAATGCCAACAACAACATCCTCGTGCAGTTCACCCCGACCATCCCGCATTGTAGCATGGCTACATTGATCGGGCTGTCCATACGAGTGAAGTTGCTCAAGTGCCTGCCTGAACGGTTCAAAGTAAGAGTCCAAGTCACGCCGGGCACCCACAATTCCGAGCACCAGGTCAACAAGCAGCTGGGCGACAAGGAGCGAGTAGCGGCGGCGCTGGAAAACCACCATCTCATCCAAGTGATTAATCAGTGCATCGCCCCGAGGAAGCGAGCGTAGAGTCTCGACGATGACGGTGACTAACATACACTTGTCGAATCCGTGCAACATCGCTTCTGCGTACAGCAAATGCGGCAGGTACTTGAGGAAGATATTGAAATTCGATCAAATGGACTTCCAATTCGCCATGTGGCAGATGCTGTATTTGTTCATCAACCCGCAGAAGTTGATCAAGTTGTTTCAGGCTCGTAAATTGGCCAAGTCCCAATACGCTCGAGACGATCCGGCGTTTTTGGTGTTGTTCACCGGCGCTCTTTGCGTCACGAGCATCGGATTTTCGCTAGTGTTACAGTTATCTATCATGCAATTTATCATGTTTTTATTTTTCGTAATTATCGTAGATTGTTTGTGTTTAGGTATAATGGTAGCGACTTTGTTTTGGTACGTGACGAATACGTTTTTGAAGCCCAAAAACAGCCTGCAAGACGTCGAGTGGGGTTATTCGTTCGATATACATTTAAACGCGTTTTTCCCGCCGCTGATTCTACTGCATTTCATCCAGTTGTTCTTTTATAACGGGATCATCAGCCACCAATGGTTTCTGTCGGTGTTGTTGGGCAACACGTTCTGGCTGTGCTCGTGCTTGTATTATTTCTACATAACGTTTTTGGGTTACAATTCGCTTTCGTTTTTGACTAATAGCAGATATTTTTTAGCGCCCGTTCCGTGGATAGTAGTCGTGTACATTGTAAGTTTGCTAATGCATTGGAATATATCCCATATCGTTATGGTGTTTTATAAAGATAGGGTATTGTAAATACAACTGAAAATAAATAACATTCATCGTTTATTTCACTTATTCAATCCGGTGACACTAACTACGCAGACACAAGTGATACGCTGTTTGATCCGTATTAAGTAGAAAAATAATGTTAATTAGCTATTGTCTTCGTTAGTGTTCGATTTAGTGTCTTTGTGAGAAAAGAAATCGGTTCCCAAAAACGTTTGGGGGATTTCGCTGCCGAAATAGACTTTGGTGTTCTGTGCCAGCGCTTCGTATTTCTTCAATTCGATGTACTGCGGCGTGTGCAACAGCCTGTTGACTTCCGCTTCCTGTTTGATGTTGTAAAATCCGGCGTCCGCGTGGCTGCGTTGCCTGGCCAAATGCATCTCGTCTTCTATCTGCGAGATCCTCTGCAGCGATTCCTTCTCCATTATCTTCTGTTGGTATTGTATCTTGGCCACTTGTGCTTCCTTTTCGGCCTCTATCACGGCTTTCTTTCGTTCGGTTTCGGCGTCTTTTTCCACCACCTACAACACCACAAACTCGTATTTATATCTACAATTTAATTTAAATGCTTACTTTTTGATGTTGCGTGGCTATCAACAATTTGGTTTTTTCGCCTTCCATCAACTCGTAGTTCTTCCGGATGACTTCGGGGATTTTCGGTTTGGTGACTCGTACGGCCTGGATGGTCAGGCCGGGCGCCATTTCGAGCAGGTCCCGTTGCAGGGCCTGCTTCAAATTCTCGTCGATTTGATCGAAGAGATCGATGTAGACTTCGTGTAGAGTGTGTATGCTGCAGAACTGGTTCAATTCGTGGTGGACTTTGTTGAATATCAACGTCCTGTCGTAATCTGCTGTGTAATTTCGCACGATATCTATGACTGATAGAAGGAATTTGTTATTCAAGCGTTAGCTTAAGGAAATTTAATGTTTACCGCTGTTTTGATTGAGGTGATTGACTACTTCGATTCGATCGAAATAAATCATGACGCCTCCGCTTGTTCCGCAGGGTACATTCTTAACTTCATCGGTTTGTAATGTTACCTAAAACATTATTGTTTTTAACCGAATTAAGCAAATAAACACCAGTAAAAAAACAACCTGAACTGGTTTATAAATAGTTAATAGAGGAATCATCATGTGGTATCCCGGTAAACTAACGAGTGGTAGAAGAGCACCGCCCTGGAAAGGAGAACTTATAAACAAAATATACGCAAATCAATAATGTACTTACCCTGTAGTATACACCAACGTGTCCTTCATCGATTCTATGCAGGGAATAGTTGAAAATTAAAAAAATTGCAGAAAACAGCGAGCCGAGGAATAAATGACCGGATAACGTTATCGCTCGTGGCATTTTCCTGCAGAATAATTGTTATTGATAAGCTCGATGTTAAAAGCGCATTATTCACGCAAGGTGTTATTTATAATTCAACAATTAATTGATTTTATAATAATACTGGCAAACAAGTTAGTGTAGTGAGGTTATGACAACTTTATTTGACATTTTTGAATAGCTGATTTCCTGAACAATGATATAATCAATTATAGAAAAGAAGATTAATTTTTGACAGTAGTGACATATTGACACAATGTCAATACTGTCAAATTCCAAAAGTTTGTAATTTTCATCGAATTTGGTCTAAAAAATTGATTTTAAACAACTGTTATACATAAGTTCATCAATTAATATTGTTTTATATTGAACATGGCGTTTAATTACGCCAATATTCATTCAAACACCAAACGCCACAATGCAGTTCCTCCGCCTACCAGCGGGGTATCCAAGCAGGGCTATTCGACTATGAACGCTATCAGCCAGAACGCCCTTTCGGCGGCTTGGGGAGGCAGTAGAAAAAGAGCCGCTACAGAAGATGAGTATGTAACACAATTTTCCCACGAAAGCTGACTCACGAGGGGCTAATTTCAGGTATTTCGAACAAGACGAGGAAGAACAGGTGCCCGATTTGGCTTATATCCCCGCGCCAGATAGCCCCACGCGTTTAGAAATGGATAAAAAGAAACCGGCCAACGAGGATAACGAAGACGATGATCCTTTGGATGCTTACATGGCCGGTCTTGAGAAACAGGTATGTAATTTGTCTTGTATCGTTTAAACTATTTAAAACCTTGTTATTGCATTAGATACAGAAGGAATCCGAACAAACGACTCAGCAGCCCGTACAGCAGGCCGTCAGGAACGACTTGGAAGAGGAGGATATCGAAGAATCGTATTACAAATACATGGAGGAGAATCCCAATGCGGGTTTACAGCCAACGGAAGACGATTATCCGGAAATCGAATACGACGAAGACGGGAATCCGATAGCGCCTGATAAAAAGAAAATTATCGATCCTCTACCGCCGATCGATCATTCAGAAATTACCTACGAACCATTCGAGAAAACGTTTTACACGGAACACGAAGAGATTAAAGGTACGATTAATTTTTGCGCATCGTGATATACACACATGTAACTTTTGTGTTGTTTACAGATTTAACGAACGATAAAATCAAAGAGCTGCGAAACACTTTGGACATTAACGTAACCGGTACAAATCCGCCCAAACCGGTATCGTCGTTTGCTCATTTCGGCTTCGAAGACAAACTGATCAAAGCCATAATCAAAGCGGAATATACATCGCCTACTCCCATTCAAGCTCAAGCCGTACCTTGTGCCCTGCTCGGCAGAGACGTGTTAGGTATCGCTCACACAGGTAAATCACAGTAGTTCGTTGTAAATTATAGCCGATAAATTTCGGTGTATTTAGGTAGCGGTAAAACGGCGGCGTTCCTTTGGCCTTTGGTCAAGCACGTTTCGGTGCAAAAACCGGTCGAAGAAGGCGAAGGTCCCATCGCATTGATCCTAGCCCCGACGAGAGAATTAGCCCTGCAGATCTACGCCGAAGCCAAGAAATTCGCCAAAGTCTACGACCTGCGAGTCATATGCGCTTACGGTGGAGGCTCCAAATGGGAACAAAGTCTCGTAAGCCTTATCCCTAACTCGACCTAAAACAGAGTATTTTATTGTGAGTGTACCGTAGGCTCTGAAAGAAGGCGCCGAAATCGTGGTGGCGACGCCCGGCAGGATCATCGATCACGTCAAAGGCGGCGCCACCAATCTCCAGCGGGTGACTTTCCTGGTTCTGGACGAGGCCGATCGAATGTTTGAGCTCGGCTTCGAGCCGCAGGTGCGATCGGTGTGCAACCACGTCAGGCCCGACAGGCAGACGTTGCTGTTCTCGGCGACGTTTCGCCGGCGCATCGAGAAACTGGCCAAGGACGCGCTCTCGAATCCCGTGAAGATATCGCAGGGTACGACGGGCCAGGCGAACGAGGACGTCACCCAGCACGCGGTGTTGTTGCCCAATCAGGAGGCGAAGCGCGAGTGGCTGTTCGGCAAGTTGGTCGAGCTGCTGTCGGCCGGTTCGGTGTTGGTGTTCGTCACGAAGAAATTGGACGCTGAATTAGTGGCGAAAGATATCAAAATCAAGGAGTTCGATTGTCTGTTGTTGCACGGTGATATGGAACAGGCCGAGAGGAATAAAGTGATAATGTCGTTTAAGAAGAACGAGTGTTCGTTGTTGGTAAATTGTTGCGAAATTATTAGTTAAATGTAGATTTTAATTGGTGTTTGTTTTTTTGTAGGTGGCGACCGATGTGGCCGCTCGAGGTTTGGACATTCCGCACGTTAGAACGGTGTTAAATTACGATTTGGCGAGAGATATAGACACTCATACTCATAGAATCGGTAGGACAGGACGCGCCGGTACCCAAGGTACCGCTTACACTCTATTAACGGCTAAAGATAAGGAATTCGCCGGTCACATTGTTAAGAATTTGGAAGCCGCCCATCAGGATGTGCCGCAGGAAGTATTGGATTTGGCCTTGCAGAGTTCCTGGTTCAAAAAGCAAAGGTAACCGATTCCGAAGTGTATCGCGAGATACTATAAGAGTTTCGCGTTAATTTTAGGTATAGGAAGAAGGATTATAATCCGAACGTGGGCGGTTTAGGATTAGGATTTAAGGAGAAAACGTCGAATCCCGCGGCACCTGCGTCTAGCGCTAATGCGGGGGGCCAGCAAGCGTCCAGGGGCCCCGCTACTGATAGACTGTCCGCTATGAAGCAAGCTTTTAAAATGCAGTACATGAATCAGGTAATAGTTGTACAATTATTTTATTAAATGTATCTAAATTTTTCGTTTCGAGTAGTTTACCGCGAGTTCTGATCAACCGCCACCGCCTGCTGCGCAAACGGCGAGAAAGAAGACGAGGTGGGAGTGATTTTTTTTTTTGGTAATTTTTAAGTCTTATCCGTTTTGTTGAGCTCTAATTGTAGTTGTAAATTTTACTTAATTTATATACCAAAAAATGCAATATTTTTTTTCTATAATCGATTCAGGACCTTGTTAAAACAATAAAATCAAGTGAATAATTATATTAAGTTATTTCTGTAAAAATATACCTCGACTTGTTTTAAAAATCCTTAAAACGAAAACAAATTTGTACAAAAAAAATGCAGATATCACAGACGAAAACAAAACTATTAAACTTAATTAATCTAATTATGAATTACCAACGGCCCACACCAACGGTTCGTCGCTCTTTTTGGCCTTTTTCTTTTTCTGATAGAACCTGTTACCTTCGTCGTTGTTCCTGTACAAGCCCCGAGACCTAATCAAACCGGGCGGAACGAATTTCGCCTTGGGACTGGAATTGTTGCTTCGAGCCTCTTCGTAATAATTGTCCGGCAAAACGATGGGATTCTTCGAGACGTAATCCAACAGTTGATTTTTAAAAGCCGCCACCGAATACCGATAGTCGGCGTTGTAGAATTTTCTAAAGTTTATTTCGTCCGATAGGCACTGCATCGTTATCCAAATGTGCACCAGTAATAGAGGAAATCTGCCGAGCCAGTATTCGGAGAATTCCTTCGAATTGTCTCCCAGTAGATTCTGGGCCTCCAACGATAGTTCTCTGTAGTGATGTTTCTAACGAAAAAACCGAAATGTTTATTGAGATTTTTAAACCGATCGAATATACTGACTTTGTTTCTTAACGCGCGCAGTAAATCCCTGACGGAATCGCCTTGATAGTTACGGTATTTCTTCAAATCCGTCGCCACCGTATAATCGATATGAGCCTTCCAATTCTCCTTAACAACATAGTAACTATCTTCTTCCAGCTTCTCCCCAACGCTGTCCTCGATATTGGGATACTGGCCCACTCTATCGCTAATTTCCTACAACAAGTAATTGCAATGATATGTAAAAGTGAAATATTACGCGCTCACTTGAAAGAAAAGCAAAATCGTATCGTAATCCCAAAACACTGGATGCTCCAAAACGGCGCCGCACGAAGGCCTCTCGTCGGGCTTGGCGGATATCAGAGCGGTGATGAGGGTAACCTGAATTAGCACCTGCCAATCGGGACCCTTCAAATCCGACAAATCGTACTTTCCCGACAGAATATTCGCCTGCCTTCGAAAACTGTCACCGAACGGATGTCTACCGTTCGAGAGAACATAGTAGTAGAGGCAACCCAGCGAAAACAAATCCACCGCGTAAGTCTAAAATATAAAAAAAAACGTAATTAATAGTATTAGTACAGGCATTGTTAGTAAATGCGTACTGTTCGTTCTCTATTGAGCATCTCGGGAGCGATCCAACCGTCGGTTCCCGTTATCCCAGACCGTCTCGAAAACGAAATTTTACCAGTTTGGAGTTTTTTACACAAACCGAAATCCGATATCATCACTCTTATCTGCCCGTTGTTATCCGGCACGGATATCAGCACGTTGTGCGGTTTGATATCCCTGTGAACTACAACACAACGAATCAAACCAACCTCTACTCCTCTACTAACTACTATCCCGACGTACCGATTCCCAATGAATGTAAATGCTTCAAGCCGAACGTGGCCTGCCTCAAAATATCCAAAGGAGTGATGGGGCAAAAATCGCAGGTGCCCTGTATGTATTCGGTGAGCGTGGCCTGGCACAATTCCAACGCGATGTAGCAGAACATCCGGCACCTCTCCATGCAATAGTACCGTATGACGTTCGGGTGGGTGTCACTTTCTCGCAACAGCGCCACCTCTCGGTCGGCGAACGTGAAACACTCGGGCAACAGTCGCTTCACGGCCACCCGTCTGCTATCGAACTCCCCTCTGTAACAATCAAATTTCGTTTATACGTATATCGAATGGATGTATTAAAATTGAATACCTGTAAACGAAAGTGCCGTCGCAGCCTTTACCCAGCAACTGATCCGGATGGAATGTGATCTTCCCGATTTGCACGGTACCGTCGGGCAGTTCCTCGGGTAGCGCCGATACGCCGATGAAGTTACCGAAACCGCTGTGATTCGATTGCGAGTTGTTCTTCGATTGGCTTTGGAACTCGCGAACCTTTTTAAAACAAACACAAAATAAACCTAGAAATCGAGCGATCGCATCGAATTTACCTGTATTTGCAGGTACCAAAACATAGCGATAACGCAACCGGTCATAATTATAAGCGACATCTTCAAACCTTTGTTCTCTTGCTGGTTGACCCACGACTTCGCGGTATCGTAGCAGCGCTGGAACCAATTCCAAATTGCCCTCGACTCCTCCTTATCCGTTTCGATCGTCAGGTAATCCTCCGGATTGTCGAAATTCCGGCGCTCCTCGCCCGAGAAATCGATGAGGTCCCTTTGGGGCGTCATCAACTGCTGGTTGCCGTAAGCGGGGAACTTGTAGTGGCCTCGATAGACCTTTATGTGGTTACCGAACTTCGGGCAACTTTGGAACAGCACGTCGTTGTCGTCAGCGCCATCTGAAATTAGTTAGTTAGAAGAGGAAGAGTTAATTAGAGTTGGTTTCGTTACCGTTCGGTAGATAGTAATTGTAACCGGGCAAGGGGTATTGATGACGCGCCATGTTGTCGTGACCGTTCGGTCCGTCCAATAGCAACACTCCGTTATCGGATCCTATTACGGTCACGTGGTTTTTATCTACCAACGACGGTATGGCGAATAGGCCGTGAGTGTGCTGGCCGATGTACAGGGTGGGACTAAAAATTAATAGCGTAAATACTTGTCGATTAATTCCCTTTCGTTGAACCTACTATAATCTCACTCGATTGGTGTTTAAGAGGACGCCGTTGTTATCGACGAGGTTCTGTTTAATGTCGTCGATGGTGTCGTTGGCTAAAGCAGTAAAAGGCAGGGATAATAGGCCGTCTTCGTCTAGTATGTAGACACCGATCACCGGGCTGGTTAATATCGTCTCCCATATTAAATTTCCGTTGAGCTGATTAAGCGTTATTATCTGGCCGGTAGAGGCAGATGTAAAATGAATTTTATCTAAAAAAAACAACACAATTTAGTGTAGCATTAACTCGTATACAATATCCAATTAATTGTAATAGTTTTCATTTGATGGTCCATTAAATATTTTATGAGTTGGAAATAATCAATAAACATTCGGTATTGTTTCGCTTACCATAATATCCACTACACTCCTCTGAAAATGATAATAATAATTTAATAAATTCTCACGAGAATTTTAAATCAACTTACTATAATTATTGCATTTTTCTTTGGCCATTTGCCTGGCCGTATAATCGTAGAAAGTGACATTCCACTTATTCTCCGGTTTCTTCTCCTCCACCATCCTTAAGGTGTATTGGGATCTGCCTATGTAGATGAACCTCTCAGGGTCCATGGGGCAGGTGGGGGTCTCGTAGGTGTCGTCCCAACCGAGTATCTGCTGTTTCCTGCCATTGGTTAGATCCAATTTGAACCATGAATCTTTTTTCTTTCCTTAAATTCGATCAAATTAAATTTGCTTTGGCATTAGGAGTTAATCTCTCACCAGTGTAAAGGATGCCGTCGGAGCTTCTACAAGGCGACGTAGAAACCAATTGGGGTATGGTAAAAGGGAGTTTCTTCAAAGGTTTACCGATATCCCCTACTAAATAGAGGGACCCGTCCCTAGGGTCGGGTAGATAAAGAGGCACAATGGCATTCGAAGCGTTTAAAGGCACTTGAACAATAGGTTCTAAAATATTCGAGTGAAAGTAAATCGATTAAAAAAAAATATGTTATCAAATACTTTCTTTAATCGTCCATCGTATAGTACCGGTGTCCTGTTCGAGAGCGCTTAAAGTACCGTCCAAAGTTGAAAACAACAACAGTCTATCATCTTTACGACCTTGCACCAGTTCCGATCCTACGTTGTGCAGTTTTTCGTTCTGAAAATAAAAATTACGTACTTATAACCGAAGACACTGATAATGATAACTTACTTTACTGCTGGTACTCGAAAGTCGAGCCAATAATATCAAAAACAACAATGAATAATTCATGTTGGTCCCATTTACACTTAAATTATATGCGACAAACTTAAAGTTGGCATTTTTGAATTACTATTTTAAGAAATAAAACAATAATCAAATTAACGTATACATTATTTAGCGTAATTCCCTGTTGCGACATATTTTTATTATTATCTGCGGTCAAAATAATTTATATTCTTACTTACTAAAACATGACGTACTTTAGTTTTGACGTTTACTGTCAATAGCGTCAATGTCAATTTTGATTAATCCGTGCCTTTTACAATGTTGGTAAATAGCTAGAAAAGAGCCCTCTATCATCGGTTATGAAAAAACTCTCTTTTACAATAGATGGTGTTGTTAATGGAAAATAATCGACAAGTAAACGTAAAATTTCTTCTGGAACAGAGGCAACACCGACAGTTTTTACGATTTTTGGGAATTTAAAATAACTTAAAAAATTAGGGAAATGAGTAATTTTCTGAGCATTCACAAGACTTGTGCGAAATTACTGACGAACAATTCACTGAAGGTAAGTTATTTTTAATGTTACATAACTGCCGTAAATGTGCAATTTAAAAATTAATAACAGGTGATACCACATTCCAAGTTATTATTTCCAATTAATACTTAGATAACGTCATTCAATTAGCAAACCATATGATCGTTACGTGCATTTTAATTACCCCAAAAATTCCTAATTAATTCCCATTACTAATTACGAAATTATTCAAATCATCTCCAGGTAAACAGCTTACTAAAACCGTTGGTATGCAGAAACGTCCATTTGCAAGTAGACCGCAAAAACGCCAAAGTCTCCGACTCCGTCTCGAAAGTCTACCCGATCGTTGATCACACCTACGATGCTGTGGTCGTCGGAGCGGGAGGCGCGGGCCTCCGGGCGGCCTACGGCCTCGTCCAAGAGGGCTTCAAGACAGCCGTCATCACCAAGCTCTTCCCCACCAGATCTCACACGGTGGCCGCCCAAGGGGGCATCAACGCAGCGCTCGGTAAGCCTCCAAACTCCCCATTTCGACGCCCCCATTCTAACCCTACCATCTCTCCGAAAGGCAACATGGAAGAGGACAACTGGCAGTGGCACATGTACGACACGGTAAAAGGCTCCGACTGGCTGGGCGATCAAGACGCCATCCACTACATGACCCGAGAAGCTCCCAAAGCCGTCATCGAACTCGAAAACGCCGGCATGCCCTTCTCCCGTACGCAAGAAGGCAAAATCTACCAAAGGGCCTTCGGCGGGCAATCGTTGAAGTTCGGCAAAGGCGGACAGGCTCACAGGTAACTCGTGACTACAGCGCCTTCGTACAAATTCTATTCGAGATGTTTTTTTCGAAGATGTTGCTGCGTAGCCGACAGGACCGGTCACAGTTTGCTGCACACGTTGTACGGGCAGAGTCTGCGCTTCGATTGCAACTACTTCGTCGAATACTTCGCTTTGGATCTGCTGATGGAGGGCGGAGAATGCCGAGGGGTGATCGCCCTGTGCCTGGAAGACGGTACACTACATCGTTTCAGAGCTAAGAATACTGTACGTTTATACACTCTGATTCATTCCAGATCGCAACATATTGGTTATATAGGCTATAAATGCGATAAAGACACTTATAAAAGAAAAAGAAAGAGATAATTGTGTCATTGCAACTTTTCACTTTGACAACTGACATTTTATTAATCTTTCTTTGTTCAACTCATAGAAACGACCATGTTGCGGTCTGAATTGGTATGTTTTATACATGGTTTTCATACTTTTGAGACACCCCGTAGAATTAGTAGTTGATTATCGATACGTTTCGTGTAGATTTTAGCTACCGGTGGATACGGTAGGGCCTACTTCTCTTGTACATCGGCTCATACTTGTACCGGAGACGGAACAGCTATGGTGGCCAGGGCCGGATTGCCTTCGCAGGATCTCGAGTTCGTACAGGTAGCTAAAAATCCTCGTAAATAATTATAAAAAGCGCTAATGTAATACCGTTGTAGTTTCACCCGACCGGCATATACGGCGCCGGTTGTCTGATAACCGAAGGCTGTCGCGGCGAAGGCGGCTACCTGATCAACGCGCAGGGCGAGCGCTTCATGGAGCGCTACGCGCCCGTCGCCAAAGACCTGGCCTCCAGGGACGTGGTCTCCAGGAGCATGACGATCGAGATCAACGAGGGCCGCGGCTGCGGCCCCGACAAGGACCACGTCTACCTGCAGCTGCACCATCTGCCGGCCGAGCAGCTGGCCCAACGGCTGCCGGGCATCTCCGAAACGGCCATGATCTTCGCCGGCGTCGACGTCACCAGGGAGCCCATACCGGTGTTGCCGACGGTGCACTACAACATGGGCGGCGTGCCGACGAACTACAAGGGACAGGTGTTGACTAACCTGAACGGAGAGGATCGGATCGTTCGGGGGTTGTACGCCTGCGGCGAGGCGGCCTCGTCGTCGGTGCACGGGGCCAACCGTTTGGGGGCGAATTCGTTGTTGGATTTGGTGGTGTTCGGCAGGGCGTGCGCTCTCACCATTGCGCAGGAGAACAAGCCCGACGAGGCCATCGGGAGTATCAAGGATAACGCCGGCGAGGAGTCGGTGGCTAATTTGGATTGGTGCAGGTACGCCAAGGGGGCCATCAGCACGGCGGCGTTGCGTTTGCAAATGCAGAGGACCATGCAGACGCACGCTGCGGTTTTTCGAACGGAGGAAACGCTCAAGGAGGGCGTCGTTAAGATGCAAGGGCTCTACGGGAAATTGGGCGATCTCAAAGTCACCGATAACAGTCTCATTTGGAATTCGGGTGGGTACAGGAATGGTGTTTGATAGCCTTTTTCTTGTCGGTAACTCGGTAATCTTGATAATGAAGGTTTTATGGTGTGTTTTAGACTTGGTGGAAACTTTGGAATTGCAAAATCTTATGATAAATGCCATGCAAACTATCGTAGCGGCGGAGAATCGTAAGGAATCGAGAGGTGCTCACGCTAGGGAGGATTATAAGGTGCGAGTGGACGAGTACGATTACAGTAAGCCGGTAGAAGGTCAACAAAAGGTGAGTTAAATTTACTAATTATAAAAAAAAGGTTGTTAATTAATTGGTATTCGTTTTGTAGAAACCGATGGAAGAGCATTGGAGAAAACACACTTTAACGCACGTCGACGAGAAAACGGGGAAAGTTACCATCACCTATAGACCAGTAATAGACGATACTTTAGACAAAACCGAATGTGCTACCGTACCTCCGGCTATTAGATCTTATTAATTTACCTCTCTATTCAATGCAGATACCTTATATTTGAAGCACACATGCTAAACTGTTGCTGCAATTCCGGAATTGCCAATCGTTCCGGAATTGCACCGTGCAGGTTCACGTACTTAACAGAAAAACTTGGGTTGTATGACCACCATTTTGTGATATATCCGCAGTATCTGTTACGCTAATGTGGTTTAGTGTAATTTGTCACAATAAGAAAGTCATTAGATTCGCTAAGCTTAATTTATTCGTAATTATCGAGTATTAATTTATTTATTGTTAAGTATTAAACACACCCACATTTTGTCAAATTCAAATTAACTTGATTCTCTTTTTTTTTAATATTTAATTAACGGTGTGTAAAAAAAATGTAATTTTTGAATTCATACGGAATTGAAGGTAGTTTTTCTGATTGGAACGCATTAAATTTGTATTAGAGGTATGTACATATATATATTGTTTTTAAAAATTGTACAGTTTTTTCCTCATAATTCAACGTAAAAGACATCCTGCTTTCTAAACTAAAACTTAACAAATCCGACAAACAAAAATCAAATACATTTTCTATTTATAAAACACGAATCGGCGATAAATAAAAACGTTTTATTACTTTCTTCTAATCTTCGTTTTATTAAGACTATTGGCTCCGCGTTTTATATTTTCCACGAGCTTTCGAAGCTGCGCCACTTGGACAGCGCTAAACGAAGGATTATTACCCTGAGCGTCCAGCCATTTCAACAACTGTTCGCCATGTTCGATGGCTTCTCGACGACTCGCAGAACTATCCGCGAATTCGAATTTATTCAACAGCGCGTCGTCCAGAATTACTTTGACATTATTGCGACTCGTTCGTTGCCTGTCTTCGTTGGAATTGACCGATTTGTACCACCTCCAAAACCAGCACTGTTGACGCGGATTTATCTCCGCTAAATTCACGTACTTCCTCGCAGGGTACTCGTTAGTACATTCCTGCTTGATCGGAGTATACACGAGCATATCCGGCGATATGATGGCACAGCCATCTTTGGTCAGGTCGATGGGTTCCTCGTGTTTGGCTGCATTACACTCGGCTCGCGGGCGATTGTCGGGTTTCCTCGGCAACCGCCTGACCAGTACGTGGTTTTTACACCAGCCCCTCAACGTGGATTCCGGCACGCCGAGGGCGCGCGCCACCGAAGCCTTCGTTTCTCCGTTGTGAACTCGAAACATCGCGTCTAATTTCAACTCGTGCGGAACGAAGCGTTTGTTGCCGCTATTCGAGGACATTTTTTTCAACTAGCACGGCCCGGCTCTACAAGAAAAATAACCACGTGCGCTTTCGACCAATGGCTGCGCACCCGTTGATAAGAGGCCATTTTTTTTTTCACGAAAAAACGATATAAACAAGTTGGCTCGTTTTATTTCCGTTTGTGAACAATTACACATTTCTTCTTACAGTCTTTTATCTTAAAAGATTAATTAATTAATTAATATCACATCAGTTTATTCGCATTTCTCACCTCCTAATTATATGTTATTTAAACTGTTCAATAAATCATCGTAATCGATTTCATTAACATTATCGAATCCACTTTCAATTAAACCGTCCAAAGTGGGAATATCCAAATCTGTGGGGGTAGATTCGCCTGTGTTCGAACACTCGCTCGAAGCGATTTTGGGCGAGAAATTATCAGCACCGGCGAGGCTCTGGGCTAGCAGAGACGGGTAATCCGCCAAGAGGTCCGAAGGAAACGGGGAATTTTCGCATTTGCGCCTATTCGCCTCGCGTTTTTGCATCCCTTTGAGCGTCCTCCGCACGACGATGCACTTGTGCTTGGCCGGATAACTGCACGATAGATTCTCGCACAGATAAATGGCCTCGTTGAAATTGATTTGTTTCAACGATAGCGCTGAATTGCAAAGCGGACAGTATTTCACGAAATCGGAATTCATGTTAGAAAAAAAAAACAATATATAACATAACCTAAATAACCTAACTTGCGGTGCGATATGTCACTGTCAGATGTCATTTAGTTTTTTATGAAGGTTGTCTTTTACGTATAAGCGTATGTGGCTACTAATTATAACAAAAATCGAACATAAAGTAGTTTCTATTTTATTTGTACAAAAAGACTGTTAAAAAAATTCTTCCTATTTCCTATTTTTTCGGCCATACAATGCTCTCGATCCAATCCAAATACGCCGAAACTCGAGTGTACGCACCCGGAATCGAACCGCTTCCGCAATGAGCCCCGTACGAAACTACACCTACAATTTTGTAGACCCCATATTTGTGCTTTATTTGCAATGGACCCCCCGAATCACCCTAAAACGAATCGATTATAAGTGCACCGTTCAATTAATTTTCTACCGGAACGCACCTGGCAGGCGTCCGCTCGGGAGTCATTAGAGGCGGCTGTGGCGCAAATTTGCTTCGACGTCACATTCTGCGTCCCGAACGAAGCCTCAATGTACCGAGCGGTGCAATTTTCAATCGGCACCGAGCTCAAATTCGCCCATTGCAGCCACGACACAGTCTCCGCTGAAATAACCAAATATCACATTAGTATAACAAGTTACATTATTAGTTAAAGGCCATGTTTATATTGACAGGCCTATGACAGATGACAAGCGAGCTCGAGTGCTCGAGGTTTCTGTTGAATACATTTTAAATAAACAATTTCACAAGAATCATTCGTATAATTTGTCAACAATAAATCTCCATCGAGTCCAAACTCACTTGATTCAGACGTTCTCCCCCAGCCGGTAACGATCAAACCGGCGGGATCGTCCTGTTCCGTGTAGAGACAAGCCGGCGTGATTTTGCTGTTGAAATCCAACTTCCTGGCGAGCTCTAACAGAGCGATATCGTTGAAATGGTTGGCGGCGTCCCACGACGGGTGCCGCACGATCTTGCTGATCTTGACGTCCACGTGCTCGGTGTCGTTCAAGCGAGTGACGCCGATTCGGGCCTTCGAAGGCGCGAAGGGGCCCACGCAATGAGCAGCCGTCAGCAGGAAGCTATCGGATATCAGGGAAGCCCCGCACCGCCAGCTCAATTCCATCGAGCCCGGGTCGTCGAAACCTAGGGCCGCCTGTGCGAATTTACGAACGGTGTAAATCGGGGCGTCCGAATGAGGATTTTATTCCTGTAGGTAAATGGTGGGACTTTAAGTTGCGTTCGATGGTACACGAACCGTCTAAAATTATTCTGAATTGTTGGATTTTAAGATGCGGTCGATTATACATCAACGTCAAATGTGACGTTGTGACCACAAAACAGTAAGTTTTAGTAAGAGTTAGTGGTTTGTGGTTATGACGGAAGTTTAATAGAGGTGGGAATCGATTTTTTGCTATAGAGGTGCAGTAACGACTGTTATAAAATAACAGTTATTTGTCACAAATCGCACAATTTACCGATAGGATTAAAATAACCGTTCATGCTGTCAGATAGTAAATTCTATGGGATTTAAGAGATTTCTATTGTATTACCATGTGCGGAAATTCGTCCGATTTGGCGTTGGCGCCCCCTATAACTAACGGCGTTATGAGCGATTTGGATCGGTTTATGAGGTTTTCGCACACTGGAAAAAATCGTTTGTATTATCGATTGCATTTGGTGATGCTTGCATTACGTGTTTCGTATGGTTTTTTGTGTTTTTTCTTGGAAACTGGAGGGTTGTGGGTAACTTGGATTCCCTCCAAAGGAAACGGTATGGGGTTCGATCGGTCGGGACTCTTCTCGATGGCGTTCGGACAACAAACGACTTCGTCGAAATCCAGGAAGGCGCATCTCTTCAGATCGTGCCGGCCGACGCTTTTCACTTTGTTCATAGCATAAGAGCAACTGTTCGCAGTCAGACAAACGCCCAGTGTACCGTCGTCGTTTTCGCAAGAACTACCCACTAAAAAGTACCGCTTTATTTAACCAATTTACGAGTAATTATCGCTCGCTTACCATCCGTTTCGTCAAAATAACCATCGGCGGAACTGACCGAAAAGAACGCTCCAATGAGATACAAATAGACTCGTATCATTGTCACTGTTGTTTTGACTAAATTCGTAATTGATAAACCGGCTGCTACACTACATCTGAAGCGGAGCACTGCCGGCGATTTGATTATAACCGACCAGTTATCTCTGGTTTAATGACGTGGGTAAAGTTTTGGTATTCACGTACCGCAATCGATGCACAAAACATATAATCGAAACAAACGAACTATATTGACAATTACTAATACATCCTTTTTATTTTCTTTCGATGACACCTGATTGTTTCACAAAATTTCCTATTACTCTACGCGAAGTGCGTGAATAATAGTTGCATAGCACAACGTCACTAAATCTAACCAATCGCAAGGCTCCGTTTTATTTCAATCTAACTCGTCAACCAATAAGAATCATCGCCGAGTGACGTCACGTACGGCCGTTTGGTAAACGTCATAAATGTCTTTTATATGAGCCTTATTTAGCCCTGTTGGAGATTTGAAAACGGCCTAAAATCCGTGCTCTGCCGGAATGTGCCCGAACTGGGCGAGATCTTTCGGCGGCGTCGGCGTCCCGACGCGGCCGTCAGTGCGCTCGCCGTCGTCGACGAGAATAAACCGACGCCCTGCGTCGCGGCGCTTGGCAACGCAATGTTCTGCAAGTGATTTTTGTTTGGACGAAATCGTCGAGTTTGTTTTAATTTCGTTACCCTAGTAGCACACTACGTCATCATGACGTCTATTTAAAGTCATTTTTAGTCATTTAATTCGTCAGTATGACCATACGAATGACGTCAAGATGGCCTTAAAATAACGACACTTTGTCACCTCCGAATGACGTCACTTTTAATGTTAAATTGACGTCATCTGTACTATTATTATTGACGTCATTTTCAGATCATTTTGACGGCATTATTATTACCTATAATGACGTCATATTTAGGTAAGTTTTGTGATTTTTTATAAATAAAAATCAATGAAAATCAAATTATAAAAATATTTATTATCAGCAAATATTTGTGTCATCTAGAATCAAAACCCGCCAGATCCACTTCAAAATAAACTAATAATGTCTAAGCATTGAGCTTTTTTTGTAAAATGAAAATGTAAAAAATGAAAAAAAAAAAGGATTTTTTAAAATAAACCTTATGGATTTCGCGGATTTTGATTCTAGAGGACACATTTCACGAAGTTTAAAAAACAAGGAACGTATTAAATTAAAGAAATATAACAGGAACATTCGAGTAAATTGTAAATTACAATATGTGGCCTCGCATTTTAAAAGGGATCTAAGGTGTCAAAAAAAAGAATTGGGAAAACGCGTTAGAAGTTTGCTATCCTTGGATCAAACTAGACTTTTTCACAAATTAGGTGTCATAACACATTGGACACTTTTCTATTGCAGACAACTGCTCACATGATTCTTCTGGGTGTTTCCCATAGTAATTGTCATAAACAAGATTTTACATAATTTGACACACTAGGTCCCTTTTAGCACGTGGAGTCAAACAAAATCAAATCAATTTTCTGGGCAAAATATACAGAGTGTTAACTTTAGCGCGGAGCAAAAATTGAGAGAGACGGTGTAATGGAGCATATACGTATGTCTAAGAATGAGAGAATATTAGAAGCAGCCACTCCCGACGTAGCGACTGGAAGGGAGGCTCGACCGATACGCGATCGAAACAAGCGATTTTTAATTTTGTTTTTGTTTCGCTAATGAATTTCGTATTGGCTATCCCGTACCGAAATTGCTCCGCGTTAGAGTTAACACTCTGTATACTTCATTAGAATGAAAATAGGAGAAATACAACTCTTCTTGTCGATAAAGAAAATAATGTTTCATGAAATATTTCTGTCACAGAGAGAATGTATAACAGGAATGGAAGTATAATTTTTTAAATCTTTATCTGGAAATACCATACATTTCATACTTATTTGGTAAATTGGCCAAACTTTCAGATGACAATTCAAATTTGATAAATTAAAAATACCTAATTCTTCAGATTTCAAAGGATATTCATACAAAGAATTATAAGTAGTAAATTGTTTTCCAATAATTAGAGTTTCAGAATTTTCAATTATAATGTTGTGGATTTCAATAACAATATTATCATTGGTCATGCAGTAGGAGTCTGCTTTAGAATAGGAGTTAATGCAAAGAACAAAATTGTTTAAAGTCAAAATTTTGAATTGATGGATTGACGCAACATCATGAAACTCTAATAATGGTCCAAAATCGTGTTCCTTTGAATGCAATGGTTGCCCATTATCACTAACCATTTCATTATTCACGGCATAAAATTCCTGTAAGCGACGACCAACTTGTTGTAGTGACTTACTATAAGATCTTATTAAGCGTTTCAGTTGTCCCAAAAAGTTTTCAAAAGGAAAAGCTGAGAAAGTATCCACTGATCCAAATTTACGTACATCATCTACTAAGTGGCACAACATGTGTACGTTATATACCAAAAAGTCCTGGCCATACAACTCTTCACAATGATTTATAAAAGTAATTAACAACTTATGCGGAAAATCAAACCCAAATTTAGATAACAGTGAATTAGAAACTAATATTGACATGGCAAAATGAAATAAAAGAAAATTTTCGTAGACAGCTTTATGTATTGTGTGTCTAAGAACAAATGGTCCCAGATATAATAAGAATGTTCTAAATTCTGTGGCTTTCCATCTTTGAAGTTCATCTAAGCCCCTTGGTTTTCTGTTAAACTCTCTTGGAATACATGGTCTTAAGGAAAGAAGAAGTCCAGACAGCGTTTTAACCACACAACCAGAAAACCTTATTGGTAATTTTCCTCCTAACCAAAAATTTAATAACTTTCTCATCACCCCTAAGCAACAAGCATGCATATAGTCAATAGGAAAAGAAGACACCATTCCAATCTGCAACCTAAGTAATGGAGAAACTCCAGTATGGTGCTCTTCATCTTGCTGGATAAAAAAACTTTGGTCCGTTCTCTTTAGATAAGATACACTCTTGAGAATAATTCGTCCATTGACATATTGACCCGGTTCAAAACATTTATCGCATGAAGCGTAACCGCCATGAGACTTTACACTTTTAATAAATGCCTTAGCAGGCGCGTCACAAATAAAGCTATGTACAGAAATTCTATATTCCTTATCATTAAAAAAGAAACCGTTTGTTTTCAGAACGTTAACTTCATTTATAAACTCTTCAAAAAATATTTCCAATGGAACTGGTTTAGATTTTCCGCAGAAAATAGCTATTGCAAAAATATGATTATTTTTAAAATTTTTTACACACCCCAAGATAGGCCAGAATTGTACATTTGAGCTATGAAACAACGGAATACCATCAATATTAAAACTAATGTCTAAATTATTTCCAATAAAATTTAAATTTTGTGTAATAATTCTACAAAGATTATTCTTTAGCCCTAAATAACACAATTCGCCATTCTGTAGATTTATAATATTAAGATGTTTAGGTGTTTTTAACAAAGTTCTTGCATCTAAAGGCAAGTCAGAATGAAGTGGTTTTAATATTTTTAAAAGACCGTTAATTGCAGAATGCGAAACTCTATTTTCAAGAGCCCATGATCTTAAACTATGATGAAGGATAGGTGGTTCAGAATGAATTGATTTAAGAGGTTTGTTTTCTAAATTACATACTGGTGGTTCATTTTCAAATTCATAAATTGAATGTTCATTATTTAAATTACTATTAAATGTAGGTTGATCAGAATTGGTTCCGTTGCATTCGCTTTTTAAAATGTGATTTTGAGATTGTAAATCTGTGTCAGTAAATTCAATACTTTCATCAATATTTTGAAAAACAGATTTGCTACATGAAACATTATTTTCAGTGGCCTCGTTACAAGAAGAGTTCGATTTCTTACCAGTACTACAATTGATTAATTTTATAGTGGAAGCAATTCGCCGTTGACGTTGTCGTTTTCCAACAGAATTCTTCAACTTAAATTTAATTCTCTTTTCTGGCTCCATCCGATTTCTTTAACCGTTCAGGTGCGTGCTTCAGCCAAATTTTGATCGCTTGTTCGATGTCCCTGTCTGTACTTTGTGAATTTGACAATTTTACAGAATCTGTAAAAACAACCAAAAATTAACAAAAATGACCTGTTAAAACTAATTATGTGAATGATTGAACTATGAAATTATTATGCTTACCCACAATAATATTTTTTAATAGCAAATCGCAAAATGGTCGTTTGTTATTCCTCTTCCCAAAGTAGCTAAAAGAGGTGGCTACGGCATCTTTGAAGAGATATTTTAATATTCTATTTGTCCTTGTGACAGTATCTTTGCCACCTAAAGTTGACAAATACGACACCTAAAATTAATTATTTAACAATGTATAAAAATATAACGTGCTATAAAAAATTACCAGCTCTTTAGAAAGTGTTTCAATACTCCGCAAGTCTTCTTCTAGGCTATTAAGGTCATCAAGTGTGTTAAATGGTACCTCCACATTTAAATGAGGACGTATCGTTGTTGGCGTTACTATCTTACTCTGCTTTCGAATCCACTCTAATATTTCGTTGTTTTGTTCTTTCACAGCAGCAACTAATGAAATTAGTTTACCTGCAAATATTTATAAAGTTGTTAATAACATAATTATGTTAGATTTAAAAAGTTACTTACCTATTTTTTCCGAATCGTAGCTAAATTTTGTATTTGCTTGAGGAAGTGATCGGGGTGTTGAAAATGAATTGATTGTTTGAGACTGTAGTGTTGAAACAGTACTTATTGGTTGAGATATTTCTTGAGATAAGCTGGGGCGAGCTACAAATATGGATTAAAATACTAAATGTATGTAAAAAAACTAGAATGAACAAACTTACTTATTTGAGGGGAAGAATTGTTTGTCCTTTTTATCCGACGTGGCCTTGGAAGACAAATTGAAGAAGTTCCTTCTGTATCTGAGGATGATTGAGAATATATCCTAGTATTCTTTTTCCTTTTTCGTTTACGATCAGGTTCCTCTTCAGACTCTATGTTGGATGTGAGCTCAGCTTCTTTTGCTTTTAATCTAGCTTTTGTTAAATCATCTGTAAAAAAAATTCAGAATTTTATGAAGTTTTTATATATTTAAATAACATTAAGAATAAGTCAAATAGTGCACTAAAAATTAAAAATATTTTTAAACGTGAACTTACCACATTCATAAAAAATTTTGTTAAGCTTATAAATGCGCCAGGTTTCTGTATTTACAGTACAACCGTTTTTAAGCGCTTTGTCAAATTGATGTTGTTCTTTGTAAGGTGGCCAAAACGACTCATTTTTCCTTGGCGTTAACCAAGAACTATGTACAACTGCTACGCCTCCACCATCATCCTTGTCAAATTCTACTAGTACGAATGCCATTTTATACTAAGCAGACAACTGCTGAAGCCTACGTACAAGAAACTATTTACTAAAACATGTTAAGCATAATTGAAACAAATTAATTATCATTTTTAGTGTAAACAATTTAAATAAAACAAATTTAAAAAATCAATAAATTTCTTATATTTGATAATATTAAAATTTCTCAATAAACTAAGCCAGTATCCACTATAAATTAACGCATTACTTAAAATAATAGAAAATTTTTCTCTAATGAAGTTAGCACATGCCTTACGAGAACTTTTAAATAAAACCCCAACAACCAGATAAAAGAAATTAATAAAACTTAAAAAAATACTTACTTGATTAATTAGTTTGTCGCTAGTCACTCATCAGCTCATTTAGTCATCAAACCACTTGAAATTTTATTCAAATATATTTATTCCAAAATTTCAAAAGCCTGGCGTCCATCGTACACGCGCAAATTGCCAATACCAATGTTGCAAATGCAAATGGTGGTGGTACTGACTGGACACGACGCGACGCGACAAAAGACACGACGATAAGTAAAAAGTAAAGTAAGATAGGGATAGAAGATGGAAGGTGTACCGGCACCGGCATCGGCTTCGCCTTCTCTTCATTGTCGTTACCCTGTGCGCACAGCGTTGCCAGTTTATTTTTAAGTACGCTGGTCTTACTCTTTTTAAAATATATCTTACCTACTGAAATTGCAAAAATAGTCACATGGTAGAAAAATAATAAAATTCTGATTAAATGTATTTATATAACCATGTTTATATAGAAAAATAATTACACGTTTACAGTGTAACCCGAGCGTAGCTATTAATGTGCACATATAAAAAAAGTACAACCTATGAAACATGGCAACGCTGCCTACATTTGAATTGAATTCAAAGGTAAAAATGAACTGTTTAAAAAAACACTCTGACTATCATTATCAAAATTTAAAAGTTACTCACCCCATTATTCGATATTCCATACATATTCCTATAAATTTATATAAATAATTTTTTATAGACAGACGTCGCATACACTGACGCCACAATGACGTTGTTATAATGACGTCAATTAACATTAATAAAAAATGTCGTCATAAGGACGTACCATTTTCGTCAAATGACGTCGGCGACTAAAAATGACTTTAAATAGACGTCTTAAGGACGTATGTGTGCTACTAGGGTAGGTAACTATGATGTTTTTAATGCGATAAAGAATACATCAATTAAATATAATTGTTTATTTTTTATGCACTTTAATAACGAATTTAAATTCGGATAAATTTGCTTTATTTTGTTTACACGAGTATTTAACTCCGGATGCGGTAGTTACACTCGTATTTATCACATATTTATAATTATAGTAAAGGTATCCTTGTACTCGCAATAAGATGATATCGATTTTTGAGGATGCTGCGACCTTGAGCTTGTGTTGTAATTCCTTCGAATTATTAATAGGCACCGATTTATCGATTTTCCAGGAAGAAAAAATACCAGTCGAGAAAGGAACCGAATAAAATAAGACATGGCTGTCGAAATATTAGACGAAGACCACTTCGCCATTAGCGCTATTGTAACGGTGGCGATGCAAATTATATTTTTCATAGTTGCCGCTACTTTCCAAATGGACAAAGTCACCGATTTCGCTGGCGGGATCAATTTCATTATTTTAGCGTTACTCACGTTCCTTCTAGGACAGGCAGGAAGGGTCAGTACACATTATATTCCTCCTTACTATTCCATTATATTCTGAAACTACTTTACTCTGAATCCACACTAATCTACTCTACTTACACTACTCTGAATCTACTGTGCTCTACACTACTTTACTCTACTCTGAATCTACTTACTCCACTCTGAATCTATTCTGCTCTGCTCTGCTCTGCTCTACTTTACTCTACTCTACCATGAATCTACTGTATTCTAATCTAAACTCTAAATCTTCTATCTGCTCTGAATCTACTTCCAATCTACTCTGGTCTAACTTTATATTCCACCCTGAATCAACTTTGATCTCTACTTTACTCTAATTCTTTTCTGAATCTGTACTATACTGTACTCTGTTCTACTCGAATCTTCTCTAGGTAGTAGGTACTCATCTACTTTACTTCACTCTGTATCTACTCTCAGTCTATTCTAAAGCTCAACTTTACTTTGAATCTACTGTATTCTACTCTACTCTAAATCTGCTCTGAATCAACTCCGATTAAACTCTAAAACTGCTCTGAATCAACTCACAATCTACTCTGCTCTAACTTTTAACTCTAGCCTGAATCTACATTGTTCTCTACTTTACTCTAACTCTTTTCTGAATCCGTACTATACTGTACTCTGTTCTACTATGAATCTACTCTGCTCAATTTTCTACTGTACTTATGCTATTTCTTTGCGTTAGTACAATGAATTAGTAGTAGCTAGCTATTATGTATATTTCTCATTTAAACCTTCAATAAATGATTAATCCCAATTTAAATTGTAGAAAACATACGATAGCAGACAACTAATGGTAACAGTTTACGTATGCCTGTGGGGCATGAGGCTCTCTGGTTACCTGCTCTATCGCATCGTTAAAATAGGAAGAGATAAAAAGTTCGACGATAAGCGGAGCAACAACATCAGATTCGCCATATTTTGGACATTTCAAGTACGATATTCGAGTCGATTTACGTTAATACGAACACAGGGCGTCCGAAATGCACGGAAACTGGTACATTCGAGAGCAATTCGATTGGAATCCGATCGGTTCCGTACCATTCGGGACGTCCTGTATGTACAAATAATTCATCATTCGTTCGAAATTACCAGGCCGTTTGGGTGTACGTCGTCAGTTTGCCGGTGATAATAATCAATTCGCCGCGTCACTCGATCCCCCTGGCGCCCAAAACGATGACCACTTTGGACTCCACCGGGACGGCCTTCTTCATCGTCGGCCTCCTGGCCGAGACCTACGCGGACCTGCAGAAGTTCTCCTTCAGACAGGACCCCGACAATCAGGGCAAATGGTGCAACGACGGTGAGGCTCCCCTGGACACCCGCGATCCCCCCCTTTTTTTTGCCAATAACACGATCTGTATATGTTATGTAGGTCTGTGGCGGCTATCCAGACATCCGAACTACTTCGGGGAAATCGTCCTTTGGTGGGGAATATTCATAATATCCTTGAACGTCCTCGACGGCATCGAATGGGTGGCCATCATGTCGCCGTTGTTCACCACAATAATTATACTGTTCCTCTCCGGGATACCTCTCTTGGAAAAGTCTTCCGACGAAAAATACAGAGAGTAAGTACCGAACTGTCCCGGAGCGCTGAAATAGCGTTCTAAATTGGTTTGGATAGTTTTGAAGCATTCTAAATTGCTCTATAATCAGTTGTGATTCGTCCTGAAAGCGTTCTAAAGTATTCTGGACAGTTGTGTTTGAACTTGTAGCATTCTAAATTGTTCCGAGCAGTTGCAATTTATCCTTAAAACCTCCTAAATAGTCCTGGACAGTTCTGAACAATTACAATTCGTCTCAAAGCCTTCCAAACTATTCCAAACAGTTCCTTAAATCGCCCAGAGTACATCAAATAAACATAATTATCTATTGATCGAAATAACTGAACTTGAGCATTCTAAATTGCTCTATAATCAGTTGTGATTCATTCTGAAAGCGTTCTAAAGTATTCTGGACAGTTGTGTTTGAACTTGTAGCACTCTAAATTGTTCTGATCAGTTGCAATTTATCCTTAAAACCTCCTAAATAGTCCTGGACAGTTCTGAACAATTACAATTCGTCTCAAAGCCTTCCAAACTATTCCAAACAGTTCCCTCAAATCGCCCAGAGTACATCAAATAAACATAATTATCGATTGATCGAAACAGCATAGCGGATTATCGTTTCTACAAAACCTCGACGTCGCCTCTAATCCCGGTGCCTCCGGCCATCTACGAGGAGGTGCCGCAGTTCATCAAGTTCGTGCTGTGCTGCGAATTCCCCATGTACAACTCGCTGGACGAGCGGCGGGCCGCGATGAAGGGGGCCCACATCGTCAAGGAGTCGTCGGGCGCCTCGTCGGGGGCCTCGCTGGCATAGCTATAGCTCCGCGCCGGTCGCGCGGAGCCCGGCGACAAGGCGAAAGGGAGCTCCTTCGGCTCCACGGCGGACGTTAAAGTTCAAATTACCGCTCTGTGAAAGCGTTCTACGTTGTTCTGGACTGTTTTGAACGGTTCTGATTAAACCTGACAGTGTTCTAAATTGTTCTGGATGGTTTTGAAGCATTCTACATTGCTTTGAACGTTCGTGATTCACTCTGAAAGCGTTCTGAATTATCTTGGATAGTTATGAAGCAGTCTTTTTTATTTTGGACAGTTCCGAAGCATTCTAAATTATTCTGGACAGTTTTGAAAGATTCTAAATAGTTTTGCACAGTTCTAATTTATCCTGAAAGCCTTCTAAACTGTTCTGGACAGTTTTGAAGCATTCCACATAAGTCGATGTACGAGGGATGGTTTCATTTCATTCACTGTTTTAGCGGGATTTTGGAAGCATCCCTCGTAGATAAAAATTGAATTATATCAAAAACGAATAAGTGTATAGTCGAAATTTTAACGTAGACTCTTCAAAGTTCTAATAAACGTAGCATATCCGATGAGAATGTTAAATGTATGTATCACGATTTAGCCTCGGAGGTTCGTTGTGATATTTAATATTTTCTAATATGTACAATAAGATCAGTTGAATAAATAATAAATAGTAAAGTTGAAGCGCACATCGTTTATCTTTCGTTCTATCTACCTTATTTAGAAAACCGAGCCTCAAATGTAACAAATTTATTCGTAAAAATATTTTAACAATTAATAGTTTAATCACAGTCATCGGTGATTGAGTAATTTCACTAAGCCCGTACCCCGCAATTCTACAAAAAAGAGATTATCTAAAATATTCTTCGTTTATCAATCGTTTTTATCGCTTAATTGAATGCACAAATTCCTAGTAAAATCGTAGCTGCCGAAAAATACATATCCTCCTATCGTTATCCACATCACCCTCGGTGTAAATCCAGCGAATAAACTAAAACAAATCGATTAGCGAATCCAACACAATTAATTCGTGATATTACCCCCGAAAGCCTTCTTTCCGATAAATCTGCTTCAGCGTATTTCTAACAGTCATAACGCCGGTTCTCACTTTCTCTCTATCGGCTAGCATTATTCGAGTTTTCGCCACATCGAGCGGAGTCGTCACGGCCGCGGCGATTCCACCTAACGAAAAACATCTTCTATTAAAACAATTTCATTAAAATCCCTGGAAAAATCACCGGCAATCGAACCGCAAATGGCCACCTCCCACGACTCCAAGGGAATGTTGTTCTTGAAATTGTCCCTGTACGATTGCTTCAGGTACTCCAAGATGGGGAATTGCACCAGCGAAAACGGTATTTCCCTTAAAATCGTCGAACCGTAGCCCCTGTATAAACCCTAAAATAAAAACTACAGTTACATTCAAACGATAACACACTTTCGAGCTCTATAAATCACCTTCACGCCTTCGTGTTTATACGCAGACATCGCTATCCTCCAAGAGGACTTGTTGCCCGTTTGGGTTTGCCTCCTTTGCTTCACCACCTCCATCGGAACCCTCACCAAACACGCCACCTGGAATTACAAAACGGGTTTAAAAACGAGTTTAATCGAAGAGCTCGTGTTATTCGTACTATTTCCGAAACACCTCCCGCAAACATGTGCACGAAGGGCATCGCGTTAGGAGAGACGACCCCTTGGGAATGGTGCTTGATCGATTCATAAGTGAGGAAAAATAAGGCAGCTGGAACATTGTAATAATGCGATTTAATATAACACTATTCGCTTGGGTATGCTTAAGTAAAAGGCCATAATTTGTGTGTAATGATAAATAGGTGAATTAGAGGAAATACCTTGTGGTGCGCTTGCTATAGCTTGGGGTCCTATGCCTTTGTATATTCCTTTAAATCCTCCAGCTTTTTTAAAACCCTGCTCGGCTTGTAATCTGGTTTTTAAAGTATCTAATGGGAATAAAACGACGTCCACTGTTAGCCCGGCAACTCCACCGCCCTGAATTTAAAATAAACAATTAATATAATCATTATTTTAATTTGTAATAGAAATTATACTTACCAAAAATGAGGCTAAGTGACGATTTTGACTCGTCTCCTCCTGCAATTCCATGGTACTTTTACGGGAAATATCATAAATTGAATTTAAGGTAAACAGACATTCTAATTAGTTTAAAACTTTCACTTAAAATGAAACATTAACAACACGAAATTGCAATCGAAGTCCGAGCACGTGGGAATTATTTAATAAACGTCAAAAATAATGATCAAAAACCAGATAAGAACAAGGCCATAGATCGCCTAATTAAAATTTCCTTCGGTAGATGGAACAGTTTAATTTATGTCCCGAAGAACGTCATCACGTCATCATATCGCCAAAAAAATCATCGGGAAATTAATTTTTATCATGTCGAATGAGGATTTAATATTTAATGCGAAAGAAATACGTATAATATTGTTTTATTTAATATTATCGGAATTTTATGGAAACTAGATTTCGTTGCATTGTAAATTTTTCTTCACCAATCAAGTTGGCCAAAAAGAAAATTAATGACGCGATTGCAATCTAGTGAGCGGTATTGGTGCAGATAAACGAAAAGGTAGAAATTGCACGAGAAGAATGGAAGTCGGCCTTGCAACGTGCCGATTTCCGATTTAGATTATTTCCACAGTCTCAAATATTCAGTCAATTCCGCTCGACCAAACGCAAGCGATCACAATAATTTTTCATCGGAGGTGACATTCCCCTTCCGCCGGCCATTCGAAACGAAAGCGAAGAGCGAAGCAACTCGAAAAAATCCTTGAACTCGGCCGCAGCCGGAAAATTAATCAAAAAACCGTATGTAATTAGAAAAAAGATGAGGAGTTTTGCCAAGCCGGGGCCGCCTGGCGGCGCAACGCCGAACTACCATAGAAATTCCTGGCGAAAGAACCACTTCTCGATCCACACAAACATGACAAGTTGAAAACGAAATTCCCAAGTTCTTCGCGACAATTGTGACCGTGGTCTCTGATACACCGATTTTCGGCCGGATTCGACGGCGAAAAATCGAACATTTCCGCGGATTGTGCTTCGCTGGTCCACGTACGACCCGAATCCGCCGGAAAGTCCGCCGAAATCGGCTTGTTAATAAATAATTTTAGATAATTCCATTAGCTAGATCGCAGCAAACGTGTCGCGGTTCGGGCGTTTCGGGCGAGTTCGGTCGGGCTCGTTATCGCCGATGGAACGGAATACGTGCTTTCGATGAAACGTAAAACAACACAACAGCGCCGCATATAACATAGGTGGCCGTCGTGACAAACAATTCAGGGTAAGTAAAATTTTGTTGATGTAACTAACTAAACAATAAATAAACCGAAACTGACCCTTTTAAACGTCCCTTCGATCGTGTATTATCGTTTCAATAGGATGTATAAAGGTTTATGACGCGACGGTTCCGCGAAAATCGCATTGTTTATAATGGAATCGCTAACAGGTCATTAGAACTTTTCACGTTTTTCTTCCGACGGGGGGTTGTGAATTAGCAGTGATTAGTTAGATTAATGGACGCAACCTAATTCTAACGTTCCGTTCCGTGGCTTTAATGAAGGGAAATCGGTCGTGAGAGGCGCGTAAAGCGTTCGCCGCGTTTCGCATTGCGATTTAGATTTAGATTGGGTTTTTTTACACACCGGCGGGCTCAGCCTCAACACCAGCTGAAGGAGCCAGCCCCCCGGACCCGGATCGAGAGGGGGCCATATCGCATCCTGCTTATTTATAGATGGCGTTTACGTTGTATTTTGTTGTTCTATCGAGCGCTCGTGTGTGCACTGAAAAACTGTTGCTCCGTCGACGGATCGAGTTGGCTGAAACGGAAAGGAAATGAAAGGCTGCGTTGGCTGTGAGCCGTGAATTTTAGGTTATGGTGGTAATGATTTTATTCGAAATTTTGGCGGACGAGCCGCTGGTTTTTTTTTATTTTTAGTGTGCAAATGATATTTTTGGGTCGATTTGATTTGAATATAAGGAAATTAATGTTATAATTTACGCGTATGTAATTAATTTTTTTTTATAGTTTGTTTTATTAAAGCAGATTGTACTAGAATATTTTATTGTACTGGAATTTGAGAATTCATTGTCATTGGGAATTGATGTTGGTAAATTATGAATAAATTTATGTTTTTTTTTGTATAATAATGCTTTAAAACTCCTAAACATAATTTTGATTTTGCAATGAAAATATTTTTTGAATTTGTAGGTTTTTTTTTTAATTTTCGATGTTTGAAGAATTTCGAATTTTCCTGATGCATTTTCCCACACAAAGGACACATTATTTAGCATTCAAAATGATAAATTTAAATCATATTTCATTTCATAAGTTTTATAACAAAAATTTGTACTTCCTAATTCCCAAAAATCCAGTATCTAAGAGTCAAAAACAACACAAAATTCAATTCTCTTTATTTGTACTAAAAATACTTCCCCTTAGAATAAAGTACAAAATCTAGATATACACTAATTCCAAAATTTCCACCCTATTTGATCCATGAATGCAACAAAGACAACTTCTTTTAATCTCACATAAAGTAGAAAGAAAGAGTAACATTGTGGTAACTCACCTTCCTCATTCTAACCAATGTTGTTACCTTAATTATAGAATTTACCATATTTTAATCCCTTTCCGATTCACATAATAATATACCCCAACAGTACAATTAGAGAGATTAATAAAAAAACCTTTCCTTTTATTGAAGGTCCGCAAGCAGATCATCCCAATGTCATGGCAACTAGGATCAAAAAACTTGGACCGGCCGCTTCGCCGAAGGAGCTAATAGCACCGGAACCGGCCGAAACCGCCGCCAAACCGCCCAATCCCGCCAAACCGATCGGCAAACGCATAGCCAAGAACCCCAGGAAGCGGATCAACAAACCGCTGGGCGTCGCGCTCAAAACCAAAGTCGGCAAGCTGAAGCTGAACCCGCTGGCGAAGACGACCCTCCAGAGCGCCGCCAAGAAGAAGCAGCTGATCAAGAACGGCTCGAAGGAGATCAAGGCGGGCCGCAAGCGGATCAAGAAGGGCCTGTCGATCAAGAAGGAGCCCGACGATGCGCCGCCCGTGCTCGAGCCCATCTTTCCGCTCGAAGAGAACAAGAAGCAGCCGAAGAAGCGCGGCGTCAAGCGGAACAACAAGGACGTACCCGAATTGATGGATTCCACTAAAATCAAGGAGGAGATCGAGGATGATGTATCGAGCGATTTGACCGATACGTCGTTCGGCGATAATTCCGGCGCTTCGAAGCAATCGAAGCGCACCAGAACGGCGAAGAAAGTGAAAATCGAATCGATGGAAACGATGGAAGACGTCATGAACGATCTAACGTGTCTCATCAAATCCGACGAGATCAAAAAAGAAACGGACGTCCAATCGGAGGCGGATAAAATGAAGAAATTGAGCCGAAAACAGAAGTTGGAACTGCTGAAGAAGAGCATCAAAAAGGAGAACATCGAGAACGTTTCGAATCGAACGAAATTCGATCCCGCCGACGAGAAGATCATCGACATGTTGGATTTGAACGTGAACGTATTGAAAAAACGATCGCCGGTGACCAATCGAAGGCACAGCTTCGAGATGTGCTCGTCGACTCCTCTGGAAACCGCCGAAGATGCCGTCAAACTGTTCGGCGAAGCGCCGCGGAGCTCCAGCCCGCGATCGAAGCGGAAAACCAAGCAGGACGTGCCCGCCCGAAAACCTAGTCCTTACACCACGCGATCCGACGTGCCCGCCAAGAAGCTGCGCAACGGCAAAGAGCGCAAATTCAAGAACCTCGGCCTGCTCGACGGCCTGCACGTGGTCAACACGCGCAGGCGCCGCATGCTCTCCGACTCCTGCTCGAAGGTGTCCGGCTACGAATCGGACAGCAGCTACTCGGACCTCGCCTCCAACGAACCACCCAAAGAGGATACATCGAAACCAATCGATTCGCTCGATTCGAACTCGAACCCGCTGCCCGAGAAGAACGTCATCCTCGACATCATGAAGATGAAGTTCAACGGCGAGGTGGAATCGAAGCAGCCCGATAGTGAGTTCAAGATGGCGACGGTGGTGGCGTCGCGGTTCTACGGGAGGCGCGCCAGCGACGCCTCGCCGGCCACCACGGAGCCCGATCCGAAGGAGGCGATCAGCGAGAAGATCGCCGACGAGGCGCCGCTGATGGTCGACGAGGCGGGCCTGGGACTCGGCAGCGCCGCCAGCGAGGCCGACGAGAACCTGACCGACGTCCAGGCGGATCGAGACCGGGATCGAACGGTCGCCGAAGGAGAGACGGTCGATGATAGCGCTTTAGATAAGTCTGAATATATTCCTATGGAAGACGGGCCCGTCGCGACTGATTGTAGTTACACTGTGATCGAGACTAACGAAGAAGATTTGCACGTTCGCGTTGACGAAGCTACGGAGAATGTCGCCGAGAAAGAGAGTATTCTAAAAGTAAACACAAATTTCCACGTTTGCGAATTAATAATTATTAATATTATTTGTGATTATTTCAGGCGTTGGGGCTTCGAAGGTCGAACGCGCCCGAGCAGGAGCCCGTCAAGCCGAAGCCTAAAAACGACAACTACACGGGCACCTTAAAAACTGTGATCAAAATTAATCGTGATAAGAAAAAGGGAGGTAAGGGTTTCGTCAAGTCTTCGATGCAGAAGGGCAAGACAAAAACCTTGGACGAGGAACAAACGGAGGAGACCAACGAGAAGGCTAGCAAAGAGAAAGAGGTATATGAGAAACGAGGCTAGAAATTAATTCGTTAATAATAACTCATTTTTCGATTGCAGACTTCACCGTCTTGGAAACACGGAACGCACTCTTCGGACACGGCCGGTGCGCACAGAAAGTCACATTATTCTAACAGATCTAACATGGGTAATTATTCGGTTAAGGGCCTATCGATTCTATCACCTCGCCTCGTAAACAATTTTTAGTTAATGCATAACGTTTCGTATGCATGAAGTAATCGATTATACACACCTAACACCGTATCTCTAACCCTCTCGCCCCCGCTTCGAACAACGACCGGAGTAGAATTAAAAATGTAATTATCGCTTTCGCAGACGCCAGCAGCGAGCACACCTCCGACGGCGAGGCCGCCGCCCCCCAAGACGGCGCCATCAAGGCGCTCGTCATACCGGAGAAGGCCAGCTCGTTCAGCATCCACCCCGGCAGGCTGTGCAAGGACGAATGTTCCTATTGCTTCGGCAAGTTCGGGCTCTTCGATACGCCCTGTCACATCGCCCAAATGAAGAGCGTCGATCGACAGAACAAAATTCTAACCGGTGCGTTTCATACCCTTGTGGTGACACTCTTGTAGATTTAGATTAGGAGATCCTGGGACACGTTCAACAGGGTTCCGTTGTATAGTAGTAGCGTTGAAAGTAATATTTGTCGTTTTTTTGTAGCTGAAAAACACCTTACGAGAGACTCGTGCCTTTGCGACGCCTGCTACAGACACGTGGACAGGAAATCGAACACCCCATCGTACACGAACAAATCGTTGAAGAGGAACTCCCTGGTGGCGCCCGGCCCGCGACAGAACCACTGCCACGTGTTGGGCTGCGAGAAAGAATCCTCGAAGATCCTGCGCAGGAAGTGGATAATAAAGATGAGGAAGTGCATATGCCAAGTGGTAAGTTCGCTTCTTCGATTCAAAACCGGCAAGCGTTTAATCGTGTATGTTCGTCGGTAGATCAACCTCGATTTGGACAATCCCGGATTGCATTCGATACCCATCTGCGAGGAGCACTATTCGGCGCTGGAGCATCTCATGATATGCGCCATGTGCAAGCGACGGCTGGCCAGCAATCACATACATTATTTGGGCCCCGAAACGGCGGAGATCAACAAAGCGCTCAAGGAAAACGGCATACCGCTCGCCCTCACCGATCGACCCGTAGTCTGCAAACTCTGCAAGTGCCTCGCTTCGATCATCCTCAAAAACCCCAAAGACCGACCCGAAGCCAGCAACAATTTCTTCCTGGAATACAAGAAAAGGTCTAACGCAAACGCGCTACTAAAAGTAGATGTTATTACGTATTATAATTGTAGGCTCCTCCATTTCAACGCTATCGTTCGAATGGACGAATCGGCCGCCGAAGAACCGATAGCGGTGCCGAGCAAGGCCGACAGAGTGGAGATGCTGAAGAAGCGCAAGCGAATGAAGTACACCGGCACGTCGGACGATCACACGGAGGACGAGCAAGAGGACCGGGTGCCTTCTACCGGTACGAACAGCCGGCCACAATCGCGCTCCGATTCGCCCAACGACGATTACAACGGCATCGATTACAACACGCTCATACCGACCATCGCCATGGAGGTGGGCAGCGACAGCGAGGGCAAAAAGGACGGCGCGATGCCCGTGTTGAATCGGTTCAACGATACGGTGAGGAGTGTTCGATTCGATTCGATTGATTTTATTGATGTGGTTTTGCAGCAGCGCGAATCGGTGGAGATATTGAGAATACCGAAGGGCGGCGACCGGTCGAAGTCGGAGTCGCTGCTGAAGAAGCTGGGCAATTCGGTGTCGGTGCGCCAGCTGATCCCGGGCGAGGAGGATCTCGCGTTCGCCGGTAGCGTGCATTTCAACAGCGCGCGCGAAAAGACGCCCGACGGTTGGGAGAAATGCACGTCGGTCATCCAATACGACGAGGAGACGAAAAAGTTGTGGCAGGAATTGCAGAAACCCTACGGCAACCAGAGCAGCTTCTTGAGGCATCTCATTCTCTTAGAAAAATATTTTAGGTAATACTATACTATACAATTTATATCGATTTTTTTAATGGGCTCGTTGGGATTTGCAGAAACGGCGATTTGATTCTTTCTCCGCGAGCCAGCCATCATTCGATAAACTACAGCGAATCGGTGCATAATAGATTAAGAGCCTACGATAATATACCGAGCAGCGCTGGAAACATCCAACCGCTCAGCATGATCCCGTTTAATAAATTACAAACGAAAAGCAGCAGCGGGATTATTACCAGCTTAAATATCCCTACAGGTAACCCACCGATAAACTCTTTTTTACTCAACACTCTTACTACGTATCATTCCAGCTACTTCGACTCAATCCAAAGCCGGCAAATCGTCGAGTACCACAGCTATATCGCTACCTAAGAACACGCCGATTACCATATCCCAGCTGAACAGTCCGCCGCTGATATCCTGCTCGTCCGTATTGCAACCCGTAAAGTCTAAAATAATCGGACAACCGCCGGGATTGATATCCCTCCATCCGGGCACCGCGCGTCCGGTGGCGCCCGTCGCCAAACCGCCCCAATCGCAGAAGATCAAGTTCCCCATCACGAAGAACTGGAGGCCGAACTTGATCCCCATCGATCCCAAAAAGAAGATCGAAAGGAAGACGGGTTTAGTTCAAGTTAGTGCGATTTTGGTGGCAACGCCTCGCTCGAGTCTCACGCCGTTCGTTTCGTTTCAGGTGATATCGCGGGGGAAGCCCTATCACATAACGCTGGAGGACTACAAGAAGATGTGCGCGATAAAGCGGAGCTTCGAGATGAAGCAGAAGCGCGACAAGGAGGCGCAAGCGTCGAAGTCGGTGCTCGTGTCGCAGAATTCGGTGTCGGTGCTGAAGTCGATCAACGCGAGGGGTTTGGAGATCGGCCAGGGCGCGGCTGCGGTCAAAAGCGAGCCGATGTCGTTGGGCGATGGGATGTCCGAGGGGGAGAATATATTGGAGAAGTTGGACAAGCAGGTGGAGAGTTTGGGGACCAAGTTGGGCGAGAAGGCCCTGCCGCTTCCGAAGATACCAAAATCGTTGACGGTCATACCGCAGACCGTTACTAAGAAATCAAATAGGTCTTCTAGCCCTTTGTTACTCATCACTAAGAACAGTAATAACGGTAAGTCATGAGTTTTATTCGGTGACAATTATTCAAAGTGCCTATTAAAATATAAAGGGAATTTTCAAATTGGAAAGTACTTTTTTCGAAACATTATATCGTCTTTTTCTCATTTATTATTATTATATTTACCTAATTTTTTTTTAATCTATTGATTTAAAAGAAACATATCTAATTCAAGTAGTATTAGAATATAAAGTACTTTCGATTTTTTAGATTTTCTACACTGTATACAATTTGAAGATATTTTAAGTTTGAAAAACTTTAAGAAATTGTTGAAAATTGAGAAATATGCTATAAAAAAATCATTGTTATACTATTGTCAGTTGAATATTTTTTTAACACAAATTCAAAATACATATAAGTATAATAGACTTGTACATAGACTGTATAACCAGTAGTTAAGTATTTACCTAAAAAATATCACACTTATTTAACTTATAATTTATGAATATTGAAGCAATATTTTATTTTATCGGTATAATTACAATATTGTAGAATTCCAAATAAATTTTTTTACCATCCATCTGGAAATACTGCCGTGATACCTGTCAAAAAATCCTACTTTTATATCATTAACAAATTCGTTTTTTTTAAGTACATTCACAACATTCTATATCAATAAAATTACAAAAATATTTTACCTACGTTCTACTAAGGAATAAAATAACTGCCGTAGATACTTAATATAATAAGTTAATACTGCTAGTTGAATAAATAATTAAAATTATTGCTAGTGGCAATTTTTTTTAGTCTTTAATGTTAAAACGGGGACATTAATTCGATCGGGAGATCGAAAAATAAATCGGTTTCAGATCATCCCTAATAATTATTTTGACACATCATTCACTCTAAAAAATTCTAAAAATATTTACAGTTAATTAAAGGTGAATTTACCAACGTATAAACGTACCCGTCAGGTACTTGGGGAGATTCTATATATCCGACAGTTAAGAGAGTATCTTGCAGATAATCGTTGGAAATCCACTCTTTAGCAATAAATATTTACATCTTTTTTTAAATATACAAAAAAAATAAACGTTTTTAAAACGCATCAGCCTTTGACAACTCGAAAAATATCACTACTCGCTCGAAAAACTACGTAGGCACGATTGTGAATTATTTTAAATATAGAAAAAAGTTAAAAATTATAGATTAGTACTAATAGAAATAGTACATTATTTAAATCCGTTACCTATTTTATCTACAGCTACAATCAACATTGAGATTTGCGCTCAACTAAGAAACTAAAATATTATACTAGCGAGTTCAAAAGTAATCGAGTATGTAGATACTGTAGATAAAATGGTGTATTGTTCGTTGCATTTCGTGTATAAAGATGCTTATAGCAGATCAACCACCGAGAATAATAACAATAAAAATCACTGTATAGAATCACAATAACCGCAGCGAATGAAGAATAAAAAACAAAACAGTCGATTAAACGTAATTTTCCCCGGACGAAGAATTCTCCGGCCAGGCCTTCTTATGCCTCGAACCGGCCTTCTCCCTTTCCCTTTCCCTCTCCCTGTTCTTCTTCTTTTTGCTGGCGTCTTTCGAGTTGACAGGCGAATGGAGCGGCGCCGCGACGCCGCCGTCGCCGCCGCCGCCCGACGTCGACTCCTGCCGCACGGCGTTGGCGCAGTTGTTATTCTGCGCGTGCGCCGACAAACAAGACATCTCTATCATGTTTTGATTCTGGAAAACAACCGAGCTAGAAATTTCTGGAAACAAGATGAAATTAACCTAGGTTTAGTTAGTGAGTAAATAATAAAACAACAACAAATAAGCAATACACAAAATATTAGTTAGTTAGTTCGAAGCTGGTGGTGATTCGGGGAGGTTCTTTTTATTTCGTCTATAATATTCATGTCTAATCGGTCAGTCGGGTAGAAGAGATAATCGTCTTCGATTTTTAATTAATGTGTTATGTTATAATACGTGTATAATAAGAAACTGACCTGATTTGAGATGAACAAAAATACCTTTCAAATAATGCGCGCCTGCAATAAGACAACATGCAATTATATTTTGCATACAACAATTTACAAAACAACTAGACAATTACCGTAATAATCGTTCTAAAAGAGACTTAGCGACTAAAATAGGGGTAGAAATAACAAAAAAATAATATGTACCTCACCTTGTTGTCCGCATCGGCGAGCGGATTCGCTGTTATCGTTATCCTATTGGGCGTACAACCGTTCGATTTCGTACCGACTACGACATATTCGTTGCCGTCCAGCTGCAACGTGTGATCGTCCACGATCGCTTTGTCGCGATTATCCACTAAAATTCGAAATAAATCATTTAGTTCTCTACGGTTTCGGCGAATGGTGTGTAGTCAATTACCAGATTTCTTTTGCTGCCACTTCCTGCAGACGAATACAAGCGTTACAGCGCAAATTAATAAGGCACATCCAATCACAGCACCGGCCACGATAACGTACAGGCTAAATTCGGATTTTTCTCCCCTAGGAGTCGGCACTATCGGAGTTATAGTCGTGGGTAAAGGCGCTTGTTGAAGAGCTAACGTAACACGCGTAAGCAAACAAACGGTTAGATTTTTTTACATCGATTTGGAATGATTACGATTACCTTCGGTTCGGGCTTTCATGATGGCGCTGAACTCGCTGGCGTACTTCGAATTGAAACTCTGCAATTTCACGTCGTAGATGGTGTCCGGCTGCAAGTGGGTGATCACGTACTCTTTGGTGTGCTTCCCGTCGGCCGTGGCTTTCATGTAATCGCCCGCCGTCGAAGCGGACATGAAGCTCACGTAGTAACCGTCGATCGGTATATTCTCGCTGCTCGGACACTGGAAGCAGATACAAAAGTAGAGAGAATAATATCGCGGCGCGTACAACTCTCACCGTCCAGTAGATTTTAACGACGGTGGTGTTGATGGTTTCGGTGCGCGTGACGATCGGCGTCGGCAGGGGATTCCTCACGTCGAAGTCCAGCTTCTTCAAATGGAACTTCTCCGAATTCGGGCTCAATTTGTTGTCGTTGTTACTGTACACGGCGGCTATGCGGAACCGGTACACGTGGTCCGGCTTTAGATTGGTTATATCGTAGTCCCTGATGCTCGGCGGTATGTCGAAATTCGCCGTCTTCCAGCGGCTCGACCGGCCGCCGCCGCCGCTGCCGTTGTGCGACGCCGGATTCGCCGGCCCCAGCTCCTTGTACTGCACCTTGAAGAACGATATCGGCAGCCCGGTGTCCTGCGACACGTTCCAACGCACCACCACCGATTCGTCGTTCAGCCGCGATATCACCGGCTTGCTGGGCGGTATCAGCTTCGGCGGCTTGTTGTGCTTCGCTGGACGTCTCGACGAATGCCTGTCGGAAATATTTTCCTTTAGAACGCCACTTTAGCCAAGTTTCAGGATCGATGTACACCAGATTTAGGGATTTTTTTCGCGCTTACAACGTTGTCGATTTTAGTATAATTTTCGTAGATTTGGGGATTTTTTGTATATACAGCGTTGCCAAATTTAGTACAATTTCCGTAGATTTGGGGAGTTTTGTATATACAGCGTTGCCAAATTTACTACAATTTTACTAGATTCGGGAAAATTTTCGTAAAAGCGGCGTTGCCAAATTTAGTACAATTTCCGAGAATTTGCGGATTTTTCGTATATACAGCGTTGCCAAATTTAGTACAATTTTACTAGATCCAGGAAAATTTTGGTAAAAGCGACGTTGCCAAATTTAGCAAAATTTTACTAGATTCGGGAAAATTTTCGTAAAAGCGACGTTGCCAAATTTAGTACAATTTCCGAGAATTTGGGGATTTTTCGTATATACAGCGTTGCCAAATTTAGTACAATTTTACTAGATTCAGGAAAATTTTGGTAAAAGCGACGTTGCCAAATTTAGTACAATTTCTGAGAATTTGCGGATTTTTCGTGTATATACAGCGTTGCCAAATTTAGTACAATTTTACTAGATTCGGGGAAATTTTCGTAAAAGCGACGTTGCCAAATTTAGTACAATTTCCGCGGATTCGGCGATTTCTCGTATACTTACTTTTTGTGCGGCCGAGTGGGCGCCACCGACGAATCGGTCGAACTCAACGGTATGACGCCGACGTAGATGCCGGCGTAGACGGTCCTCACCGAATTCCTGGCGAACAGCTGCAGATTGCCGGCGTGCCGTTTCTCGATGCGGGCGAAATCGATGCGCCCGCCCCGGGTCTCGATCAGCGAATCGTTCAGCACCGAGAAACCGTTGAGGAACCACGACAGGCGAGGGGGCGGCGCGCCGCCGACCGTGCACCGCACGTCCATGGGCTCGCCCTGCTTGGGGTCGGTGCGGTTGACGGGACAATCGATGGTCGGCTCCTCGCGATAGACCAACGTCAGGCGGCGCGCGATCGACCCGAGCGAGTTGGTGTGCGTGCAAACGTACTCGCCTTCGTCGGATCGCGACGCCGAGTGGATGGTGAGGGTGCCGTTCGATGAATGAATCAGTCGCCTGTCGCCCTTCGTCCACACCACGTCGGGCACCGGGTTGCCCACGGCGGCGCATTCCAGCGACACCGAATCGCCTGCAATTCCCCAATAATCACATCATAAACGATTAGTTAGGTATACTTCATCCATCGAACCAGCGGAGTAACCAAAACGAGGTTAGACGCTGGATCATCAAGCACGTTCGCATCGATTGGGTAAAATAAAAAAGCCTTCTTACGCTGACCAATCACGCGTCTAAACTTGTTTTAGTTACTCCGTTGGTTGGATGGATGAAGTATAGTATAGTAAAGGACCATTGGTAAAACCTACCTTTAAGCACCGTATAAGTCTTCTTCGGCTCGACGATGAACCGCGGCTGCGAATAGGGCGCGTACCGGTCCACCTTCAACCGCAAATACGCCGTGGAATTCGCCGTTTTGATGGTATTGGTGGCCCTGCACGTGTAAATCCCCGTATCCTCGACTCCGACTCTACCCAACACCAGCGACTTGGTCTGGCCGCGTTGGTTCACCAGCTCGCCGCCCTTGTAGTACTCGATCGACGCCTCCGGATTGGATTCGGGCGCCGGACACCGCCACAGCACCGCGTTGCCCGGCGCCACCGTCGCCTCGGCGCCCGCCTGGCGCGGAAACTCGCCCAGCTTGGCGATGGTCAAACGCCACGGGATCGAGGCCACCACGTAGGCGCCGTAGTAGGCCAGGCATTGGTAGTCGCCGGCGTTTTGGGTGCTGTTCACCTGCGCAATTCCACCGCAATTAGAAGTGTCATAGGATGGAGAAGAGAATATACATACTTGAAGGGTCAAGAGGGATTTCTTGCGTTGTTTGGTGTATCCCTGCGGTATCATGCGGAAGGCGGGGCTGCTGAGGTCGACGAAGGCGTCGGGATCGTAGGGATCGTCGGTGGGATAGAATTTCCATTCGAATTTGTCGGGTTCGATGTCCATTTCGCAGGTCATCAGCGTGGTGAAGCCCAACGGGAGCGCTATGGGTTCCGGGTCGGATACCATGTGCCTATCTGAAATCGACGATGATTTTTTTTATATTTTAGAAGAAAATCGCCGATGAAATGTTTCGATTTAATCGTACCTGTTACCGTGATGCGGATAAAAGTAGCCAATACGGCCAGGATCGGTACGATGCGAGCGCCTTCCATGACTCCGCATGCCTGTAATTATAGGAAACTTCAGGAATTATAAAGGCTTTTATTTAGTTGTAGAAAGTAGCGCGTTATGTAAAATAAAAGTCGGATCCCACCCACGGATATTTAATACCGAAAAACCTACGTGTTTGTGTCGCAATAGCCTCGCATTCGAGACCTTCCTATCTGATCTACAACGCGCGTTTGATACGAATAAAGCCAAAGGGTAAACCCTTTCGAAATTTGATACTGTTAAGAAGCCCTTTTCTATATAAAAATGTATAGGAAACAATCAATCGCTACTTTTATGGCTACTCGAATTTATCTGAAACCGACGATCGTTTGTAAGGATTATTTTCCGCATCCGCTTTATACATACCATCCACATAATCACACCCGAGAAATTTCGCGAAATTTTAGTCACAACCAATCCAATAATCACTCCTCGAAATTCATTCCTACTTCTTTAGTTCGTACAAACAGCGAACGGTACAAAACGACCAAAGAAGTAGGAAATACGGGATGATTTCCGACTTAAAAATACGCACTTATCGAACTCGCACAACAAATTACACCACTTACAACCGAAAAAAATCTCGTTTTTTTCGCGGGTTTTTTTTGTACAGGTTTGCCGGGAAAACCGAACGGGCGCGCTTCCACCGCGACGGTCCCTCGCGAATTAGCGCGTTTCATTCATGAAAAATAAAACGAGCACGAATCGACGCGACGGCGACGGCCGTGCGTAGGAAAAAGTCGAAAGTAAAATCGCGTTAGAGATGGCGGCGGAACGGAACTACAAACCGTTACTTAGTAAAAATTAAAAATCCGCGAAAAAAATTTTTTTTGCGATAGAAACAGCACGAATCGGGATTCGAATTTTATATCAATTCGATTTTTTTTTCGTAATACTAATTATAGTGATTGGTTTAAAGTAGTCGCCATCTCTATACGAAACGAGCCCAGCCTTCTAAACGTTTAGAACGTAGGCTAAAGTTGCGTTCACTTCGGAGATTAGAGGAAAAAATTACCGAGGAAAAATACATTTGTTATTATAATTTAGTCCGGTGGGCGACGGAATTTACCGGAGTTTCGTTTAAGAAAGCGAACTTCGTAAAATTGCCTTATTTTTTTTACTGTAAATAAATTAACTGTGATACCTTTAATGAAGAGTGGTTTCCATTAAAGCCGGCTCGAGATTAAATTCCTGCCGGGTCGTCGGCGCGGTGAGGTAGCATTTTTTCTTTCCCAAAAAACACAGAACACCTACGGAAGAAATGTATTTATCATACAGTGTGACCTGTAAATAGTTATCGTTTTTTTTTAATAGCAACTCGAGAAGTTTCAAGGTCTCGTGCAAATTGCGAAAAACGATCGTTTTTATTGACAATTCTCATCCAATGTTTGTCCTAAAAGAGCGCTATTTTTTTTATTATACTTTCGAGCCGGATTTGTGGACATTTCTCACATTGTAAAGGCACACACAGAGTGGGAAAGCATCGAAAATTGAACGTTAAAACGAGATAATTTTTGAACAAACAAACACAAATGTAGCACGTATTGTCACCAATTAAGTCACCAAAATCTATATTTTTACGAGTAATTAAAACATTCCAAAATGCACCCAATAATCTACGAAAAAAAAAAACCATTTAATTACACAATTCTCCCCACCTTTACTATTCTCTCTTCTTTACAACAAATCCTCTCTTACGCAATAGACATTGTAAAACCCATACTAATTAACTATCAATCGACGAACGTAGAAAAAAAAACAGGTCGAACGACTCGTTTAGCGGATAATTAAGATGTAAAACGCGAAAATTTCAACGAGTCCGGGTTCGCGGAAGCCGATAAAAACGCGGCAGAAGCCGGTCCCGGTTAAATCGAGCCAGAAATATGTCGATGGCTCGCGGGAGAATAAAAAAAAAAACGGCCAAACCCGAAACCGAAAAACGGCTTTCCGAGAACGGCGCGGAGCATTTTTACCCCAAACATCCACCTCGATTTAATGGGATACTCGCATTTCTCTGGTGGTATTCCAATCGCCGAGTACTCTTTTCGCGTTTATTTTTTTTTTTTCGATACTCAAAGGTCATGGGAAACTAACGTGCAGGAACTGTTTAGTGTCGCAGGCTCCGACTCCCGACGAAACAGAACAGAAGAAAACAGAAGATAAGAGAACAGAACCATTGGCATTCTATTATGCGTGATACCTGCATATAATCCACTTTATGCAAACAGGTATCTCTTTCTTCGCCGCGCACAGTGCCGTAGATTTTTCTACCTACCTTTGTTCCCTAAAATTTTCTCTCTACTTTTTGCACTATACATTTTCTCTCTACTTTTTGCACTATACATTTTCTCCCTACCTTTGGTCCAAACTTTTCTCCCTACTTTAACGCTGTAACTTTTCTTCCTACCTTTGTTCCCTAAAATTTTCTCTCTACTTTTACTCTTATTTTTCTCCCCACTTTTATTCTATACATTACTCTCCCTACCTTTGCTCTATACATTTTCTCCCTACCTTTGGTTCCAACTTTTCTCTCTACTTTTTCTCCCTAAAAATTTTCTCTCTACCTTTGCTCTATAAATTTTTCTCCCTAAAAATTTTCTCTCTACCTTTGCTCTATAAATTTTTCTCCCTACCTTTGTTCCCCGAAATTTCTTGCTAGGTTTGCTCCATAACATTTCTCCATGTTTTCATTCTCCCTATGCATTTTTTTATGCATAATCAACGCATTTCGTTATCGAAATAAAAACACACATTGTCGTATACCGGTAGACGAAAAGAAAAGAATAAAAAAAAAAAAAATCATGCGAAACACAGGTGTTCGACAAACATAATGTAACGCGAAGGCATTAAAATAAATATCTCTCTTCGGTCAATATTGGTTGTTTGCTGCGCATGTAATAACAATGTAACTCCAAGTCGAAACAAAGGGCTTTAGAGCGAAGTGAGCAATCAACTATATGGAAACGTGAAATCGCTTATATTTTTTCTCATTGCGCATTGTCGATTCGACGAAAAATGGCTCGTAAAACTCGCTTGTATTACACGATGGAAAAACGCATTCTCTCACATCGAGAAACTAATTTAACCCGCGCGCAATTTACAAAGGGTAAACCACAAATAACACATCACCCAAAACGATTTCATAATGGCCCAAATTTCGGTAACCAGTTCGAATTACAGACACCCACGAAAATTAACTGGATATCTAAGGCATTAAGAGATTCCCGATAACATTAAATCATTCCTGCATTCCCGGTCTAATCTAAAGGTAGGGAGAATGGGTCGAAAAAAATAAAAAAACGTGTAAAGTATGTGTAAAGAAGTAGGGAGAATGGATAGGAAATGGATAGAAATGCATTAAGAGCGTAAAGGTAGGGAGAATAGATGGAAAAATGGATTAAAAAAATGTGTTAATAATCTAAAGGTAGGGAGAATGGATGGAAAAATAACACACACCCAAAACGATTTCATAATGATCCCTAAATTTTAGCAACCACTTCGAATTACAGACACCCACGAAAATTAACTGGACAATCCAAGAGATTCCCGATAACACTAAATCATTCCCGCATTCCCGGCCAAAAACGAAGAGCGGAGCGATAAAAGGAGCATTTGCATCGGGTTCAATCAAGGCGAATTTAAATAAAAAAAAAATATAAATATAAAACGTAACACGAGCGAGTGCCAGGTATCCCGTGGTGGAGACGCGAAATGCCATTGGACAGGCGAAGGTGTGGCCGCTGTTGAACATGTTCATTTTTTCCCCGTCCATAATTCACTCCGCCGATGTACAGCAGCGCACCGGGGATTCACCGAAAAGGGGATTTTTTTCGAAGCTCCCTCGTACGAACACTCGCCTAACTAAATGCACGTTTTTGTACCTACGCCAGTCCCAGCAAATAAATAGATAATATAATAGTCCGATTAAAAGATGTATCCAGCAGGGAAAGTTGCATTTGGATTTCTTCTAAAGATGGTCGATAATTTCGAGTTATATCTCTAAAATACTTGTACGGCAGCGGTTCCCGTTCGAATTCCTCGAGCGTATATCTGATCGCGCCGGAGGAATTTCGAAGAAGCGCCGTAAATTTGCATCTTACATTCATTAGCCGCGGAAGCGATCGAGTAACTTAAAGTTGGGAGAATCGTTCGGAAAACGAACCGGAGAAACGCGTCGAGTGTCCAAAGGTAGGGAGAATCGATGGAAAATTACATTTAAAATAAAATGCGTTGTTTCTAAAGGTAGCGAGGACGGATGGAGGAATAATGAAACGTGTTAAGTAAAGGGTAGCGATAATGGATAGAAAATGGATTTAAAGAAATGCGTTAAGAGTGTAAAGGTTGGGAGAATGGATGGAAAAATGGATTAAAAAACGTGTTAATAATCTAAAGGTAGGGAGAATCGATAGAAAATGGATAGAGATGCATTAAGAGTGTAAAGGTAGGTAGAATGGATGGAAAAATGGATTAAAAATGAGTTAATAATCTAAAGGTAGGGAGAATGGATAGAAAATGGATAGAAATGCATTAAGGGTGTAAAGGTAGGGAGAATGGATGGAAAAATGGATTAAAAATGAGTTAATAATCTAAAGGTAGGGAGAATGGATAGAAAATGGATAGAAATGCATTAAGAGTGTAAAGGTAGGGAGAACGGATGGAAAAATGGATTAGAAAATTTGTGTAATAATCTAAAGGTAGGGAGAATGGTTGGAGAACGATTTAGTCTAGAGAATAGCCGGTAAATCGTTACAGTAGGTAGGCGAATCGAATTTATTTATTTATTTATTTATTCGACTAAAGTGGCCCCGAGTCGACGACTCGCCGGACCGGTTCTGGAATTCCGAACACGACGAAAAAAAAAAAGCGAAAAAAAAAAAATTACAATTAAAGAGATTTCGGTAGAAGGATGTTGGTTTTTTTTATATATAATGCGCCCAAAAAAATACACCGAAACAATTCCCTTTAAGACGGATATTCATAAGTTATTTCAGAGAAAACTCTTGCGCAGGAAGAACGCACGTTCTATTAAAACTACTTTTATTTTAGCGATTTATAAAAATAGCACTCAACAACGCGGCACTCGAAAACTCGCGGTTGCATAAGAGAATACACACAAATAAACTATCACAAGCAAAAACCCTTTCGAATACCCTTTTTTTACAATCGAACGTTATCGAATCCAAATTTCACACCTGCACACAATCCAACAAACAAACAAACAAACAAACCACCGGAGTGAGCAATAAAAAAAAACAACCCAATTTTCCCATACGCCATCAATGCCATGGTTTTGTACCTACCGATGATTAATCACATTCCATCACCCACTCGAGCACACCGCGAATAAAAAAATCCCGAAAGACGAACCGTCGAAACGACAACGGTACGGCGCCATAAACGAGCGGGTACTGCAACAACAGCGCCGAGCCGCTTCTATGCACTGCACACCGGCGGTACCGCCGCGACCTCGATGTAGAGTTGCACCGGAGAGCACCGGCCGATTCGATCTCGCAAGAATGTCGAATACAGTCTCCGGGAGTACCGGCACCGGCCACATCTCTTATTATGTTCTATGCGTGGAAGGAGAACGGACTGTACTCGGGTACTTCTCTACATATAGTCTAGTGCGGGCGATACCAGATCGATGCGGTTTATGTAGGTGGTACCGTTTCGTTTGGATTCTGGACGGTTTTGTAACAGTACCGGTTCGAGTCCGAGATCGGCGCTGAGTTTGGATTCGACTGTAACTAATGGCTTGTCCGGTTTGCTTGAAAATTTGCAAAAGGGGAAAGAGGATGTTGAGGAAAGATGGGTTCGCTTGGTCGCTTGAAAATTTGCAAAAGGGGAAAGAGGATCTTGAGGAAAGATGGGTTCGCTTGGTCGCTTGAAAATTTGCAAAAGGGGAAAGAGGATCTTGAGGAAAGATGGGTTCGCTTGGTCGCTTGAAAATTTGCAAAAGGGGAAAGAGGATGTTGAGGAAAGATGGGTTCGCTTGGTCGCTGGAAAATTTGCAAAAGGGGAAAGAGGATCTTGAGGAAAGATGGGTTCGCTTGGTCGCTGGAAAATTTGCAAAAGGGGAAAGAGGATCTCGAGGAAAGATGGAAATGTTGCGATCTGTATGGTTTTCAAGCTGATCTGGTTATACAGGGTGTTAATAATCCATTATAATGGGGATAAGAATTTATAAAAAAAGAAGACTCGTTGTTTTTGCAGAGCGATATTCGTATTTTATCGAAATTTTTCACTGGCCAATCGAAACTTTGCGTTGTGAGGCAACTACTTAATCCTATTTTCTAACCGGTGCATTATTATCGCGAATAAATAAAAATTCCATTTGGAGGTTAATTGTCATTTTTTGGTTCGTCGATCATTAATATTATTGTCAAACGACCATGTTCGAAGAAACGTGAAACCATCAAATTCTAGTTCATCTATTTAATCCATTTCCCATCAACTCATCAACATCTAACGGTAACTATTACGCAATCTGTTTCAAATAATTTTCTAATTCGACATTCACAATCGTAGTTACAACCATTATCGCATAGAAACACAACATGGAAGTGGGTTGCAACAAGTTCCAAGGATGCAAAGGCACCGATTGCACCGGGATAAATTGCTGCTGCTGGTGTCCCCAACCGCCCAAGAACAAATCCAACGAGACGCAAACGGTGCCGCAGTCCAAATCCTGCAACAAGCTGCAAGGCTGCCCGGGCGTCTGTTGCACCGGCGAGGGTTGCTCCTGCTGGGGCGCCGCGCCGCCCCCGCCGCCGCCCAAAACCAACGACAACGGCGACAAAAAGTGCGCGCCGCAATGTCCCGGCTTCGCCGCCCCCACGCCCGAGCCGCCCTCCTGCCGGCCCTGCTGTCCCGGCATGCAATCGCAGGAGAAGGACGAGCCGAAATGCGCGCCCGGTTGTCCGGGTTTGCCCAAACCGCCGCCCGAATGTTCGCCCGATTGCGGCAAACCGAAAGGTTGCAATAAATTAGAAGGTTGCCCGGGCGCCTGTTGCACCGGCGAGAATTGCAAGTGCTGGGGACCGCCGCCGCCAAAACCTCCACCACCACCGCCGCCGCCGGCTTGTAATTGCAAACAACCGCCGCCTTGTTGCCCGCCATCGTGCAAACCGCCCCAACCGACTTGCCCGCCTACTTGCCCTTCTTACAAACGATTACAACAACAACAACAAGGTTGTCCTTGTAAACAACCACCACCACCGCCGCCACCGAGTTGTCCGCCATCTTGTAAACCGCCTCAACAACAACAACAACAGAGCTGCCCGCCTACTTGCCCATCGTTCAAGCAACTCCAATCGTGCCCGCCTTCGTGCAAACCGCCGCGCCAACCGCAGGAATCGTCGCAGCAAACGTGCCCGTCGACGTGCCCGTCGATGCAGATGCTCAAGCAACTCCAACAGCAAATGTGCCCGTCGAGCTGCAAGCCGCCCACGCAGCGCGAATCGACCGGCTGTTCGCCGCTTTGCAAACCGCCGCCGCCGCCCCAACAGACCAACTCCGGCTGTTCGCCGTTCTGCAAACCGCCTCCTCCTCAACCCGCGAACGGTTACGGCACAAACGGCGGCGGCGGCGGCGGCGCCGGGGGCGGTTGCTCGCCGGATTGCAAGCCGCCCGCGGCGCCTTCGAATCAAATCTACCAGGAGGAGGGCTGCCCGCCCACGTGTAATTACTTCCAGAAACAGGCCGCCCCGCAGGCGGTGTACTATTGCAGCAGGGAATGCCAGAATAATCATTGACAATGCGCCGTCGCCTCGCTATACATAATCTTGTTGCTGAATTATAGCATGAACTAAGGCCTTTGAGTGGTTTTTTTTTTCGTAGTCTCCACTGTTGCGGTTTATCAACAATTCTTCGCCTTCTTTCGGAGTTATTGGCCTCTACTATTGCGGTTATACGACTATTATCGTTGTAAACAACAAATGAGTCGTCTTCTTTTAGATTTAGTGGCCTCCGCTGTCGCGGATTATCAGAGACTCTTGCAGATGTTCGTTAAAAAAAATTACATACAGATCGGGCTTATTCTTTCTACTTCGAGTTTTTTTTTTGTCCACATCATCGCTTCGGCCTTTAATAATTCATAAAGGCGTTTGCGATTGTCTGAATCGCCCGAGAGTTTCAACTCTATTCGAACCGGACGAGCGATCGGGTTTTTTCCCGGCGTTTCGTTCACTTGCTTCTTCTTTTTTTTTTCGCTTTTCCTCCAGCTCGTTCTTAATTACGCAACGGCAATTTCACGTATTGACTGGATGGCTAAAAGGCTAGAAGGATATCTGGCAGAAATAAGAATCGTATTTGAAGAAATTTTGCGCTTTCCTAACGAATGTTATGGTAATAGATGAATTAATATTCAAGACGGGCTGATGCAATCGCGTCTATTAGTAATTTAAAATAGCGTTTTGTACGCAAGACGCGCCGCATATTCGCCCGTATCGCACGATAAACTCATTGTAAATAACGTTAATCAATGTTCACAATTTAAATAATTACGAACCAATATATAATATAAATCTAATTGAATACAATCTGGTATACAAAAACCGATGGTGAGAGAGAGCAGAGCAAACGAAAATATTCCATTTGCGAGTAGAAACACATGTCGTATACCTGGTAGAGCAGAACCCGAGGATTTCTCTTATCTCTTCTTATAAGGCCTTCCGAGGCCCGTCTGGGTAACTTAATTAGATATTCCGTCTTGTCTGTATAACGACAAAACCGTTGGAATCCTTCTCTTCTTATTGTTCCTTCTTTACTTCTTCTTTTTTTTGTGTATTTCATCGGCGCGGTAACGACACAAAGGCCGGATAAAAATGAAGACGTCCACTCAGGGGGGGAGAGATAAAAAAAAAGAAAATGCGCCCGAAATTATTTACCTGGACTCGTATAAAATCGGCGCCCGATATATTTAGATATTTTTCGACGGTGGGCGTCGCATAACCGGCATATTTAACGACAAAAATCCACTTGTATTTAACCAGTGGCGTAGGCACCGAGAGAGGAAAAAATCCCTTTAATTTACGGTTTGTTTGGCACAATTAAAATTCTTCGGCTATACAATACGCGATAGAAACGTGGAAAACATTTAACGAAAACAAACCCATTAAAATTAACGATTTCGAATCGACCGCTGAGAAAATTAGCGTGTTTTGTAATCGAGATTATGAAGATATTTTAGATCTGCTAAATTCGGATTCGTTACATAGTTTGGTGAGCGTCCAAGCGAGTTGCATTTGCAATTCTATTACCGTCTCGCATGCGGAAATTTCCATACTCCGTTCGCCATCGAGAGATAATACAGGGTGTCCCAATGAAAAGTAGCCCCTTTAATGAGCTTATAATTTTTAAACGTCTAATCATAAAAACATGCGGTTTTCTCAAATGTTTTATTTTAATATGAGTTTTGTTACAGTGATACAGAAATTATGCATTACCAATACAGAGTGTTTTATCAAAATCTCCTCTTTTAAATTCACAATAACCAATTTTTTTTAATAGAACGCCCCGTATATACAGAGGAATTTTGAAAGATATACTCTTCTACTTGTCAAAAATGTGTTATTTGTACATGTTATTCAACAAAAGAAGATGTCCTATTTCCTAAAATTTGGTTAATGTGAATTTAAAAGAGGAAATTTTTATGAAATACCCTGTACAGGCGATATAAAATTTTGGCGTCGCTGTAACAAAAAGTTACAGCAAAATAAAATTAATTTGCGAAACTAAAGGGGCTACTTTTCATTGGGACACCCTGTATAGTAAAGCCGAAACATATCAATAAAAACTCTGCACTATTTAATTATTAATTTCGTAAACCGGTAGCGATTTATCATTTTTTATTACACACACCCTGTATACAGACATTATTTAATATTTCCGGATAGCGAACGGAGTATAAAAAAGTCTCCATTAAGTCTCCTAAAAGTTGCTCCATTTCCGATTGCAACATGGTCATTTCTATGAGTGGAACAAAGAAAGGCTTTTAAAATGACAGTTGTCAGAGTGAAAAGTTGCATTGACACAAATGTCACTTTTTCCTTTTCCTTTGTAATTGTCTAATGGTAGTTGTCTTTATCGCACCCATGGCCTATAAAACCTATGTTGCGATCAAAAATGGAGCAACCTGTATGAAAAGACGCGAATTCTATAGCATCAGGGATTAAGCGGAGGGACAATTAGTCAAATTACTGGAACTGCAAACCGCCCCGTCCGTAGAAAATCGACAATGGACCATTCAAAAGTTGGAATATAATAGAACATCGCCTGTTGGGCCAACTAGGATTACCATGGTCCGGTTTATTGTGTTCGGTAAAGCGTTAATGGGGGCTCCCTTTTACCTGTTGACGTGACATGTTCATTTTTGTTCCTAACATTCTTGCAAAGCTCCCTTAAGATTAATATGACATTAATAATTCAACTGCTTAAGTGACGTCACGAGTCGGCGAGAGCTCCGATTGGTTGGTAATACGATTGAAATAAAACGGAGCAATGCGATTGGTTGGACTGAGTGACGCGTTGTTGTTAACAATAAAGGCCTTCGGGTATACATGAAAAAATTACATTGGGGACAAGATAAGAAATTAAGATAAGAAAAGATACAAGATTACAAGATAAGAAAAGATAAGAAATTTTTACAAGAGGATTATTATTGAGTGTCGAAATTCGTGAATATATCTTATGATAAATATTTGAGTTTGAAGATTTTCTTATCAGTTTCGGTGAAGCAAATAAAGTTTTTACCCTAAAATTTGTATGAATAGTCTATTTATTAGTGAGCAACGAATATTCGATAACCGAACACAAGAATAAATTTTGTACACAATTTTCCAGCGCCTACTAAAGAGAATTCAAAAAAATTCTTATGCAAGTTGGGAGTAATACCGATGGTAATTATTGTATATTTTAAACAAGTGCATTTTGAAATATTTTTTAAATCAACGATAAAATATAAAACACCACCTAACCTCAATAACAAAACTGGTTTCTTACCTTAAGTAAACGACCGAAGACGATTGGGCATTTGCGCAGCTCGCGAAGCGGGAATTTCTTCAAAAAAATTGCACAATATTATCATCAAGTATGGATAAAATAACACATCTTTTACCGAAACACAACAATGAATAAAATCCAAACAAATAAACATAAAACAAACAAAACAAAACCGCAGCCGACGAACGACTGGGATATAATGACACCTGACACTAGTGACACTTTAGAGGAAGCAACAACCTGCCTCGTACTATGTAGAACATGCAGGTTCATTTAATAATTATGTCACTAATTAGAGGATAAAATGTAACAATCAGTAGAATTAATTAATTAGGAAACTTTAAAATCTACTTTAACGTCCTAATAAGTAAAAAAATATTAAAAAGGTATAAAAAAGAAGAATGTAAATCTCTCTACGAGTTGTAGTTCGAATGTTTAGTGTTCTGTGTTGAAAATATTGATTGGTGCTGCCATCTACATCTTTATGTATGACTTAGAAACGGTAGAGTTCTGTTAATATTTTTCGAAAAAAATATGGAAATAACGAATCGGAAAATCGTGAAACTTTTAATATCTCAATTGAATTAATAATGTATAATATTTATAGTTCATTACAAGTCGTAATGGTTTTTTTTTTTTGTAACTGAGAAATGCAAGAAAACGAGATTTTTCGCGCATTTCGCGTTTTACAAAATTCGAATTCCAACCGTTTAAATACGATTAAAATCCGCGCGAAAATCTACAATCCAAACGAACAAAATCAATCGACGATCAATAAAATTATCCAATCGATCTTCAATGGATTGCGGATCTTCTTCAACTATCAAAGAGCAAAACCCAGTAATTAAATACCTACTATTTTCTTTTAATTAAAATTGTACGTAATAAAAGGTTTATTATTTGAAGTGCACCTCATGAAGTCTCGTGAACCGAAAAACGATTTTGAACATTTGATAATAAATAAATAATTAACCTGAGGTGCGCTGCAAAATGTTGCAATCAACTATTTATAATATGGCATGCATGCGGTTCAAAAAAAAATGGCTAGTTTCGCTTCGGATAAAGAATTAAGCGGTCGCTTGATAAATTTTTAAATTTTCGATAGAATCGCATATGTACAGGGTGTCCGAACGAAATCATTCGTAAGATAAAAGGCTCTTACGGGCTAATTTTCAATGGCTTATCTGGTGGTGTTTCGAACGTATTTCGAACGTTTCTCCTACCGTTTTTCTACTAGATCAAAAATTCATCTGCGAGAACTTGTTATTTACATATTTACGTCGAGGATATACAGGGTGGCCCGCATAAAATTCGACATAGACCAGGCATTTTGAAGGCATATAATTGTACTGTATCGGTTCTTACTCGAGACACCCTGTATTTGAGATAATTAAATTTGTTATAACGAGTAGGAAAAACGTCCAGAATTATTAAGTGTCTTATATACCTACATATCTAATATTCATGCATTCAATTTTATTTTTCCTTGATTCGATAATTTACTATTTAATCGGCACGAGAAGGCGTTTTATCATCACTGTGTTGGTCACTGATTATTCGGAAATAAGGTAAAATTTTAACTATTTATATACGTTTAGATTCGTGACGAGTAGGCTATTTTATATATCGATAATGGCAATGTTGAAAACGTTCTTATTTTTTAAATTACCGTCCGAAAAGTAAGTTCGTGTACGAGGGTTATTAAAATTGTTCATATATTTCGAGCGAGTACGATTTTTTTTCTGTATACACGGTGATTCAAATTTATGCATTGTAGTTCTAGAAATGGTGAGAAATTGTAGATAAATGTATAAGGTAGACTGGGGAAAATCGGTTGTAAAATTTGAATAGTTCAAATTAAATCCTTAAATGTAGCTTTATTTAAATTCACAACTTCCTAAACTAAAGAATCGAGGTATTAAAAAGTTTTTTGGAAAAAGGAAGAAAACGATTTTACATATTTTTTAGAATTATATAGAAAAACATATGGGGCAATTGTAAATACATATTTGGTTCTTCTAAAATTTGATATGCTGTTTATTTATTTATTTCAAAAAATAACAGAGCTACAAAATAATGAAGAAAAAATAAGAAACAAATCCTGTTTAATGCTCAAAATAAAACTATAAAAATAATAAAAACATTAACATAATAGGTAAAAATATTACATTTACCCCATTTTTAGATTTGCCCCAATCTACCTTAAAACAAACAGTTTGTTTCCATTTCGTATAATTCTTGAACCACCTTGTAAATATACTGCTCCACAAAAATTAAGGAAGTTCACAAATATTGAGATTAATTTAAAAGTTGCTGGGTTTTTGATCCCCAAATTTAGTATGAGTTATAGAGGAAGGGACAAAAAATCCACTATATTATGAGAGAAAACGTTTAATGTCGCATATTTGAAAATTTGGTGATCAAAAAGTCTGTAACTTTTAAAATAATCGCAAAATTTGCGATCTTCCTTAACGTTTGTGCAGCAGTTTATTACAATTGAATGAATAATTAGATCGTTTATTAACCCTCGTATATCAAATGTATGTATATAATAATTAATTCGCTATATGAACGGAGTGTTTTGAAAGACCACGCGTCATCGCTCAAATAATACAAGTTATGTATAATATATAAATCATTGAGCAGGCGCGCATTTTATCACCGAAAATTCGAAATCCCCGCCAAAAACGCTCCCGAATCTCCCCCAACGTCCCTTACAAAAACCACCAGTCCAACAAACCAATCGCGCCGCAAAACGCGCGCTCCAAAGCATCAACACTACGGCGAAGGCGACCAAAATTACAACGCGATTCGAACGACAGTCTTCACTAAACCCCACGCACGGCCATGAGGACGACGGCCTGGATCATTCGGGCTCGTGCGCGTCCATGAAGTGCGTGCGCACCTCCAGGTGCGCCGCCAGATCGAGCACCAGGTGGTGCAGGGACGGGTGCTCCAGCAGCTCGGCCTCCGGCAACGAAGGCTGGCACCGCGGCCGGTACTGGCGGCCCTTGAACGCCCTGTGCAGGTGCAACACCACGTCGCAGAACACGTACCGCAGCAACAGCAATCGCAGGAAATCGTCGCCGAAGAATTGCAGATATGATGATTCTGCAATATTCCATCTCGTTTAATTAGCAATCTATACTTCATATCCATTCATAATCCTTCATAATCCCTTCATAATCCTATTCATAACCAACGGAGTAACCAAAACAAGGTTAGACGCTGGATCATCAAGCACAATTTGCATCTATTGGGTAAAATCTTATGGCGTTTTCCATTGGTAAAATAGTGCGCATTGAAAGTGCACTCAAAGCAACATTTTTGTTTCATTTGGTGCACTTTGGTTCATTTGCATTAGAAATCTGGCCACAAAAAAACACTTTTGGAAATCAAAACACTCGCACAATCCACCAAATAAAAATTTTGCTTTGAGTGCCCTTTCAGTTCGCACAATTTTACCAATGGAAAACGCCATTAGATCATATATCGTTTGCTCCATTTCCGATTGCAACATGGTCATTTCTATGAGTGGAACAAAGAAAGATTATTAAAATGACAGTTGTCAGAGTGAAAAGTTGCAATGACACAAATGTCACTCTTTCCTTTTTCTTTGTAAGTGTCTAATGGAAGTTGTATTTATCGCACCCATAGCCTATGTAACCTATGTTGCGATCAAAAATGGAGCAACCTGTATATAGATAGAACCGAGTCGAATTATACAGTCGTAGAGAAAACATTCTACTACTTCTTCCTTCAATCAAACGCAAAAAACATTCCAACTAAACTATAAACTGTCAAATTCGTGGCCTTTAACTTATGCGAAAACGAGCCAATTTATCACCAAAAACGAAGCGTCAGTTATCAGTCAACTTTTGGCAATAATCTCGTTTTAATTACTCCGTTGGTTGGATGGATGAAGTATAGAGGAATTTTCGCTACTTACCGACTCGAGATCTGGTGAAAAGGCGAGACGCTTCCGTTACGAATCGATCGACGAAGCTTTGACATCTCTCCCAATGGTGGATGGGAATCGTGGTCAAATTGCAACAATAACAGAAAGCAGTCAGCGGTGAATGCAGGAACAAAGTGAACAGAGAACCGTTGTGTTGTTGATCTGCAATCAAACAAACAAAAAAATCAATAGTATCTACCACAATTCTCGACCATCTTGGTGATCTATTAACTGCACCAAAAGGCTTCCAGTGGTTAGTACAGCTCATAATATGCTCAATATTTCAACATCGACTTGACCAGGAGACAATCCACAATTTCATCCACTTTCAACACACTTCCGAGGTGCTCAATAACTCCAATAGTAGGTAGATATTTTTCGTTGTAGATGCTCCTGCAGGGATCCACAATTCTCGACCATCTTGGTGATCTATTAACTACACCAAAATGCTTCCAGTGGAGCTCATAATATGCACAACAATTCATCTGTACTCTAAAATTTTATAGGTCACCTGATACACTGGATGACCTATCAACTTAACACACTTTCAACACACTTTCGAGTGGCTAAATAACTCCGATAGTAGATAAATATTTTTCGTTGCAGATGATACAGTACCTTGGAAAGCGGGCGGCGTGTCCTGGGGCGACATCAACGTGACCAGCGGCTGCCCGAAGTACCTGGGTATGTGCTGGAACACGAAGCTGTTGTCCGAATCCACGATGACGAACAACGGCCTCCTGGTGAACGGGTACAAATCGCCGGGATAAAGGCAGTGGGCTTCCTTCTGTTTCTTGTGATCGGCGTCGCGACGGCTGCTGGTCAGGACGCCGCCCAAATCGTAACCCACTGTAAATATTAGAGATTGATTCGCTAACGAAGCGAGCGCGTGATCGAATCTACTTTTTTAACGCTCGATTGAGTGGAAAAAAAATCAATCGATCGGTTTTACACTTACTGTCTTCGGGGTGTTTCGTAGTCGAAAAACAACCGTCGGCCGATAGATACAACAACAGCGCCCCGTTGGCCGGTAATTCTTTAAAACCGCTAGCTAAAAACACTAAAACGTGACTCAACGATGGTTTGTACAGCAAATATTTGTGTGGATTCTCCCTTCGGCTCGGCCTGTCGCCGTTCTCCATATACCTACAACGAACAACAATTCGAATCAGGAACCTATCGATCTGCGAATTCGATTCATCGTACCCTTTGGACGGATTTATCCCGTAGGGAACCCGGCCGGGCGCCGGCGAGGCGTCGTAGATGTGATTGAAGTCCTCCTGCGGTTCCCTTTCGAGCGTCTGGATCATCCTGAACATGTCCATGGTGAGTTCGGAGAACTTCACCTGCTCGGAGGCGCTGCCGACGATCAGGATCTCCTGCAGCGTCAGGTTCATGTACTGCGTCTTCTCGACGGGCGGCGTCGTCAGCGGGCTCAATCTACACCATTAAAAAATCGATTATTCTTGGTAGATTCGTTGGGTAATTCGAGGGATTGTACCTGTGGGAGAGCACGATGGGATTGGTGTCGGCGTGGAGGACCTGCACCAGCGAGTCCGATTGTATGAAGTTCTTGATTTCGTCGAGGACCAGGCTCCATTCGATCTGATCGTCGGGCTCGTAGGTGCTGGTGTAATCCGAGATATGTCTGTCGAGTTCCGCTATCAGTTCTCTCACCAGTTTCATGCGCCTGAGCAGGAGACAGACGACGATGAAGCGCGCGTAGTAGCGCAGCTTCTTCACCATCAACTCCGATCTGGATGATGATAGATTTTTTTGTATACACTGTGTGTATTTGTAAGATGCGACGTAGGGATTCCTGTGCAAATGTGTCGAAAGCGAGATAACTTTTTTACCAAATGACGTTCGTAAAAAATAATGAGAGATTTGAAAAGATCGTCGAAAAATGAGTCGAAATGGATATTAAATTTTATTAAATTCGTTCTGGTTTAATTAAAAAATGTATAATTAAATTGAAAAAAGTCATACGTCATATGTCACTATCTGATAATTGTTAAAAGAGGGAGGAGATATCTGGATTGGTTTACGCTCTGAAGTTTGAAAAATTCAGCGGTAAGGAATCTGGTTCAATCCCACGCAGTGCTTAAATTTTTTTTCTTTGGTATTTTTTGTTTTTTTAATGTTTTTTTGTCAAGAATAAAAATATGGCATCATTTTAAAGGCTCTCTCTACTAACGAGATTTTGCGTTATTAAAATCCGACACTTACTTGTCGGAGCTTTTATTTAAATAAAAATTATATCTCAAATAATCTCGCCTTATTTTAAATATTTCTATTTAACATTTTTTAGACAAGAGCATTAGAAAAAAACCAAAAAAAAGAAGAAAAAAATGTCTTCACTGCGCGGGGATCGAACCACATTACTTCCCGCTAAAATTTTTAAATTTCTGAGCGTAAACCATCCCGGCTAACTCCGCCAATTTTAGAAGTATTAGTGACATAAAAATGACACATTTATGACGTTTGACTTTTTTCAACTTAATTACACATTTTTTAATTAAACCAGAACGAATTTAATATCCATTTCGACTTATTTTTTAACGATCTTTTCAAATCTGTCAATATTTTTTACGAACGTTATTTGGTAAAAAAGTTAGCTTGCTTTTGACACATTTGTACAGGAATCCCTATGTCGCATCTTATAAATAACACAGTGTATATTTCTTTTATTGCGTTATCTATTTGTTTACCTGTCTTCTTTCGCCGCTCTGGAGTAGTAAGCTCTGCCTCTGATGGCAGCGTAGAAAGAGTACGCTTCGTTTAAATAATTCGTTTCGCTGGTTCTCAAACTGGAAATGTTTTCGGGCGATTAGTGGAGGTGTCGTGGGGATTGTTTTGTACTTACTAATAGTGATAATAGAGCTGTCCGATTTTCGATGCGATTTCGCCGATTTGCCATCGTTTCAATCCGTATTTGGCGTCCAAAATTTGCCTGTGCTGCTGCTGGAACTTCCACAATTTCGTGTAAATGTCGAACGTCCTGCCGAAGTACGCCTGCCACTGTTTGTGCCCGTACTGCGGCAAATCCCTAAACAACACCGAAAACTAATCATATTTTACACTATTACTCGCGATGGTTAGCTCTCACCTCAGGCCGTTGAACAGTTGCTTGGACTTCTCCAACAAATGCACGAACTCCACGACGATTTTCCTCTCTTGCTCGTCCATGTTCGCCATGCCGACCATCGTTTCCGCCTAATCGCCGGCCGATTTCATTTCATTCGAAGGGCTTTCGATGCCGCTGGATGTACACAGCACACCGACGAGTATCGAACAGCGGAGGACATGACGTCGACGGCAGCGCCGCGACGCCCGTCGCCGTCACTACGCCGATCGCGTAGGGGCGATCTTTCGATGTTTTTTGTCGTCGCTTCGAATCGATTATGAACCGATTAATTACTTGATTTATTTGAGTTGTTAAAGTTGGTGATGACTAGAGTGTGTAACTAGGGATTACTAGAGCGTGTAATCGAGTGTATGTTTTATTGATTTATGAATCAATATACCCCACTCTATCCTAGTGATTCATGGTTGAAGGGTGGCTGGTTTTTGACGTATGCATTTCAGTGTTGCCAATTGCTGTTTGGTAAATTATCAAAAGTTGGGTATATACTGAATAATCCTTGTAGAATTACTCGTTTTTTTTTTGTTGGGGTAATTAGGTGGTTTTTTGATTAAAATAAAGCTTTTTAATAATCGCGACATCTGTGATTCGGAGCGCCAACTAAGAATTTTCACCCCTCGCAGCTTGAATTTCGCCGGTGCTCCGATAGAGGTCCCGTAGGGGTTGAAAAAATTGTTACTTTTTCAACCCCACACTCGAAAAAATTAAACGAAACTCGCCCGAATCGGATCCGAAACACAAACTACCAAAAAAAAACCCATTGAATTAGAATATCAATTTCGATTTCACCATCCCCGTCCGTTCCGCCCCATAAAAACCAACCCCGACGCGGACGCCGCGTGAAAAATAAAAAAAACAACCCCGAACGAGTTTATCTAAATCAGATCTGTTTCCAAACGCGGCCAGTTCGCATTCGTTCAAATCAACAGTTTATTCTCCTCTGTATAAGCAAATTGCATTGCAAATTCGCCGCCTCCCGGGGGTCGTTCTTAGACGTTCGATTTACCCGTCGCGAAAATGCTGTATTGTTTCTCAAGCCGGACATTTTCGAGTAAAGGAAATTGAGTTTCGGACACCGAATGAAGCATGGCGGGTCGGCTCGATCGCTTCCTTTTTGCATATTATATTATACAAAATCCGACCGGGATAGTGTGTTATAAGGGATACAACGAAATGCTTTATTTATATTAATTTTATTCCACGCATTTGCTCTCGTCTACCAAACAGCGCGCCTTCATGATACCCGTGAAGTAATCGGCGGATTTCCTCTTTATCCTCGGCCTGGCCGGATCGGTGAAATTCACCCTGTACATGCCCAAAAACGATCTGCAATGAAATTATTGTAAAATGGAGTGTTTGATTTTATGTTGATTATTTACGTGTATCCTCCGGTCCATTCCCAATCGTCCATGATACTCCAAACCGTGTACCCGGTCAAATTGACTTTATCGGCGAAAATGGCGTCCAAACAAGCGCTCAAATGACCCTATTAACACTCAAAAAAACATCAATTTATCCTAATTATTCACGCGCTAACTTACCCGCAAATAAACAATGCGATTCTCGTCCTCCAACGTCCCTGTCGTATCGGAGAACCCGTTTTCGGTTATCACTATTTCAGGATTGTTGTAGGTGTTCTTCAGCCAGTTCAGCAGGTTCCTCAAGCCCCACGGGACGTCCTTTATACCCGAACAATCTCGTTATTTCCTCCGTTCGCATACGAATTTTTAAATCAACTTACGAAAAACCAATCGGCGCTTCCCTGCGTCCAATCCGACCGGTGCGACAGCGCGACGCTCTTGTCTTTATCGAAGCTCGGCGTCCCGATGGGAGCGTCGGGCGCGTGATAGGTCAACAACGTCGAATAGTGATTGATAGCCAAGTAATCGGAGGTGCCTTTGATGTAGTCGATTTGCTCTTTCGTGAATTCCGGCAGGCGAGAGGTGTTGAATCCTTCGCGTTCGCTTCGATCCGCCACGCGTTGCTTCACTATCTCCGGCCAGTCCCCGTTGAACAACGGATTCCCGTAGATTCCCAACTGTAATTCAAACCAATTATTACAACTATAGTACACCTATAGTAGCTTAAAAAGTATTTACATCGAATTGTATGGCTCTCTCAGCAGCCGCTTTGTCTTCATCTCTATCGCTTCCAGGTTCGTACCAAGTCGAATCTATCACCATAGCCACTTGTCCTGCAGTAAAACGCAACTTACACTAGGCATATAACGAAATATACGAATGAAATTACCCTTATTCTTAGCTCTGAATTGTTCGTTGTAGATGTGCCAGGCGCGCGCATGCGCCAGCAGCACGTGCTTGGTGCACACGTAGTCCAATACGCCGTTGGAGACGATGCCCGGGGCGAAGACGCCCGAACCGTAGCCGGCCTGGCACACCTGCTTGGGCTCGTTGATGGTGATCCACCAGTCGGCGTCGTCGCCGAAGGTTTCGAACACGAATTTGGCGTAGTCGCCGAATACATCGACGATGGACTCGTTCAGCCAGCCGTTCATTTGGTCCTGCAACGGCTGCGGGAGGTCCCAGTGGTAGATGGTCACCATCGGTTTGATGTTGTTCGCTTTGAGCTCTTTGAACACGTTTTTGTAGTACTCCACGCCGGCCTTGTTGACTTTATCGGTGTAGCCGGTGGGTAGTACTCGCGACCAAGCGATGGACAACCTGTAGTGATCCAAGCCCATGGCTTTGACCAGGGCTATGTCTTCTTTGTATTTGCGGTAGGAGTCGCAGGCGATGTCCGGGGTGGATCTGTCGACGAATTTCTCGGGGTGTTTGTGGGCGAAGCGGTCCCATATGGTCTCGCCTTTGCCGTCCTCGTCCCAAGCCCCTTCGATTTGGGGCGCCGCGTTGGCTACGCCTATGCGCAGGGTTTTGGGGAATCTTCTCGGATTGATCGAACCATCGGCTAGACTGCGATGTTTGATGATTATTTGTTGAACTATAACGAATTTTTCGCTTACCTTAGCGATAGGAGACAGCTTAGAATCAGGCCTGTTAGGAACCTCATTTTTTGGTTGATATGCAATTGTCGAGTATCGAGCGCTTGCATTTATACTTTGTATTTTTCTTATCGATTAGTTGGAATTTCGTAAGCGAACTTTTGAGTATGTCGCAAGATAAATTGATGTAAATCAGATATTTGGGACACGTATACTGATACTTTCATAACGCATAGATAATGATTTTTTATCTATTTCTGGCAAATTCCTAATGATTCTTGATTTTCGATTCGATCGTATCGGCCACCAACATGAAGCGTTTGCCGATTTTCATCGCCCTCATCGCTCTCAGGTAATAATCGTACCACTTTAAAACAGAGATTCACTTCACAATCGCCTCCCAACAGCCTAGCGGACGACATCAATCCGAGGAAATTCCCCAAAACGTTCAAGCTGGGCGTCGCCAACGCGGCGCCCCAAATCGAAGGAGGATGGAACGAAGACGGCAAAGGCGAGACCATTTGGGACCGCTTCGCCCACAAACACCCGGAGAAAATCGCCGACAGATCCACCCCGGACGTCGCCTGCGACTCCTACCACAAATACAAAGAAGACATAGCCCTGATCAAAGCCATGGGCTTGGATCACTACAGGTTGTCCATCGCTTGGTCGCGAGTACTACCCACCGGCTACACCGATAAAGTCAACAAGGCCGGCGTGGAGTACTACAAAAACGTATTCAAAGAGCTGAAAGAGAACGACATCAAACCGATGGTGACCTTGTACCACTGGGACCTCCCGCAGCCGTTGCAGGACCAAATGAACGGCTGGTTGAACGAGTCGATCGTCGATGTATTCGGCGACTACGCCAAATTCGCGTTCGAAACCTTCGGCGACGACGTCGACTGGTGGATCACCGTCAACGAGCCCAAGCAGGTGTGCCAGAGCGGCTACGGCACCGGCGGCTACGCGCCCGGCGTCGTCGGCAGCGGAGTCACCGACTACTCCTGTGCCAGAAACATCCTTCTGGCCCACGCCAGGGCCTGGCACATCTACAACGAGCTCTACCGCTCGAAGAACAAGGGCAAGGTGGCCATCGTGGTGGACGCGTCCTGGTCGGAGCCCGGCAGCGACTCGGACGCCGATCGGGCGGCCGCGGAGAGGGCGACGCAGTTCGAGGTGGGGCTGTACGCGAATCCGGTGTTCAACGGGGATTGGCCGGAGGTGGTGAAGCGGCGCGTCGCCGAAAGGAGCAAGATGGAAGGGTACGAGGAGTCCAGGTTGCCGGCTTTCAGCGAAAGGGAGATCGCTTACTTGAAAGGCACGTCGGATTATTTGGCGTTGAATACCTATTCGACGATGATGGTGAGCGCTGCCGGGGAAGCGCCGTTGACTGCGAGTTTCGAGCACGACAAGAACGTGAGGTATTGGGCCGAGCCCGATTGGCCCAAGGACGGACCTTGGTGGTTCTACGTTAGTATGAATTTCGAAGGAAAAAACTATACTTCATCCATCCAATCAACGGAGTAACCAAAACAAGGTTAGACGAGTGATCATCAAGCACTTTCGCATCTATTGGGTAAAATAAAAAAAAGCCTCCTTATGCTGACCAATTACTGGTAATCACGCGTTGATCCAGCGTCTGAACTTGTTTTGGTTACTCCATTGGTTGAATGGATGAAGTATAAATGGAATTTTGCAGGATCTACCGTGGGGATTGAGGAAATTCCTCAATTGGTTAAAACGCACCTACAATAACCCCGAAATTGTTGTAACCGAAAACGGTTATGTTACCGGCGATGATACGTTAGAAGATGATAAAAGGATTCACTATTTTCGCGTAAATACTTTTACCTACTACTTAACCAATGGATAAAACCTATTGTACTTTTATAGGGCTACCTAAGCGCCTGTTTGGACGCCATTTACAAAGATAACGTTAACTTGACCGCCTACACCGCTTGGAGTATCATGGATGATTGGGAATGGACAGGCGGATACACGTAAGTTCCTCATGCAGCTCAAAAATCTATTAACTCACCTTTTCGCAGATCCTTCCTGGGCTTGTACAAAGTCAATTTCACCGACCCGGAGAGGCCGAGGATCAAACGGAAATCCGCCGATTTCTTCGCCGGCGTCGCCAAAAATCGATGTTTGCTCGATCCATCCGAATGCATCGATTAAAACACCAGACGACGCGCATTACCAAGTATAATAAGCGAAACTATTAACGAAATTTTCTCACAAACACACCGCCATTATTCACCCGGACTCATCCGAGCATACCAAATCGCCGTATACAGTATACACCCTCGAAATAATCATAATAATAAACACACCAAGGGTAACTACCATCATCTACGGAGAGATTCCATTGTGACTCGGTGATAAACGGCATTCCTTTGTACACGCAGAAAAATCGTTTGTACCAATAAATATATATTTGCTTGTATACCAATAAAATTGTTGTTTTAATAAATCTTATTGTTTGCGCTGATAAAACAAGTAGTTGTGGAAGGTTTAAATTGGAAAAAATGGAGGTGGAAGGGACGATGATGATGCATTTGAAGATGATACATTTGATATGTAAGATTTGTTAGGTAAGAATTGAGAAATTGACAAAAACTTGAGAATTGAGAATTGAAAAAAACAGGGTAAGAAGGGACGTTTGAATGGGCTCTTGGTGATGATCCATTTGAAGATGATGCTTTTGATGATGATGCATTTGAAGATGATGCGTTTGAAGATGATGCTCTTGCTGGTGACACATTTGATATGTAAGATTTGTTAGGTAAGAATTAAGAAATTGACAAAAACTTGAGAATCGAGAAAAACCGAGTAAGAAGGGACGTTCAATGGGCTCTTGATGATGATGCATTTGAAGATGATGCTCTTGATGATGATGCGTTTAAAGATGGATAAAATGATGCTCTTGCTGATGATACATTTGATATGTAAGATTTGTTAGGAAGGAATCGAGAAATTGACAAAAACTTGAGAATTGAGAAAAACAGGGTAAAAAGGGACGTTGAATGGGTTCTTGATGATGATGCATTTGAAGATGATGCTCTTGATGATGCTCTTGACGATGTATTTGAAGATGATGCTCTCTTCGTGGTGACACATTTGTTGATGATGCTCTCTGATTTGATATTGCCGATTTTTAAACGGAAAGGACCCGATTTCGGAACGTTTCTGCGTGTAGAAGGGCGTCGTTCGGCGAGTCCTTACGGGTAGTTTCGGGCGTCGGGGCGTCGTCGGTGCGTGGAGCGTCAGTCAATTGTCATCGGCGGGCCGGATGTTGCATTGTGCATTCCTGCCGCCGGAAACGGGATCCATGCAGCAGCATTCCCGGGACTTCCCTACGCCCTGTTCTCCCGCTTTTCTACGTTTCGAAATCGAAAGGGCGAGGTCGGTGCGTGCCCGTTTATATCACGCGAGCATATATAGAAAACAAAATTCGAGTTTCCACCAATGCTTTAATGCATTGTAGTTCGAATCGAATGATGAAAAAAAATATAGGATATTCCGGGATGTGTAATTTCTCCACTCCAATCGAGAATTAGAATTTTCGAAGGAAACAATGCGAGTACTCGAAAAAAGAAACACTTCGGGCATAAACCCGGGGCTTAATTAATGCATAACGGACCGGTAACGGGAGAGTGAGAGAGGAGTGTATTAAAGTTGATTAGCGGAACGTGTCGTCGGGCTACTAGCCACTTTTCCTATACTCGAATCGGATGAATACTGTTGATGAATGGGGTGTGTGTGTGTGTGTGTGTGTGTTTCGATTCGAAACAGAGACGTTTTTAAATGGATTCGAAACGAATCGGGAAACGTGCTGTGGGGTGGCCGCTCTCGATGAGGCTCTTGTGATTTTCGGGTTGTATTGTTTGTTAGTTTTCGCAGTTCTCACCGAACGGAATTGTTATGTAACTGCGCTTTTTCATCTTCAAACGCCCCAGTAATGAAGCAGTTTGGTCGTTTGTGTTTGCCATTTTTTACAGTATACACTGTTAGAAATTTAATTTCGCATAATAGGGAAATCAATGTTAAATTCTTAGCCGGCTAAAATCCAATCTACCAGTTTACATTTCAATAGAACGTCGCGAGGAATTCTAATAAATTTAATTGTTCTACTGGACCGCACGCCGCGATTTGTAGAGGTACAAAGTTATTTGTGTTAGGTATGAGGTACAAAATAAACTACAATTTGAAACTACAATTAATAGGTTTTTTGGGGATATTTCAAAAAAATGTGTGTATCGGTAGGTACAGTTTTGAAATAGCAACAAATCTTGTTAAAATAAGGAAAAATAAGGAAAAAATAATTCAATTTTCTGCTAAAATTACACTTCAGCTCAGTAATATGAGATGACATCTGTATGACAGGTTTGCCTATAGTTTAGCAGAAAGCGGTAGACTATTTTTTAGAGTTCTTTTATTTTCTGTTTTAAAATAATCTTTAAGTTTATTTTTGGAGTTTCCTTTTTATTTTTTTCTTAGAATTTACTTTCTTTTTCAAGCCATTGTGGCAAAAAGACATATCTACATAATTCTATTTTATTATTAGTGATATTTTTTCAATAAATTATCGTTTAAAAATTCTCATTTCTTTGTAATCGACTCGACGTTCACCCATCCGAACCCGTTTCGATACTGTCGAAGTGTCGAAACCGTCGAAATTATTTGATTTTTAATCTAACCAAGCCAAAGCGCGGTGTGAAGTCCAGTAGAACAATTAAATTTATTAGAATTTATCGCGACGTTCTATTTAAATGTATACTGGTAGACTGTATTTCAGCCGGCTAAGAATTTAACATTGATTTCCCTATTATGCGCGAAAAATTTTCTAACAGTGTATAAGTTTTTCCATTTAGTATACACTGTAAAAAAGAAATAGTAGTTGCGAATATCCAACGAAACTAATTATTATTTTCGTATAATCCCTTCGTGTTTTCTAATTCAGTTAGCGTCGAAACCTCTGTTCCCGAAGTTATCAACGTACGAATAAATGAATATTAACGATTGTGAATCAGCACGATATTCATTAAGGGCCCTTTACTCGACACCGGCAACATATCAAAGTCCTGTTGAATTAAACGAAACAGAATCGTTAAAAAAAAAAAAATAATAAAGGTGCAACAACACCTGCTCCGTTACCAGTCTCCCGTTTTAACTCGATTAACTTTACACGGGTGGAAATATGTTCTCTTTCGTGTTTGTTATATATCGACGGAACGCTTCTTCCGCTAAATTAATTCCAAGCGTCCCGAAATCGCGGCCATTACGGGCTCCAAACAGAAAATCCGCTCTGCCGTAAAAGTGCCCGAATTATCATCGAATCCCTCTCGTAGAGAGTATTTTCGCTAGTTTTCCACCCGCCCTCGTACGCTAACCGAGAAACTTAAATACAATGGCATCGCCTTATTAAACGCTTTTAAGCGGAGTCGTTTCGCGGTGTTTACGCTCAACCGATCAAAGTCGAAGGATTCGAGGAGTCATTATCCTCTTTGGATGGTGGATCGAGTCCTGGATGTAATTGCGCTTAAATAAAATCGCATAATAAAAGTTTAAATTACTTTAATTGTTGTCGAAGTCGGCAAAAAATACACGAATTCTTTCTCCCAGTGTAGTCAAAAATTGTAAAGTTGTTCTACACGGGGAAAAAAGTTTCGTGAATTTTTTTTAAGCGTTAATTTAATTGCCTATTTGTAATGTAAAAGGCGCGAAAAAATGTGTATAATTAATAAGTAGAATATTGGGATGATTGGATTGTAGGTAGGCGCTAAGTGAACATGGCATAGGACACTTAATATTAATGTACTACAATCGCGTGCTGGGCTCGTTCCGAGCCCTAAATCAAATCTCGTTTGTAACCCCTCGCTTTTATTATTCTATTTACATCGATTACGGTCCGTTTTGATTTTCGAAATTATCTAAAACAACATTGTTTAATTCTTCTTTTCTATCACATGAAGTACACCTAAAAGAATTGTTGTGACGCCATCGCCGTGTTAAAGTAAGCATAATATAAGTACATAATCGCAATTTTTGTGCATTCCCATATTTCGCAAAGGAACGTTTTTTTTAAGCTAATGAATTGCAGCTTTAATTCGGGGAAAGAAACATTAAAAAGTCATTTGAGAGGAAAGATCCTCCGCTTTTTCGCGAGATAACTGTAATTAAGCAGCATCTTATCAGGTACGTATTCGAAAATTTACATCGAGGTTACTCAAAGTGTCCGTGGAATAAAAATTCCTCCCTGTTTCGCGAGAATTAAAAAAAACCCCGAAAGAAAGAAACTTTTAATTAGCCACGCATCGGGGGCGGCGTTGATAACGTATTTTTTTACTGTTAATTAAAAGAACCTCCTAACCCCAGCCTACTAAACTGGTATGTTTTTTTTTTGGAAGTGTTAATTATAATTAATGTTTTTTTTATTTGACAGTGTTACCACCTTAGAAATTTATTAGACAGTTGGTAGTACTAGAGATTTTTTTTGGTGGACTCGACTGATTGGGGAAAACGGTTAAGGTAGGTAAAAATTTTGTACCGTCGAAACCGGGCAATTTAGAATCGAAAATAGGGGGTTTGGGGCGGTATTAATTATTAGGGCGATATTTGAATTTCGATCATTAATAATTCATGCTTTATCGGCATGATATATCTTTATGGCGTTACATATGCACATATTTAGTGCTGTAGTTTGGCGGCCGTTCGAGCATAAATCCACGATTTACCGAATATTAATAAACACAAACGGGTACAACAACGAACCGCTGTTTCGAGACAAAAAACATCCTCAGCGTTCGATTAATTGTACAACAAAAAAAAAAACCACCGAAAATCGTAAAACAAACAAGCGTAAATTCATGCATGTGGATGTATATAGGAGAAACATCGTTCGGCGGCGAAATGACGAGAGCAACCCCCGGCGGAGGTGGCGCCGGCCGCCCGGGAGGGTGGGGGGCGGACAGGCGGCCGCCCCGCCCCCGCGGAGGAACCGCCACTTGCGATATTGCTTCCTGGCATTCCTGCTGACGCTCGGTTTTCCGCAGGAGCTGCGCTACACTTCCTGTCGAACGGTCCTTCTCTCGAACATGTCGAAGCCGGATTGCAATTAGCCGCGAATCAGCCCCCGTTCACGACCGGTCGCCGCTTTCTATTATTTTCGATTTTTTGTTTTTCATTTTTTTTGTTTATTTATTTTTTTTTTCGTTCGAGTGATTTCGAGAATTCTCGCCTGCTTTGCTAGCATGGTTGTGAGGAGGTGGTGGAGTGGGAGTTGATAATCGTTTCGGACTCTTTTCGGGGTAAGTTTACCATTTATTTACTGTAATTATTCCCGCTCGACTAGTTTTTTTGTCGGGCAGTGTATAATTCTCCAATTTGCATGGCTAATGCGTTGTAACGAGCAAGAATGAAATGCGTAAATTTCGACTCACATTTTTCCACAATCTTCGACTTAAAAAAATGTTAACAAAGCGTCGCGTTATTAGTTCGAGCAGTGTATTAAAAAAATGAAACTAAAATACACTGCTCGACAAAAACAATGCTTTATTTTTGCGATTAGAAAGTCACAAGAGACGACGATAGAGTATACATTGCTCAAAAAAAAGTTGATGTTTAAGCACTAAATTTTATACTGCTCAATACAAAATTGATTAAAAACGTAGCGATTCGTATTTATTAGCAATAAACTAGTGTTTGAGCATGAGTTCAATGTTACACTGCTCTATAAAAAGTTGATAAAAGTTGGGTTGATAAAATTCTAATACTACATACAGTGTGTCCCCGAAACGCGCGATTGGTTTTAGTTTTGAAGTAGGTAAATAATATAGCGAGAGCCGGCTATAAAAAAAATGTTAGCAAAGCGTTACGTTATTAGTTCGAGCAGTGTATTAAAAAACAGTCACAAGAGACGACGATAGAGTAAACACTGCCTAAAAAAAAAGTTGATGTTTAAGCAGTATGTTTAATAAATTTAAAAAAAAATCATACTGCTCAATACAAAAATTGATTAGAAACGCAGCGATTCGTACTTATTAGCAATAAACTAGTGTTTGAGCACGAGTTCAATGTTATACTGCTCTATAAAAAATTGTGTCAATAAAATTCTAATATTACATATACAGTATGTCCCCGAAACGCGCGATCGGTTTTAGTTTTGCTGCAGTAGGTAAATAATAGCGAGCGGCCTCGACGGTTTCGGACAACGAGCGAACCGCGGAAAAGCCGATGGGAGAGCGGCTCGGCTAAAAATAAAATTCGTAAAACAGTGCATAATGAGATGAGGGAGCTCTTCCTGTGCGCTAATTGAAACGGAAACGAACAATCGTTTCGGCCGCGACGAACTCGCGTGGCCCGCTCTCTCTCGACTTGTCGAATCGACTTCGATAAGGCCAGTTAGTTATAAGCGCGATTAAAATTAAAAAAACCGGTGGATGAGAGATATAGAGGGAAAAATCGGGAGAAAATCGGCGGGCGGAGATGCGGGAAAATATCCGATATCCGGCGGGCACTCTGTGAGATGAGAGAGTGGTGTTGCGAATGCGTGGTTACTACGAGTTGCTGCGATGAGGTGAGAGTTGCTGGGACATGCTGTATATTTTTTTTTTTGATGGCTTGGTTGGGGATGAGTGTAAATAGAAATTGTATTTGTTGTGTAAAATATAGCCTGTTTTGTTCTATAAACCCTTACGTATGGTTGAGGTAAGGGTAAGAATGCACCCCTAAATCGTGTAGATAAAGTTTTTTTCTTCGAAATAAAACAAACAGGATGTTTCTATCCCGATTAGTTTTCGAGATAATTGCGATTTTCCATCATTTCGCACGAAAGTTGGTGATTTCTGTTATCCATATAAAAACTCGAAATATCTCGAATATTAAGAAATTTTCGAAAATTTTCAATAACCTACGATTAACGAGAAATGTTTTCTCTATCAAATGAAATAAACACCTTGCTCTTACCTCAATTAAGTTTCGAGATAATTGCGATTTTCCATCATTTCGCACGAAAGTTGGCGATTTCTATGTTATCCATATAAAAAACTCGAAATATCTCGAAAATTAAGAAATTTTCGAAAATTTTCAGTAACTACAATTAAAGAGAAACGTTTTTTCTATCAAACGAAACAAACAGCTTGCTCTTACCTCAATTAAGTTTCGAGATAATCGCAATCTCCCATTGAACCGCTTTAAAATTAGCAACTCCAACACAACCTACCAAAAACCCAAAATATCTCGAAAACCACCCAATTTACCAAAATTTTCCATCCTTCAAAAATCACACCCAAACATCCCTTCCGCAACACCAAACAAAAATCGCCTTCCCATCTCAACCGCTTTTCGCGATAACCTCCGTTTTGTATCGCAGGAAGAAGCGCGCCCTACGCCGCAAAATGTACGAAAGCTCCTGCTCCTACCAGGGCCCGTTGGAGCTCAAACGAAGCGCCTCGGCCTCCTGCCCCTTGGGCATCAAAACCGAGGACTTTTCCTCGGCCTCCGACTGGCCAGCCTACCGGTTCTGCAACCCCAGCACCTTCGAGCAGCTCAAACAGAGCGTCGAAAAGGCCAAGGCGGCCCTACAGGTAAACCATTTTATAACTCGAAAAGAGCTCTACTCAAAACCAATCCGAGATCGGATTGGTTTTTATTGTGACTTTATAGTGTGGCGTATTTTTGAGCAGTGTATATAATTTATTGCAGGACCGGAGCAGCTTCTTCGGCAACGGTAGTGCATTTAGTGATTTATACAACGTATCGACGGGCAGATCGCAGGAAAACCCGCAGGACAGTTCGAGTAGATTAAGAGACAATGGCGATGCGGATGTGAAAAGGAGCGGTAAGTATTTTATATACCTATTAATCAGAAATTTCCCAAATTACTCCGGACGGAATAAATATAAAATGTATAGCGGGATTAGAGAGTAGAAGAAAAAAAAATATAACAAACTGGCGAAACCTTAACGAGCGGGATGCGAGATAATCTTTCTGGGATGTATATATACGGGGGGGAAATTTAAGATGGCAATCCGGCGGCGCGTCGTCATGGCGACGCTCAGCGCCGGGAATCTTATTGGTCCCGGGGTCGCTCCTTTTGTCGGGGATCCCGGTGGAAATTCGCCCTTGCTCGGTTTCCTCGCGCTTCGCTCTCCCTTGTTAGAGCTTTGATGGATTCCTACTCTGTGATGTCCGTGGACTCTGGCTGTTTGGAAATGTTTAATTGATGGGTTTATTCGGGAAAATTTGGAGGTTGTTGGGAAATCGTGGTGGAAGGTTTTTCACGCGATATGAAGCGAAAATGGGGGTTCTATGTCGTTTGGTTTTCGAGATGATGGTGTAAGTCGGGGAAAAGTCGAAATATATCGAAATTTAAGCGATTTTCGATAAAAATTTATTCTTCAAAAATTGTAGAGGAATGTTTATTGTACAAAACGAAGTTAAGTTGTTGTTTTTATCTCGGTTAGTTTTCGAGATAATTGAGTTTTTTCGTAGTGTTTCATTAAAATTAGTAATTTTGGTGTGAGTCGTGAAAAACTCGAAATATATCGAAATTTGAGCGATTTTCGATAAAAAATTATTCTTCAAAAATTGTAGAGAAATGTTTATTGTACAAAACGAAGTTAATTTGTTGTTTTTATCTCGGTTAATTTTCGAGATAATTGAGTTCTTTCGTAGTGTTGCATTAAAATTAGTAATTTTGGTGTGAGTCGTGAAAAACTCAAAATATCTCGATAATTAAACAATTTTCGAAAAAAAAATATTCTTCAAAAATCGTAGAGAAACATTTTTTGTACAAAACGAAGTATACTTGGGTTTTTTATCTCGATTAATTCTCGAGATAATCAAGATTTTTTATAGAGTTGCATTAAAATTAGTAATTTTCGTGTGAGTCGTGAAAAACTCAAAATATCTCGATAATTAAACAATTTTCGAAAAAAAAATATTCTTCGAAAATTATAGAGAAACGTTTCCTACACAAAACTAAGCAAACCAGGTACTTCTACCTCGCTTACTTTTCGAGATAATCATCCACAAAGGCATTCTACACAAATTCACCGACCCTCTCTGCACTTCCCAAGTAATCGCAATTAAATATAAAAGAAGTCTCCCGACGTGAGAACAAAAGTCGGGCGAATATACGCGAAGCAATAAAGAATCCCGCTCCTTCATTTTTACGATTCCTTTATTTTTTCTCCGGGAATTAGATATTCAAAGAGGAAACCCGAACGGGACGTTGTCGTCGGGGGTGCTGGGGAAAAAAAAAGAAACGCATAAAAGTTTTCGGGTCGCTAAGAAGGAGCAATAAAAAGAATAATAACAAGAACGTTCGCCTGTTTTTTCTTCATTTTATTCTTTTTTATACTGGCGAATTTATGCGGAGCGCGCGGGAGTTTGTCGCTCGACAAATTAGAAGCAATTTGGTGTATGTAAGACCTCGATTCTTAACATTATCCTGAAGTTTTCGAGTAATTTACTCTCCAACGATAACACCACGAAAACTCGAAATATCTCGGAAATTAAGCCACTTTCGAAAATTCTCCATTCTCCAAATATCGTAGAAAAACATTTTCTCTACAAAATAAAACAAACAGCACCTTCCTACCTCAATTACTTCTCGAGATATCCCTAATAAACAACACACAAGTAGTACAGGTACCGATTCTTATAACCTGGCCTCTTACTAAGTATCGCAATCAACCAACCCACTGTCAACCATTTGACAGTTGACACTTTTTAAACAAAAAGATCGAAGCGTATTTGCATTACACGCTGGGCGATTGGGAGAAGAAAATCGAAGCGAAAAGGGAAAATTCGATCCGAAAACAATCAAAGCCGGCACAATTAAACATCGCCGTATCCAACATGGCGACAGGAAGCTGGGCATCAATCACCTAGCACACGTCAATTAGCCCCCGGAAACACGTCACTATCAATTTGAACGGAGCATAGCCTACTATATAATATATCGATTCTGCGCCGGCCGGGCGGATTTTTTTTTTGTAGCGATTTTTCGGTCATTGTCGGTGGATAATTTGTTGCCTTTCGACGCGTTTGTCTTCGATTATGACGGATTGGAGGTTGCGATTTTTTTATTCTGATGGATTGGCTGTCGAATTTTTAATAGAACTGGATTGATTTAATGTAGAATATGTAGATATTTAAAGATACTTTAAAGCCCACTTGCGTATTAAATATGTTGGATTTACCTTGTAATTTTCTCCTGTCGCCTGTCATATAGTTTCTCTCCAATTCCATTCTTCCATATAGCTTGTTTTTCTTTAGAATGTCCCACTGTACTTTTCCTTTTCATTATATTAGCACATTTCTTCACAAATGCAATCACTAACAACTTTTTAGTTACGGTAAGATTAATGGTTTTAACTTAACCACTTTTGTTTGTTCGACATTTTAAAATTTTAAGTCGTTTTACTGACGCAACGCATGCGCAATACACTACGAAAATTAGGCTAAATCTGCAATGTTGCCACATGTTAGTTCCTTAAAAGATGCCTTTAATTAAAAAAACACCTAACATATTTTGTATTTAGAGTTTAGAGTCGCTCTAAAATTCAAGAGGCGCTAACTAAAGACGGAAACCCAGCTGACTACGGGGCCAAATAATTTTACATAAATTCAATTATGTCATTGTTTGCATAACTGTCAACTGTCAAATCTTTCAAGCGACTATTCCTTACTCACCTAGCTGATTATGGAACATCGTAAGAGGCCAGTTTCGCCTTTTTTATCGCTTCTTCTTTTTATTCACACAGTAAATAACAACTATTTATAGTGCTCTGTGACCGAATAAAAAAACGCGATACAGTCGAAATAAAAGCGGGAGAGCGAGAGAGCGCGAGCGAAGGGGGGCGAACGGTGAGATCCCCCCCGAATCGAGGGTGGCGTAAGGACGGGTCGAGGGGCGAGTGGGGCGATTCGGGAGGCATCGCAAAGTGATGATATTGTATTCCGCCACGCCCCGATGGTTAGCGGGCGCCGCTAATTGATATATCGGCGGTGCGTGCCAGATACATTTTCGGCTCCGGGTGTACGCACGCGACTCCTCCGGTGAATCACCCGCCGAGATTGCTCCCTTTTCGAACACATCCCGAATTCGTTTGGGATTTTTTTCGCCTCCTGCAGTTGGTATAACCTGTTAAAATCAAGTTGGTAACACTGGGATGTTGTTAAAACGTATAGCCTAAATAGATGTAGGCCACGGATTGACGGACTTTTATCTTGTTTTATTTTATTGTTCAAATTTTGATACAAATAACCTAACAACTACGTTCCGATAATTATGACTCGTACTGTATACTTAATTCTCTTACAATTATTCATAATCATATACATACATTTCTATGAGTGGAACAAAGAAAGGCTATTAAAATGACAGTTGTCAGAGTGAAAAGTCGCATTGACACAAATGTCACTTTTTCCTGTTCCTTTGTAAGTGTCTAATGGAAGTTGTCTTTATCGCACCCATGGCCTATATAACCTATGTTGGGATCAAAAATGGAGCAACCTGTATATAGATAGAACCGAGCCGAAGTATACAGTCACAGAGAAAACATTCTACTTCTTCATTCAATCAAACCACAAACCAGTAACTCTAAGAGTTAGTGGTTTGTGAATCAAACGCAAAAAACATTCCAACTAAACTGTAAACTGTCAAATTCGTGGCCTTTAACTTATGCGAAAACGAGCCAATTTATCACCAACAACGAAATGACGGGTGACTCGATTAATTATCAGTCGTGTAGATAACTTTTGGCACGCCGCTGCGCCGGTAATGGTTGATTGTCGGCTGGTTATTTTTTTTTTTCGGTAGTGGAAAAAGGGAAATCTCGCAAGTCATTGTCGACGATAGGAGGAGCGCGATAAGCGACGAAGAGGGTGTCGATAAAGGACTCTAAAAGGACACCCCGGGGAGTTGTAAGTGATGTGCAGGGCGCATCGAGTATTATTTATGGTGAATAGCGAGACTTTCGACGCCTCGACATTTATCGCACCTATTTCGGATTTATATTGTACATTTTTTTCTTAATCTCCCCGATATGCATACGCCAGCATACAGGGCGTTTCTTAGCTGCATACCCGAGACCATTAAAATGAAGTTTCTTCGAGAATAATTTAGATGCGCTGGTGTACGATACATCGGTTATACAGCCCGGTATTTATGGTAACGAAATGTAGATATACCCGAGCAACCCCTGCGACTCCGGCTTGATTAATAGACTACAATCCGCCCATTTAGTAGTTCGTAAGTTCTCTCTCCATGGGGGTTGAATAATCTGATAACGACTTTATATTACTATTGCTAACGACAAACACAACTTCGCTGATTTAATACGGACCAGAACCGGAGATAACGAGGTCTTTCGACACTTGCATCTGATGGGAAATATGCATATACATGTTTTACACCCCTTGATATGATTCGAAATCGTTATTTAATACTGAATGTTGAATGTATGAATTTTTATTCATCAGGGTTGTTAAAGATGTTGTTAAAGATGATGAAACGCCCTGTATATTTCGGCCTAGTTGGTTTGGAATTGTGTGTTGAATAAATTTGTTGGTAACTGATCAAAATTACGTTTTCGGGGGGCGAAATAGGGGAGCGTTTTAATGTTGACAAACCGCCTGAGAAAAATAAAAAAAAAGGGAACGCGGAAGAAAAAGGAGCTTTCATCGGTTTCCGGACGAGGCGATGGCGCGACGCTGATAATTGCGGTCAAAAGAGCATTTTTTAATTCTTTTTCCACCCCCGACGGAAAGCGCCCCCTTAAATGTTTGCCTAACATCACCATTATTTGACTTCTCGCTCCCCAAGCACGA